AGATGAAATTTTCCAAACAATATTTGTTTGGCCCAAGGACGAACCCTATTAAAATTTGTGAGAATCGGTTTAAATTTAGATATACCTTCCATACTGGGTGAGATGAAAAAACTGTAACCAACTTCAGACTGCTGTCATTTCTAATCCACTCGTCCGACAGCTGTTAAAAATATTCCAGTAACAGCTCATTACATTGTTTACAAGCGTACAAAAGCATCTTGATGAGAATTTTCCAGAAAAAATGTTATTCGTGATGGAATTCAAACGTGATAGTGTGATTACAAGAAAGTTGACGGAAGAAAACAGCAACATCAGCAGAAATAGTTCGAAAATTAAAGCAGCGACTTGATCGAAACCCGCGTCGCAGTGGCCGAAAAATGGCTCGTGAGCTGAACATATCACAATATTCCATTCGGCAATTATTGAAAAATGAGCTCAGGGTAAAGCCATTGAAATTCAAAAAGTGCAAGAACTCACACCGCAACAAAAAGAAAATAGACTCAAAAGAGCCTAGAGAGTTTCTTCACTTGGCCGAAAGTTGTGGACTGCCGAATTTGATTTTCTCCGATGAGAAAACATTCGTTGTTCAGCTGTTTGTAAACAAACAAAATGATCGTGTTTACTTGCCAAAGAGGTCAGCTAAAAATGTGCACCTTCGGTTGGCCACGAGAACTCAAGCGCCGGTCATGGTGATGGTGCGGGCTGCCATAACAGCCGTTGGTCGCTCTCCGCTCGTATTAATCGACCGTGGCATCAGAAAAAATGACGAATATTTTCGCGAAAATATTCTGGAGGTGTATTAAAGCCTTGGGCACGCAAACATTTTGGCCGCAGACCTTGGACATTCCAACAGGACTCAGCACTACCGCCCTCAGCACGTGCCACCCAAGAATGGTTACAAAATAAGGTTTCTCGCTTAATTTCCAGCGCACAATGGCAACCAGAATCTCCGGATACCAATCCGTTGGACTATTGTGTCTGGAGTATTTTGGAAAGCAAGGTTGGCACTAAAAAATACCAAAGTGTCGATCACCTCAAGCAAACGCTTCGCCGGGAATGGACCAAAATACCGCAGAGCAACATTCGGGCAGCGTGCAAGGGTTCAATTGGCCGTTTGAAGGCCATAACTCGTGTCAAAGGTGACCAATTCGAACAAATCTAAACTTGTTCTAAAATTTGATGCTGTTTCCGACATTTGTTGCTTTCATTCAAAAAAATTAAAAAAAAAAAATGTAAAAATTATGGCGGTTGTCTTTTTGCAGTTTTTTTTTTTATCTCACCCTGTATATCTGCAACCAATTTCGGGTTAATTGTGCACCAAATGGCCAATATCTGTCCAAATGACCTGAATTTCGGCACATCCGACCGAATTCAGTCTAGAAGCAAGTACATCAAATTTGGTGAAAATCGGTTCAGATATAGCTATAGCTCCCATATATATGTTTCATCCGATTTGGTTTTTAAGTCCCTCACATTCGTAATATGCACTTCACAAGAATGATGTTTCATGTCAGATTTCGTATAGAACTCGGAAATATCTTTGCAAAATTTTATCAAGATCGGTTCAGATTGAGATATATATCCCATATATATCCTTAATCTGATTTTAGGTTTATTGTGGAAATAATGACTAACATCAGCCCAAACGGAGTAAATTTCGGGACGCACATTTCCACGTCTCGGCTCCGATATTTATTATTTTAATATAACCCTTTCTCGAAGTGATATCATGCACTCTATAGCGATGTTATTTGGTATAAAAGATTAAAATGTCTCCCTCACACTTAGTGAAAATCGATTCAGAATTGGATATGCCTCCAATATATCAGATCCCTCTGAAACCAAACTATAACAGCTCTAAAGCCAAATGTAAATGGGTGGGAGCCCTACTAAATATACATAGTGGTGTAGGGTATCATAGAGTCGGCCCCGCCCGACTTTTGACTTTTCCTTACTGATTTTATTTATATCAAAGCAATTCAAGATCGCATTGCAACTTCATTCTCATCTCCATCGCCGCGGTCAACAACCTTCAAACATTATTAATTTCCAGCAAATTCTGGCGTTAGTCATGATGTACACCCTCGAATGGGATCCCAAAAAAATTGTTTTTTTTTTTTTCAATTTCTTAAATATTAAATTGCCGGCTTCCTTTTCCAAAACAAAAAAATCAAAGAAACAAAAACAAAGCACTTGCTTTGTTTGTGCAATTTTCCAAACACTTTCGCAAGGAACTGACTGGCTGGTCGTCTGTTGAATCCATTGTCTCCTCATGGTGCCCTGAGAATTTAATGGCAATTTAATGAATTTTTATGTTGACAGGAAGGCAGGCATTCAAATATTCATGAATTTTTATGTTTCGTTTTATGCAGTGGCGTAGTCAAAAATGTAATGAAGGGGTGGGTGGAGGACAATGTGAAAATAGAAACAAAAATTAAGAAAATATTGAATATTTTTTAAAGGACTATCAGACCTTTAAAAGGGGAATAAAAAAATGTTGACCCTTTTGTGGGGACGGTACAGGGAGGAGTAGGTCGATATCTACTATCTTCACAACACATCTTCTATTGGTAGAAATATTGAGATTTGGTGAATTTAAAAGAAAACAATACACATTTCACATTTTACGAACTTCGTGGCGATTTAAAATTTTGACCCGTTGTGGGGAAGATACCAGAAGGAGTGCATCATTTTTAAACCAGATTTTGTGTTAATAAAGTTATTAGAATGTGCGAAATTTGAAGACATTCGGACTTTTATTACACATTCTATAAGATTTATAATTACGCCAAAATTTAGACCCTTTGTGGGGGAGGTACTTGATGTAGTGGACCGATATTTTCCATTATCGCACCTGACGTAGCACTAACAAAAATAATGGAATTTGCACACAATCGAATGACCCTTTTTCTTTCCATGAGTTAATTATTTTCTTTGAAAATGTTGACCATTTGTGGGAGAGGTACTAGAAAGAGTTGGTCGATATTGCCCATTTCCGACCTCCATATAAATTTGATAAGCGTAGAATTATAAGACGATTTAGCCCTGTCCGTCCGTCTATTGTAATCACGCTAGAGTCGAAACGAAAAAATATAAGAAGCTAACATTTTGCTCATATCAGTTTATTGTCTGCAGGCAGGTCAAGTTTGAAGATGGGTTATATCGACCCACGATATCGTATATCCCCCATATAATGGTCCCCCTGATATTCGGTATTTTGATGATTTTAACTACAGTTTTCAGTGGAATCGTTTAAAAATCGGTACTGTAATCTGTCGCTAAAAATAAATATACCGAATACCGGGAGGTTGTTATATGGGGGCTGTACGAAGACGTGGACCTCCACAGACAATTTTCTGTCATAGGCTGTAGGATCCATTACGAACTTCAAATTCCAAATTTGAAACAATTCCGTTGAATAATGCCGCTAAAATGATCAAAATACCGAATATTGGGAGGTACCTAGAGGCTATTCGAAGACCTGCACCGACAATTTTCTGTCATAGGCTGTAGTATACTTTACGAACCTCAAATACCAAATTTGAAACAATTCCGGTGAATAATGTCGCTAAAATCATCAAAATACCGAATATCGAGAGGTACCTAGAGGCTATAAGAAGACGTGGGCCTGCACACACAATTTTCTGTCATAAGCTGAAGGATTCATTACGAAGTTCAAATACCAAATTTGAAACAATTCCGGTGAATAATGTCGCTAAAATGATCAAAATACCGAATATTGGGAGGTACCTAGAGGCTATTCGAAGACCTGCACCGACAATTTTCTGTCATAGGCTGTAGTATACTTTACGAACCTCAAATACCAAATTTGAAATAATTCCGGTGAATAATGTCGCTAAAATTATTAAAATATCGAATATCGAGAGGTACCTAGAGGCTATAAGAAGGCGTGGACCTGCACAGACAATGTTCTGTCATAGGCTGTAGTATCCATTACGAACTTCAAATACCAAGTTTGAAACAATTCCGGTGAATAATGTCGCTAAAATTATCAAAATACCGAATATCGGGAGGTACTGTTATATGGGGACTATACGAAGATGTGAACCTGCACAGCCATTTTTGTGCCATATATTGTAGTATCCATTACGAACTTCAAATACCAAATTTGAAACAATTCCGGTGAAAAATGTCGCTAAAATTATCAAAATGCCGAATATCGGGAGGTACTGTTATATGGGGGCTATACGAAGATGTGAACCTGCACAGACAATTTTCTGTCATAGGCTGTGGTATCCATTGCGAACTTCAAATATCAAATTTGAAACGATTCCGGTGAATAATGTCGCTAAAATCATTAAAATACTGGTACCTCCCATTACCATTATATGGATGCTATACCAAAACGTGGACCTACATGACCCATTTTCAATACCAAAAGTCCTGCAGACATAATATACATTTGAGTAAAATTGTGTCAACCTACTTTATTTCGTTCGGAAGCTAGAGTGATTTCCACAGAGGGATAGACAAACGGACATCGCCAAATTGACATAGAATTTTATGCTGATCAAGATCAAGGGTCTAAAGGGTCTAAAATGTATATTTCGAGGTGTTACAAACGGAATGACAAACTTAATATACCCTGCATACTATGGTGGAGGGTATACAAATTCTTCATGGAGGGATGCATTTTTTTGATATTTACATGCTTTTAAAAAAATATTCCTACCCCGACTCTGTGTTACTCATGTTTTACTCTCGGACTCTAAACAATCTCCCGACTTTGTTTATGCAGAAATAAATAAATGTGTATATGTGTACATATATCCAAATACTGTCAAAAGATTTAAGTTTCATCCTCGTTGAACTTGTCAAGCAGAGTGAAACATTTGTTAACAATATGCCGTCAAACGGTTAAAGATGGAGACCATCACTCAAACTTTCGCATCCCCCACCATACCCTTTTTGCCTCTTGTACATATTTTAAACAAACATAAAAATAATGTTCTGCCATCTTCGTTTTTTTTCTTTTTCAGGGTATCCAACAGCGGACATATGATTTGAAATCGAGTGTGAAACTATTCAAAGATTTGAATTTACTAACAAAAGACGAGGCATTCCGCAATGCAACCACAATATATCCGGTCACATCGATGGATGATTTCTATCGTTTGCATGCCTATTTTTCGAAGGTAAGGAGAACATTTTTTTTTTCTCTCTTAAGGAATTTTTTTTAATGCCAAGAAGGGGTATTGTAGAATTCGGAAGGTAAAGTCAAAAAATCTCATCAAAAATTGGAAAGTTTGATAAGGTAAATTGCAGAGATGGATATGATTATTTGAAAGGTAATGTACCTTCTTAAATCTACCACAGCTGAAATTGGAATCATAAACATATTTATACCCTACACATTTGTGCATTTGCATTTGTTTGTAACATGGAGAAGCAATCGAGATAGATCCATAGTTACTTTTGAGGATCTTCATAGAATCACTTTCTGAGTCGATTTATGCATGTAAGTCAATCCGTCCGCCCATGTATTTTTGTGAACAAAGTGCAGATTGCATTTACTATCCGATTGAAATGAAATTTTCCAAACAATATTTATTTGGCCCAAGGACGAACCCTATTGAAATTGGTGAGAATCGGTTCAAATTTAGATATAGCTCCCATATATATCTTCAACCGATTTCGGGTTAATTGTGCATCAAATGGCCAATATCGGTCCAAGTGACCTGAATTTTGCCACATCCAACAGAATTCAGTCTGGACGCAAGTACATCAAATTCGGTGAAAATCGGTTCGGATATAGTTATAGTTCTCATATATATGTTTCATCCGATTTTGCTTTTAAGTCGCTCACATTCGAAATATGCACTCCACAACAATGATATTTGGTATGAGATATCAGATAAAGCCCAGAAATACCTCTGCCAAATTTTATCAAGATCGGTTCAAATTTAGGTATAGGTCCCATCTATATCTTCAACCAATTTCGGGTTAATTGTGCACCAAATGGCCAATATCAGCCCAAATGACCTGAATTTTTAGCACATCGGACCGAATTCAGTCTAGACGTAAGCACATCAAATTTGGTGAAAATCGGTTTAGATATAGCTATAGCTCCCATATATATGTTTCATCCGATTTGGTCTTTAAGTCCCTCACATTCGTAATAAGCACTGCACAGCAATGCTATTTGGTATCATATATCATATACAGCCCAGAAATACCTCTGACAAATTTTATCGAGATCGGATATAGCTCCCATATGGGTGAGATAAAAAAACTGCAACGGAAATAGCATCAAATTTTAGAATAAGTTTAGATTTGTTCGAATTGGTTACCTTTGGTACGAATTATGGCCTTCAAACGACCAATGAAACCACGTCACACGCTACCCGAATGTTGCTCTGCGGTATTTTGGCCCATTCCCGGCGAAGCTCTTGCTTGAGCTGATCGACACTTTGGTATTTTTTAGTGCCAACCTTGCTTTCCAAAATACTCCAGACACAATTGTCCAACGGATTGGTATCCGGAGATTTTGGTTGCCTTTGTGCGCTGGAAATGAAGCGAGGAACCTCATTTTGTAACCATTCTTGGGTGGCGCGTGCTGAGTGCGATGGTGTTGTGTCCTGTTGGAAGGTCTGCGGCCAAAATGTTTGCGTGCCCAAGGCTTTAATACATCCTCCAGAATATTTTCGCGATAATATTCGGCATTTATTCTGATGCCACGGTCGGTTAATAGAGCGTAGAGCGACCATCGGCTGTTATGGCGGCCACACCATGAATTCTGGTGGCCAACCGAAGGTGCACATGTTGAGCTGACCTCTTTGGCAAGTAAACCCGATCATTTTGTTTGTTTACATCGGATAAAACCAAATTCGGCAGTTCACCAAGCGAAGAAACTCTTTAGGCTCTTTTGAGTCTATTTTCTTTGCGGTGTAAGTTCTTGCACTTTTTGGAATTTCAATGGCTTTACCCCGATCTCATTTTTCAATATTTGCCGAATGCAATATTGCGATATGTTCAACTCACGAGCCATTTTTCGGCCACTGCGACGCGGGTTTCGATCAAATCGCTTCTTTACTTTTCGAACCATTTCTGCTGATGTTGCTGTTTTCTTCTGCCCACTTCCTTGTCGTCGGGCTACGCTACCAGTATCACGGTTGCGAGCGATGGTACGAGACACAAAAGACTTATTCACATTTAAATGCTGGAGTGCTCTAACGATAGCCACTTGAGGTTTTCCAGCTAAATATAAAGAAATCACACTATCACGCTTGAATTCCATCACGAAAAACTTTTTTTCTAGAAAATTCTCACCAGGACGCTTTTGTACGCTTGCAACCATTTTAATGAGCTGTCACTGGAATAATTTTAACAGCTGTCGGACGAGTGGCTTGGAAATGACAGCAGTCTAAAGATGGTTGCAGTTTTTTCATCTCACCCTGTATATTAATCCGATCAGAGAATTCGATCCTCACGCATTTGAATGCATAATTTCCGTTATTAAAATCCCATTAAATTTACCCTTTCCATTACAGTATCATTTGGAGATCGTTCAACAGAACAGCGCCGATCTGGAACAAAAATCCTATCGCATTGCGAATGGTACAATTTCGAATAATATTCTCGAAATACGCTGGCCCCTGGGTGTGCCCTTGGCTAGTGCACCCGAAACCCGTCACGACATCATCATGTGGCACTACATGAATGAGACACATATCTTTTTGCCCAATGCCGAAAATAATGTCGAACCCTTATCTGCCATTGAGGCGGATGATCTGAAGAAAGTTCTAGACATAACACGGCAATATGCCAAACATAAATTTCCCAATATGATTTATGTGGGAATCCATAGTATCTATCGGAGATTTGATGCCACTCGGGGTATGGATTATCGTATACACTTATTGCTGCGCGATACCGGACGATTATCTGCCTTGACTCAAAGGGGGCCAGAAATTAAAAATTTCCAAATTGTTAAACCCCTGGGACGGGTGGAAGTGGTGCCATCGCCCTATGTCACCGAATCGACGAGAATAGCCATATTGGTGCCGACATTCGAACATCAAATGGAAGAGGCTTTACAGTTTATCAATCAATATGAAAGGACTTGCATGCGCAATCAGGATAACACTTTTTTGTTGATGGTAAGTTGAGAATATATCCTATTCCATTTCGGCCTAATCTCACATGTCCCCCTCTTTCATTACAGATTTTCATGTATCGCACCGAATCGGCCAGCAAAGGTGACAACGATCCCTTTAAGGTAATCAAAACTCTTGCCCTCGATCTCTCATCGAAATACAAAAGTGATGGCTCACGCATAGCCTGGGTCTCGGTGAGGCTACCCCAGGTCCTCAGCGAATCTTCAGCAACGGAAGACATTATGTTGAGCTCAGTATATGGCCGCAATGAAATTCTCAGCATTGCCGTAGCCGATCTTGCCCTACCCAAACTGGGTCTCGACAGTCTGGTTCTAATGGCCTCAAATTCGATTAGCTTTAAACCAGATTTTCTTAATCGGGTATGGTATTTTACCACATTTTTTAGATAGTTACCTGATGCATTTTTTTTCTTTACAGGTCCGCATGAATACCATACAAGGCTTCCAGGTCTATTCACCCATCGGTTTCATGATGTACCCATGTAAACTTGCCGGATTTTGTAAGGAATGCGAAACCTGTGATGTCAGCCAAAGTACTGGGTACTTTGATAAATGGAATTACGATATAGTTTCATTTTATAGTCGCGATTATGTGCAAGGTATGTGCGAGATGATGGGATAAAGTAAGAGGCAAATGTTAGATGTAAAGAAATTTAAAATGAATTGGTCAAGTTGAGCCATTTCCCCACGAGAAATGTCATTGGCCTTAACAAATTCTCGTTGCATGATACCGACAGGATTTGTCCGAATTCTCATTGAAAACTTGACCTGACGACACTTTTTCTTTTGTGATCCTAAAGATATATGATTTTAGATTTAATTGTAATATTTAAGGAAGTGCTGTCGATCTGTCCCAGTAATGAAAGTTTCTGGAAGACATTTCTGCCAGGGTTCCATAAATCCACGAGAATGGCATGGCCATTTCCAAAAAAAAAACTAGTAAAAAAGCTGAACTTTGAATATCCTCCACCATGTGAAACGAATTTGCAAAATTTTAAAAAAGTAAAATCCGTTAAAAGTTCTGTTGAAATCTTCAAAATACCGAATGTAGCCCTTACATTAGGGTCTATACGACGACTTGGACCCGCATAGGCAACTTTTGTCATAAGCCATTATAATATTCCAATCCGAAACTTGAAAAAAATTCGGTGAATAATGTAGCTAAAATCATAAAAATACCGAATATCGAGAGGTACCGTTACATGGGAGCTATACGAAGACGTAGATTTGCACAGACAATTTTCTCTCAAAGCCGAACTTCAAATACCAAATTTAAAACAATTCCGGTGAATAATGTCGCTAAAATCATCAAAATTCCGAATATCGGCAGGTATTGTTATATGGGGCTATACGAAGACGTGGACTTGCACAGACAAGTTTCTCTTTAAGGCTGTAGTATCCATTACGAACTTCAAATACCAAATTTGAAATAAATCCGGTGAATTATGTAGCTAAAATCATCAAAATGCCGAATATCGTTAGGTACCGTTATATGGAGGCTATACCAAAACGTGAACCTGCACAGACCACTAATGCACACTATGGTGGAGGGTATAAAAATATAACCCCTTTGGTATCAGAAGGAGTAGACCGGTTATTCCATATTCACAGCAGATCTTTTATTGATATACACATTAGGATATGCCGAGTTTAAATGGAATTTGATGCTCATTTTCGATCTTTTGTGGGGTACGTACCAGAAGGATGGGTATATATCAATTGATACGGCCAACACGTGCCTCGTCGAAATAACCGTTTTAGACCCTAGGTCTCTTTGGACCAAATCCGTTTCAGGATTCATTGGATTCGATCTATCGATGTCCGTCCGCCCATCTGGCTTGCTGGTGCGCACGATAACTCTCGAAGCGAGTATCCGATTTGGTCCAATCTTGGTATATCGTAATATTATTGTCAAGCTTAGATCGAGTTCGGAGATGGACAATATCGATTCACTCCTTCTGGTACCTCCCCCACAAAATGCCAACATTTTCAAAGAAAATAATTTAGTGCATAGAAAGAGAAACGATAATCCGATTTTGCTCCAACTTTGCAAATCCTAATATTTGCATCAGTGCTAGGTCAGATGTGAAAATTGACAATATCGGTCCACTTCATCAAGTACCTTCCCCACAAAATTATAACTCTTGTAAAATGTGGTGTAAGTGTCCGATTGTCTTCACATTACAAACATCACAATGTTTTTATAAACCCAATATTTGGTGTGAATATGGAATATATCGATCCACTCCTTCTGGTACCTCCCCCACAAAGGGTCAAAATTTTGAATACTGAATAAAACAAGAAATGAATTCCCAATAACATTTAGGCTTGGCACATCTCAATATTTTCATAAACACAAGATCTGTTATAAAGATGGTACAGTTCGGAAGATTTTTTCTGTTACCTCCCCCACAAAGGGTCAATTTTGTGAATAACCAAAACAATCATCGAATCTGAAAAAGGCGCCCAGTTCTTTTTAAATTACATACAACACAATATTTTCATCAACCCAAGGTCTGGGTTATAAGATGGGATATATCGGTTCACTCCTTCTTGTACCTCTCCCCAAAGGGTAAAATTTTTGAATATCCACGAAGCTCATAAAACGCAAAATTAACATCTGACTTGGTACATCTCAATATTTTTATCAGCACAAGATCTGTTATAAAGATGGTTGAGATCGAACCATTTCTTCCGGTATCTCCCCCACATAGGGTTCAAGATTTTTGAAAACAAAACGTTCAAAGAAAGCGAAATAAGCATACAACTCTCTTCAAATTTCACAAATCCCAATATTTTTGCTTATGCAAGATCTGTTGTGAAGATGTTATACATCTGCCAACCCCTTCTGGTATCTCACCCACAAAGAGTCATAATTTTCAATATTTTCATGTGTCATAACTTGCGAAAAAAGTCAGCTAAATATTTCTCTCAAACAGAAACCTGAGATGAAAATGGAATTTATGATTTCGTATAAAATTTGATATGAATGTTCGATTTTTTTCTAATTTTTCCCATATCAATATTTTTATCTGTATTAGATGAAGTATGAAAATGGGATTCTTCGGTCCGCTATATCTGTTACCTCACGCATATTTCCACATTTTACAAGAATTTGCACATATCTCATATAATAATACTTATATGAGGTCAGATACTAATGCTTCGGAGCCTCACTCATAAAGGGTCAACAGATTGAATAATCATAACTCAAGGCTGGGCGTATAAATCTGTAGGCAAAACCGACTGTCAAAAAATATTCGCTCAAGATTGAACTTGACAGGGTAACTTACAGAAAATACAGGACTGGGTGTCTTTATTAGAAATGGCTAGCTTAAAATTATTGTAACACGGTCAGAATATTCTCAGCTGCTGGTACTGGTACTAATTTTGGAACTGAAATTTTTAAATCATAAATCATTCAAATTTGTAAAATTTATTGAAAAATGCATATTATAACAACCTCCGATTGGCGTCGTATAAGAAAACATGACATATCAATTTTCCCAAGCGTTGATGCATCTCCCTGTATTCTTCTGCCATACCTTCAATTTTCTAATCTTCTATTTTTTGTTCTTCTTTTCCAGCCCGCAAACTAATTGAAGCAGCTGTGCCGATAACACGTTCCGATAACGACATTGAACGGCTGCTGACACGACCGGACAAGAATATCAATAATGTCCTCGATATGTTTGTGGCATCCCAGCTGCCGGTGCATATTTTGCGGGGTGTTGAACCGAATTTACGTTACGGTGGTGCCATTAAGAATTTCATCGATAGACAAAGTTATGAAACAAAACCCATACCAAAATGTCCACTGGAAACTGGAGACGAGGTGGTGGCGGTCGGCGATCCAGCAAATGCAAAAGAACGAAGTAGTACGCGAACGACGACGACGAAAGATGAAGGAGAACATAAGTGTATACACTTGGCATCGAGGAAGCAAATCGGTTATGCCATAATACGTTACGAAGATAAAAGTATTATTAACAAATGAGACCACTTGTGGGTTGCGGGGGAGAGAAACAAGAGTGACTTCCTTTGTTTGCTCTCCTCTATTGGCTGTCTCGTTGTTGTTATTAGTTTGTTATATATATTTTTTTTAAATATTTCTAAATGAAAATATACATATCTTCCTCATTGCAGCTAACTTTACTAGTGTCATGTATACATACATATATACACAGTTATATGTAGGTATATAATTTATAATTGAGTCAAGTATTTCCAATTTATAGTCTGTAGTTAGGGAATTTATTAAATAATTTTTTTTTTATTTAATTACTTCATGCACATAAACATATTCATTGTATTTGTTTGTTGTCATTATTATTGTTGTAAATATATGTATAGGATTATTTTTATGTGTAAGAAAATATTTTAGTAATAATTTAAAAATTTATAAAAAAAAAATTAAAATTGCCAAACATTCATTTAAAAATTGTGTTGTGTAGAACACAAATGCCACATGCATACATTTTCTTTTCGAAATAGAAATACGTAAATATAAAAATAATAGAAATCCAATGTTACAAAGCTCCAACGATTATATCAAATGCTCAAATAATTTAGCATATACATTTATAATTTATTATAATTATAGTATATTTATTCTGTTTAACATAGTTGTCATATAATTTGCCAAAATCTTGCTTGTATATTTTATTACGAAATATGAAAAATATTCCTATAGAATTTAATTGTATATTTGTTTATATTTTATTTTTGTATAAATTTCTGTATTTTAAGGAACTTTTTATACCCTGTATCCACTATATGGAAAGGGTATTATGTCTTTGTAACACGGAGAAGGAAGCGAAATAGAACCATAGTTACTTTTGAGAATCTTTATTGAATAACTTTCTGAGTCACATTTTCAAAACGCAGGTCGTATTTAAAATCCGATTGAGATGAAATTTTCCAAACAATATTTTTTTGGCCCAAGGACGAACCCTATTAAAATTGGATCAGATTTAGGTATAGCTCCCATACATACATATCTTCAACCGATTTCGAGTTAATTGTGCCCCACATGGCCAATATCAGTCTAAATGATCTGAATTTTGGTACATCCGAACGAATTCAATCTAGGAGCAAATTCATCAAATTTGGTGAAAATCGGTTCAGATATAGCTATAGCTCCCACATATATGTATGTTTCATCCGATTTGGGGTTTTAAGTCCCTCATATTCGTAATATGCATTCGACAACAATGATATGATGACACCTCTGTCAAATTTTATGGAGATCGGTTCAGATTTAGATATAGCTCCCATATATATCTTCAACCGATTTCGGATTAATTGTGCAACAAATGGCCAATATCAATCCAAATGATCTGAATTTTGGCAAATCCGACCGAATTCAGTCTAGAAGCTAGTATATTAAATTTAATGAAAATCGGTTCAGACATAGCTATAGCTCCCATATATATGTTTCATCCGATTTGGTCTTTAAGTCCCTCACATTCGTAATATGCACCCCACAACAATACCAGATATCAGATACAGCCCAGAAATACCTCTGCCAAATTTTATCGAGATCTGCCAAGATTTGGATATAGCTCCCAAATATATCTTCAATCGATTTCGGGTTAATTGTGCCCCAAATGGCCAATATCAGTCGAAATGATTTGAATTTTATCACATCCAACCGAATTCAGTCTAGAAGCAAGTGTATTACATTTTGTGAAAATCGGTTCAGATATAACTATAGTTCCCATATATATGATTCATTCGATTTTGTGTCTAAGTCGCTCACATTCGAAATATGCACCCCACAACAATGATATTTGGTACCAGATATCAGATACAGCCCAGAAATGCCTCTGCCAAATTTTATCAAGATCGGTTCAGATTTGGATATAGCTCCGATCCATATCTTCAACCGATTTCGTGTTAATTGTGCACCAAATGACCAAAATCTGTCCAAAATCCCTAAACTTTGGTACATCCGACCGAATTCAGTCTAGAAGCAAGTGCATTACATTTTGTGAAAATCGGTTCAGATATAACTATAGTTCCCATATATATGTTTAATACGATTTGGTGTTTAAGTCCCTCAAATTCGTAATATGCTTTCGACAACAATTATATTTGGTATCAGATATCTTATAGAGCTCGGAAATACCTTTGCCAAATTTTATCGAGAACGGCTAAGATTTGGATATAGGTCCCATATATATCCTTAATCCGATTTCAGCTTTATTGTGCAAATAATGGTTAATATCAGCCCAAATGAAGTGAATTTCGGGACGTAGGTTTCCTTTTTGTGAACTCGACTCCGAAGTATATTTTTCTATATAATCCTTTTCGGAGTGATATTCTGCACTCTATACCAATTTTAGTTGGTAAAATGTCTTTGTCAAATTTACTGAAAATCGATTCAGAATTGGATATGCCTTCCTATATATTAGTTCCCTCTGAAAGCAAACTATAACTGTTCTAAAGGAAAAGGTTGGGTGTAGGGTATCAAATGGTCGGCCCCGTCCGTCTTTTGACTTTCCTTACAAAATATTACAGTGTAAATAGAGTTATATCCAGAGAAAATATTTTTAATAATCAACTCTTAAAGATCTTTTTATTTTTTTTTTATTTTATTTATTTTCAATTTGTACAGAAACTTAGCCGACAGGGCCATGGACGGTTCCAAAAACTTCTATACATGACTACTCTAAATTAATTATAATATCCTTAATCCTAAAAGACTTACTTAAAATTAAACACTGAAACAAATTAACAAATATGAGAATAACAAAATGTCCAAGGTCTCTTGAAGTCCTTTCAAACAAAAATAAAAATACCGATCAGCCAATCAAAGAATAGAGTTTTTATCAAAAAAAAAAACTGCGAATATAAAAGTGCAGCTGAATGTACAGGCAATTCTCATCACTGATGGTCCCAAATCTCTAGAAGTTACAATCGACAGCAAGTTTAAGTCGTCAGAAAGTTGAAAACTGGAAAAAAAATCCTCAGGTCGTTGGCAGACAGAAGGATGAACAGAAAATATGTTGGAAAATATGTATGTGAATGATCCAGAACTGCCCGTACAAAAATTAGAGAAATTACCCGTTGCGTAATATATGCGTTTTCCAACAAACATACCCCTATTTAAATACTTTTTCATTCAATATTTTTAATTCCCAAAATGTTTTCATTGTACCACCAAAATATACTGGTATTGATATATAAACCTTGTAACGTTATCCCCCAAACTTATAGATTTTCAGGACACCCGTATATTGTGTATAAAGGTTTTAACTTTGTTCTTTTTTAAATTTATTGTAATTTATATATATATATTTATTTATATTATATTATATTATATATATATATTTATAAAAATTACAACAAGTTCCTTATGGTACAGAAATTTATGCAACAATTTTGGCCTGTATGGTTTTTTATGTTATTCTAAGTCAAACGATTTTTTTCCTATAAACTATGTGCATATATACTCTTTTTTATTATTATCCTATCTACAATAGACGGACCAAAAAGGCCTGCGTTTCTACAAGAATTGATGCTTATAATTCCATATTCTTAAAAAATATTTTGTCTTTTACAATACTATTCTCTCTCTTTTTGTTAAAAATATTTAAAACATATGACTGCCTTAGATGTTACTACCTCTCTTTATATATATATATATATCAAGTTTTGCTTGATATTTGTTAAAAAAAAGAAAAAAAATATATTATAAAACATGAGTCATTTATAATTTTATATATAAAAAGAAATTGTTATATAAACAAACAAAAAAAATAAAGAAACCCATTCATAGTAGAGTTTTATGTATAAATTTTACCAAAGGTTTATATTATGGAAAAAAAAAAACTTAGCTAAAAGCGTAATGGTATTCTTTCCTATAAATAAAAATTATAATAAAATAAAATCCCAATTATTTATAATTGCCCTATATAGACTCTTTATGTATTTATGTTTACGTATGATATTCCCATGGTCTGTTTGTTTCCTTTATTTATATATATATATATTTTTAAATAATTTATGTACATATTTCTATGTATGTTTAATTTGGTACTGTTCATTATATTTATTATAAATACATAATTTACGTAAATATATATAATTTATTTTCCAAAAAAAAAAAACGTGAAATTGTTAAGTAATAAATAAAACGTGTGCATATATTGTATTTTAAATGGTCTGTTTCAGAACTGCTAGAATGTAATTTTTTTTTTACTATAATAACCGATTTTCACTTTATGATATCCATATGATGTCGAAAACAATTGCAAATCTAGTAGATTTTTGCAGGTTCTATAACAGACCAAAAATTGTATTTCTTTTTACCAATTGGGAAGTAAGTAAACACACATTCTTAAAAAATCCACCATTTATGCTCTGACAGCTTCTTAACACATTCTTAAAAAATCAACATGAATTCTTTGCAGAATTTTATTTTTTGATCCACTTTACTTTACATTGAAAGAAAATATTCTTAAATGCCTTTATTAATTTTTCTAACAGACCTCTAGAAGTACTCACAAAAATCCACCAAATATTCTTTAAACAAGTAAAATAGCATCAGTCGATTTTGCCGACAGATGCATACCTCCAGTCTTGAGTTATGATTATTCAAACTGTTGACCCTTTATGGGCCAGGTTCCGAAGCAGTTGGCCAATATTGACCAAATTTTATCTGACCTAAGACTGACAAATATATTACAACGTACCAGACTTACACTACATCTGTCAAATTGGTTTTATGAGAATATTTAGTTTTGTTCGAGCAATCGATGAGGAAGGTGTTGTCGGATATTTTTATGAATACACCGTAAGAAATATTGGAACATATAAATATATCTTACTACATATTTGATGTCCGCCCGTCTGTGGAAATCACTCTAGCTTTCGAACGAAATGAAGTAGGTTAATAACATTTTACTGAAATGTTTATTATGTCTGCAGAACTTTTGGTATTGAAAATGGGCCATGTAGGTCCACGTTTTTGTATAGCCCCTATATAACGGTAACTACCCATATTCGGTATTTTAATGGTTTTAGCGACGTTATTCACCGGAATTGTTTCAAATTTGGTATTTAATTATATTTACAAGTTCACATCTTCGTATAGCCCTCATATAACGATACCTCCCCATATTCGGTATTTTGATGCTTTTAGCTACATTATTTACGATTTTTTTTTTCAAGTTTCGCTTTGAATATTGCAATGGCTTATGACAAAAATTGTCTATACAGGTCCGCGTCGTCGCATAGACCCTAACAAAACGTTTACGTTCGGTATTTTTAAGATTTTAAAAGATTTTTTAACAAAATTTTTGATTGAAAATTGACAAATTCGTGGGTATTCAAAGCTTTTACAGCTTTTTACATGTTTTTTTTTTTTTTTCAATGAATAAATTTGAAAAATTGTGCAAATATATCTCCGAATTGTCTGATCAAAATATTAATTTTTACCAACAAAGTTGTTTTGACAACAGAAAATTTGAAATTGAAAATTTAAGGATAACAAATTATTTCTCACTGTGTAAAGAGAGGCAAAAAAACACTTGCAATATTTTATTATTTCAAAACACATACAATCACAAAAAAATAGGCTCTCTGCCTAGCTCTGTACTACATTGACTACTTCCTATACTTTAAATGAGATATGTGCAAATTCTTGGAAAAAGGTGAAAAAAGGTGACAGATATAGCGGACCGAATACTTATATATTTAAAGGAAATCGAACATTTATATCTAATTTTATGTGAAATAATAAATTTCGATAAATCACATATGCATCTCAGGTTTCTGGTTAAGAGACATATTTATATACAACAAGTTTTAAAGAATCGCCGACTTGTTTCGCATGTTATGACAGGTATTAGTATTGGAAATTGTGACCCTTTTGTGGATGAGGTACCAGGAGAGGTTGGCAGATATATATCATGTTTACAACAGATCTTGCGTTAGCAAAAATATTTGAATGTGTGAAATTTTAAGAGAGATAACAGATCTTGTGTTTAGAAGCATCCAATTATTTCGCTTTCTTTGAGACTTTTGGTTCAAAAACCTTAAACCCTGTGTGGGAGAGGTACCAGAATAAATCGCCCGATCTCTACCATCTTTATAACAGATCTTGTGTTGATGGAAATATTGAGATGTGCCAAGTCTGAATAGAATCGAATTTTAATTTCCCGTTTTATGAGCTTAATGGATATTCAAAATGTTGACCCTTTGTGGGGGAGGTACCAAAAGGCGTGGACTGATATATTCCACACCTGACCTAGGGTTAATAAAAATATTGTGATGTGTGTAATTTGAAGAAAATCGGACACTTACATCACATTTTATGAGTTATAATTATTCAAAATGCGAATCGTTTGTGGGGTAGGTACTTTATGGAGTGGACCGATATTGTCCATTTTGGCACCTGTCGTAGCACTGATGCAAATATTAGGATTTGCAAAGTTGGAGCAAAATCGTAGTGTCCTTTCTCTTTCTATGCAGTAAATTATTTTATTTGAAAATGTTTTTAGGGGAGGTACCAGAAGGAGTGGACCGATATTGTCCATCTCCGAACTCGATCTAAGTTTGACAATAATATTACGATGTACCAAGTTTGGGCAATATCGGATACTCCCATCGAGAGTTATCGTGCGCACCAGCCAGACAAACAGACGGACGGACATCGCTAGATCGACTCCAACTGTCCTGAAACGGATTTGGTGCAAAGAAACCTAGGGGGCTTAACTCTATTTTAGTAAAAACTCTTCAATTTTTTCGAATTTTTTTCCAGTGGTAGGTATTTTTACCTTGATCCAGGAAAACTATTTTTATTGAAAACATCATTTTAATGAACTGGTTAGAATCGGGTTATGCGGATGGAAAGACCCATATCTCTGGACCCGATAAAGGTATTAGCACAAATTATAGCATTTTGGAAAGGTAAGAGTGTCAGCTACAATTTGGAAACAATTTTGTTGATCCCCATAATGGGGTCCTTTTTTGACTTTTTGGGGGTTTCATATAAAATCCGGGTCCAAAAAATCAATAATTTGACTATAACTTCCGAACCATGACAACTTACTTTCATGTGACCACTTGCTGGATAAGTATTTCCATAAGCTTTCAATCGATACCCATATATCGGGTAAGTGGATGCGGTGTCTATATCGGGTTGGTGGATCCGGGTCCAGGCGGGGTCTTGATCCCGGACATTTGGGTCAAAAATCTGAGATCCCGGGTCCGTCCCCCCAAAAAAAATAGTTTCCCGGGATCAGGGTAAAAATACCTATCTCTGGAATTTTTTTTTCGAAAAAATCGAAGAGTTTTTACTAAACTAGAGTTGTTCCACCTAGGGTCTAAAACCGTTATTTCGATGAGGCACGTTTTGGCCGCATCAAATGATATATACCCTCTCTAACCATATGGCTGAGGGTATAAAAATCCACCAAATATTCTTAAAATATATCAGGCCTTCAAAGTTTTTTTCTTTAATTCACGATCATTTCTCTGTCAGAAAATTCAGAAAATATTCAATACATAAGCCATTAATTTCTCTGACAGACCTTTGAAACATATATCAGGATTTATAGATCGACATTCCTTCAGAAAGTACGCGATTATTACTTTGTAAGTTTATGTAAACCTAAATTTTTGCATGGCAGTATAAACAACTAGTTTCACGGCTCATTTTAATGAATATTTGTGTTGATTGTGTTTTGTTCCATTTCACATTTGTAAACAACTTCTTTATGTTTCTTCACGGCTGTCGCTTTAATTTTCGCTCCTCATTCGTCGTATTTTGCTTTCTGTATATTTCACCGGGCCATGACATTGCCTATGGTATTGTACCGGGCGTGTGCTTTTTCTATTTGCCTCGTTTGGAACGTTTTTAATTTTGATGCCTCTAGAAGCGACCGTTTGGCGCAAATGTATTTAATGATATGATGGATAAGATGGTCAACAGAGAATAATTTACCAATGAAATTACGGAAATTAATTCAATTTATTTTAATTTAACACCTGTCGTCATTTAGATTATCCCCACACAAGAATCTGATTATTAGTCTGCATCTATTAGAACGACTGTGGCATTACTCTGATGAAGCCCTTTCCAATCAACATTGAAACTACATCAGGTAAAACACTCATATTTATCGATTGATAAAAGCTATATCTTTGAAATATACCATCCGGACCACTGTTTTTTATGGTAGAATGAACAAGTTAATCTCATTAGCCAAATAAATGGTAACATCCGGAATTTCGTACTTGCCTTGTTGCAATGCCCCTCGAGTCGGAAAACGGTCAGCAACTCGCCGCCGATGACCTGCTGTATTGCTCGCAGTAACCGCCGATATAACCGATCCGCTTAGTATGGTTGGGGCACTGGCATGGTAGAAGAATATAGGTAGACGCGTCGACACAGCTGCTGGGACGATGAACTGTCAAATAAATTTTGAAATTAAATATGTTGAATTAAAATATATTTAAATTTGCAAAAATTGTTGAAAAGCGCGAATTATAATAACCTCCGAATGACGTAGTATAAGAAAACATATAAAGATCCACTTATATTTGAAAAACATTTAAATTTTTTTGACATATAAATGTTCCCAAGCGTTGATGCATCTACCTGTATTCTTCTGCCATGGGCACTGGAGAGTTTATTTTGGTTTTTGGCGAAAACAGTGGATATATTTAAGATAACAGTGAGTAAATTAAAAACATCCCCCAATTATAATACCAGAGCCAAGGCATCAACAAATATTAGCAATAAAGATTATTAACATGATGTCAGGAGAATCATTTGGATAAGCTAGGCGAATCCATTAGAGTATTCCGGTGGTCATCTTCTGCATAAGTCTAGTGGTTTCACCAAGGCCAAAAACAATTAATTATTTTTAAGGGGTACAAAATGGTACGAAACAGTTATTAAGCGGACGGTAAGAGATATTCTGCATTGTTGTCTGTGTGTTTGGAGCCCATTATCAGAAAAGAACAACACAATTAACTGCCTGCGATAAGTAATAGTATAATAAACTTTTCTTTCTCTTTCGAACAGTATTCATGCAGAAGTTGGTAACGATGGTTGAGAGAGCTCTATTGCTATTGTCTTCATCCCGTGTACATGGCTATGGCTTCTTGGAGCATGCCAAGCCGGAGATAACAAACTTTTTCAACAAGTTAGTAGAAACTAATCAACATTTTACAGCAATAATGGCATTTTTATTCAAATATCTATTTCCAGGAGAAATGTCCAGACAATACTCTTTGTTCCCTATGCCTTGAAAGATTATGACAAATATACCGCTGTAGTTAGTGAAGCGTTAACACCCATGGGTTATAAGGTTGAGGGTATACATACCAAAGGAGATCCTATCAAGGCCATTGACTCTGCCCAGGCGATATTTGTAGGCGGAGGCAACACATTTGTTCTTCTCAAGACATTGTATGAAAAGAATCTGGTCGAAGTGATACGGAATCGTGTCCTAAATCAGGGTGTGCCCTATATGGGTAGCAGTGCTGGTACAAATGTGGCAACAGCATCCATAAATACCACCAATGATATGCCGGTGGCATATCCACCATCATTTGTTGCCCTAAATTTGGTACCATTCAATATCAATCCCCATTATCTGGAAACCGATCCGAATACAAAACACAAAGGCGAGACAAGAGATCAACGTATTAATGAGTACTTGGAATATGAGCAGCAATCACGTGGTGTCTTGGGTTTACGTGAGGGTACAGCTCTATTGGTTGAGGGTCAGAAGGCGACACTGTTGGGCGATAGAAATGCAAAATTGTTCCGACCGTAAGTATTGTTCAAACGGGGAATGGTAATATTCGTTTTTCTTGCTCACTACGTACGTTTATTACCCGTTTCCAAAGACCTTGTAATAACCATGTATATTTGTAAATGTGATACTTACTTTGTTTTATTTGCTTTTCCAGCAACCAAGAGCCGGTGGAATATAAACCAAATGCCGATTTGAGCTTTTTATTGCAATAGTGCCTTGTAAATTATAAATCATTATCTGAGACAACATTGGCGATAATGTGTATGTTATAATAAGAACATGCAACAACAATGCTTCGCTGACGTAAATTCCTTTGGAACTTCCAAAAGTGTGAGCACTTATCCCAGCACTCTTGGTATATATATAGATTTGTGGTATCTTAGCCGTAATTGTAAATCAAAGACACCACACAACCTTTTCGATTTGGGAGATTCCCATTTCATGGAATTAAAAATGAGTAAAATGGATCGACTGCTTACATATCTGCATGTATATTGGGAAAATGTTTTGTACCTATCAAATAATCTGTTATTGTATGCTTAATAAATTTTGTTATATTTTTATTTAAAAATTAAATCCAATTTGTTTATTTCTTGTGCATACTTTGATCCTCGTGCAATAAATACTTGTCAAACAAATAATTACTGAGCTCACATTCGGAGGTTTCAATTTGTGTAATATAATCCGCCAGTTGTTTGATGCCATCCACTTGTTCTTGCAAAAAATGCGACTCCAAGAATTCACACATATTTGGATCATTGTTTGCCGATGCAATGGCATGGGCTTCCAGAAGGGCCTTAAAGTGAAAAAGGGATTAAAAACAAGTAAAATAGCATCAGTCGGTTTTGCGGAGAGATGTATACCCCAGCCTTGAGTTATGATTATTCAAACTGTTGACCCTTTATGGGCGAGGTTCCGAAGAAGTTGGCCAATGTTGACCAATTCGTATCTGACCTGAGACTGATATAAATATTACCACGTGCCAGATTTGGACTATATCGACACCTTCCTATACTTTATATGAGATATGTGCAAATATTTGGAAAATGTGGAAATATGCGTGAGGTGATAGATATAGCGGACCGAAGTATTGCATTTTCATACATCATCTAATACAGATAAAAATATTTGGATGTGTGTAATTTGAAGAGAGTTGGATGCTTATTTCGCTTTTTATGAGCGTTTTGTTTTTCAAAATCTTGAACCCTATGTGGGGAAGGTACCAGAAGAAATGGTCCGATCTCTACCATATTTATAACAGGTATTGTGTTGATCGAGATATTGAGATGTAGCTAGTCTGAATGGAATTGGACGTTATTTTTGCGTTTAATGAGCTTCATGGGTATTCAAAAATTTTACCCTTTGTGGGGAAGGTACCAGAAGAAATGGTCCGATCTCTAATTTGACTGTGTGTAATTTAAAGTCAATCGGACTCTTACATCACATTTTATAAGAGTTTGTGGGAGAGGCACTTGATGAAGTGAACCGATATTGTTCATTTTCTCACCTGACGTAGCACTGATGCAAATATTAGGATTTGCAAAGTCGGAGCAAAATCGGATTATCCTTTCTCTTTCTGTGCAGTAAACTTTTCTCTTTGAAAATGTTGACATTTTGTGGGGAAGGAGTGGACCGATATTGCCCATCTCCAAACGCGATATAAGTTTGAAGTATATCGTCAAAGTTTGGATCAAATCGGATACTTTCTTCGAGAGTTATCGTGCGCATCAGCCAGCCAGAGAGACAGACGGACAGTTGAGGAAAGTTACTCTTCAACAAAAAGTTACTGGGAAAGTAACAAGACATATCTAATGTATAGTGTATTTAAGTACATCTATTAAGCTGCGACTTCAATCCAAGCAGCGGACAGAAAAAATAGATACTTTAATTCTCCAAACAATTACTAATCACCTGCCTAAAATTGAGTTGGGAAATTGGTCCTTATTTACTTTTCAAATTCCCACTGGCGCCTTACCTCATTAACCGACTTTTCCATATCCAAAGCTTCCAGCATTGCATCCTTAATCGATTCATAGGACTGTTTTGGTTCTTCAATAGGCATGAGTTTTATATCACCACCTCTTTTATTGATATATTCCATTATTTTAATGGCATGTTGATGTTCTTCGTCGCTGGCTGTTTTGAAAAATCGAAATGTTCCGGGCGAGGCAACATCACTGCGATTAAAATGAAATGCCTGCAGATGGGGAAAATGTGAAGTGAATGTTTTAGAATTCGACGCTTATTACCATTGCCAAATATCTATAGAATGCATTCAATTCCAGATTGATCTGTTTATTCAAGGCCACTTCACATTCCTTGGCAAAATGCTGGCGCACCATTGATGAGAAAACTCGTCGAAAATTTAACCAACACACAGATTTCATATTATTATTTATACGAATTAAAAAAAAAGCTTATAAATGTCAAAATCAAAATTTCAATAGGCCAGAGTCAGGCACAGAAAGTTTCACGAAAGAAAATTTGAGTTTGCAGGAAGAAGAATTAAGTCCCCTATATTATATATTTATACCCTACACCAAATAGTGGTAAGGACGAGATTGACCCATAGTTACTTTTGAGGATCTTCATTGAATCACTTTCTATGTCGATTTCTGCATGTCAATCCGTCTGTCCATGTATTTTTGTGAACAGATCGCATTTATTATCCGATTGAGATGAAAATTTTCAAACAATATTTGCTTGGCCCAAGGACGAACCCTATTGAAATAGGTGAGAATCGGTTCAAATTTAGATGTAGCTCCCAGCGATTTTGGGGTAATTGTGCACTAAATGGCCAATATCTGTCCAAATTAATTTAATTTTGGCACGTCCGAACGAATTATGTCTAGAAGCAAGTACATTAAATTTGATAAAAATCGGTTCAGATACAGCTATAGCTCCCATACATGCTATGTTTAATCCGATTTGGGGTTTTAAGTCCCTCACAACCGTAATATGCACGCCGACAAGAATGATCTTTGGTACCAGATATCAGAAGCAGCCCATAAATACCTCTGCCAAATTTTTCAAGATCTATTCAGATTTGGATATAGCTTCCATATACACGTTTTATCCAATTTAGGTTTTAGTCCCTCATCTTCGTAATATGCATTCGACAACGATGATATTTGGTACCAGATATCTTATAGAGCTCGAAAATACATCTGCCAATTTATTTCAAGATCGGTTCAGATTTGAATATAGCTCCCATATATAACCTCAACCAATTTCGGGTTAAAACCCGAACTTTGTATACTTTTGCATACCCTCCACCATTTGGAATTTTCAAAAAAGAAAATCCGTTAAAAATTCTGTTAAAGTCTTAAAAATACAGCATGTAGCCGTTATATTAGGGTCTAGCTAAAATTATCAAAATACCGAATATAGGGAGGTAACATTATGTGGGGGCTATACCAAAACGTGGACCTGCACTGAGAGTTTTCTGTCATAGGCTGTAGTATCCATTACGAACTTCAAACACCAAATTTGAAACAATTCCGGTGAATAATGTCGCTAAAATTATTAAAATACCGAATATCGGGAGGTGCCGTTATATGGGGGGCATACGAAGGCGTGGACCTGCACAGATAATTTTGTGTCATAGGCTGTAGTATCCATTACGAACTTCAAATACCAAATTTGAAGCATTTCCCGTGAATAATGTCGCTAAAATCATCAAAATACCGAATATCGGGAGGTGCCGTTATATAGGCCGTGGACCTGCACAGACAATTTTCTGCCTTAGGCTGTAGTATCCATTACGAACTTCAAATATCAAATTTGAAATATTTCCGCTGAATAACGTAGATAAAATCACCGAAATATCAAATATCGGGAGGTACCGTTATATGGGGACTATACGAAGACATGGACCAGCATGGACAATTTTCTGTCATAGGCTGTAGTATCCATTACGAACTTCAAATACCAAATTTTAAACAATTCCGGTGAATAATGTCGCAAAAATCATCAAAATACCGAACATCAGGAGGTGCGGTTATATGGGGGCCGTACCAAAACGTGGACATACGTGGCCCATTTTCAATACCAAAAGTCCTGCAGACATAATATACATTTGAGTAAAATTTTATCGGCCTACTTCATTTCGTTCGGAAGCTAGAGTGATTTCCCTAGACGGACGGATATCGCTAGATCGATATAGAATTTTATGCTGATCAAGAATATATATACTTTGTGGGATCTAAAATGTATATTTCGAGGTGTTACAAACGGAATGACAAACTAAATATACCCTGCATGCTATGGTGGAGGATATAAAAACTTTCATAAAATGTGAAATAACCATATGATTCTCATTAAATTACCTCCCTCCGCATTATTTTCGATTGAATGAATACCTGATTCGCATTGAAAACCCAAATGCCATGGAAATATAATTCCACCACTTAAAACATAGTCTAAATAGATTTATAAATAATTATTATACATGTTTATTAAACTTTAATTGCCTAGAAAAATCAAAACTATTTAAAAACCTTGCAAAAATATACAATGCTAAATGTGTGCGCTACACTCTCATCAATGATAAATGACTTAAAAGTCCATAAAAATTACACAATTAAATACTTTAGATAAATAACATCACAGACACATGTCAAGTTAAAAGTAGTAGTAGATACCTTTTGTTGCATACATGTGAAAATATACGATTACATGCAACCCGGATACAACCCTGAATTTTTAAAATGTAACGAAGTTGAAGATACGAAGCCAACCTGACAAGGCGTACTAGTTTAAGCTCATATAATTGATTTTAATAAACGTTTGTGAATTCTTAATTTAATATAAAAACGGTCGTTGTATTTCATTTGAGTATACGGAAACCAACAGACTTCAATCGATCACTTGACATTTTTCTCAGAAGTGGGATACGACAAGTCTTATTGGAAGAAGCGTCTACCAACAAGAAATATGGAGAATTTGCACAAATGCACGGTTAAGCAGTTGCAAGCGAAATGCAGAGAAATTGGTGTTTCTCAAAGTGGTAACAAAAAGCAATTGATCGAACGACTTGAAGTCAACAACGAAAGCGAGCTGCACGGATTCGCATCTCCTCATGATATGCAGGAGCGAATTTCGCATTTGGAAGATATGGTAACTGAATTGCGTTCATCTATGGAGCAACGTGGACAATCAGAATTTGAGCCGAACAACGCATCATCCCCTTTGAACACGTTTTCGACACCGGATGGTAATATGTCCCTGCAAGGCACACGGCCTAGCTTGCCAAACGTGGCAAACGTTGTGACAATATTACCGGAATCACGTTCGATTCCATCGTATGTTCAAACGAATACTTCTTTTGGTGCATTTCAGACTACGTCAACAATTCCAACGGTCCACACGTGTGCTTCTGCTGGTTTACCAACGTTTACACCTTCATTGCACGGACATGCTCAACTTCCACGAAATACAACGCAAAATGTAGCGACGTCATGCTACAACGTACCAACACATATAACGACACATTCGAATTTTACAACAGCAACACCGACAGGAGTGTTCACGCAGCCGAACAATGGATATGTTCAATCAACGCAGCCCTACAACGCATATCTACAACCGCCGATATTTGCAACAAGTGTCTATTCAGCGCCGCCGCAGTCAGAAATAGTTATGCAGCCTTCACAACGTTATGTTCAGCACAACCCCTTTGGGAACGTTAAGGAAATAATTCAACTTTTGCCAGAGTTTAATCCGTCATCTGAAGAATCGATTAATCCTTCACAATTCGTGCGACGTGTGGAATTATTGAAGACAGCTTATAACTGGGACGACGCATCAGTTATATTTGCAGTGCAACAGAAAATGGCTGGCCCAGCCAAGTATTGGGTTGACTCACTGCAAGAGGTATTTCTGTCTTGGCCTCAGTTTGTTAACAAATTTCTTTTAGATTTCCCTCAAAATGTAAATGCAGCCGATGTACACATTAGAATGGCACAGACAAAACGGCAGTTCGACGAAACGCCGCAGGAATATTATTACAGAATGTATGCTATTGGAAAACGGGGCAATATAAATGAATCATCCATAGCACGGCATATAGTCAACGGAATTAATGATCAAGGATTGAAGCAGAAAATATCTAACGAGTATATTACCTGTAATCAACTTTTGAGTGACATCAACGCATACTGTAGTTATAACGAGGTAAGAAGAGTGCTGAACCCGATATCGAATAAGACGAAACGTAGCAATGAAAATAGAACTGCCCCAGAAAGGAAAAGCGATGAAAGAGTGAATAAATTCAAATGTTTTAATTGTGGTAATACTGGTCACAAAGCCGTAGACTGCCCAGATCCACAGAAGAAGAATAGATGTACGATATGCAAACGGACTTCACACGGTGCAAGTGAATGTCCAACAAAAACCCTGAACACAAATGTCAACAATATAAGGGACAGCGTAAAGTCCAACGAAATACTATGTAAACGTGTCAAAGTAAAGGACAAGGAGTTTGAGGCATTTATTGATTCGGGAAGTGATCGGAGTCTGATCAGACGAAGTTTTGCAATGATAATTGGCGAAACGGAAAATTGCAGTATGGTTTTAAATGGCTTTGCTGGTGGCAAATACGAGTGCACAAAGGTGGTTAAAGTGCCAATTGACATTGATGAGACGAGTTACGACGTGAACCTTTATGTTGTGGAAAATTCTATGATCCCGAATGATGTTCTTTTAGGTCGAGATGTTTTATGCCAAAAAGGTCGACGCACCATTATTGAAGGAGATGAGTGTTGGATGCAAAACGTAAATGCGATTAGTATCAACGAAGGCTTAACATCTGAAGAGCATAAGAAGTTGCAGTTGAACATTCAAGAAAACCGACAATGTTTTTCAGAAAAGTCAAGCGAATTGGGTAAGTGTAACTTAGTGAAGATGGAAATCGAAGTTACTACTCCAGAACCAATACGATGCAAGCCATATCGACTAGCATTTGCCAAACGTCCTATTGTGGCAAATATTGTGAAAGACTTACTGGATAACGAAATCATAAGGAAATCGAACTCTCCGTATGCATCGGGAATTGTTTTGGTCGAGAAGAGAAATGGTGAACACCGTTTATGTATAGATTATAGACAGTTGAATCGAATAACCGTACGTATAGCGCATCCTATGCCTGTACTGGATGAACAGATTGCACAACTCGCCGGAAATCGTTATTTCACCACACTCGACTTACGTATGGGTTACCACCAAATTGAAGTAGAGGAAGAATCGAAAAAGTTCACAGCTTTCGTGACTTCAGATGGTCATTATGAATTCAACCGGATGCCATTTGGTTTGGTAAACGCACCTGCAGTTTTTCAGGCAACGATGAACCGAGTTATAAGCTTTATGAAACCAGGAGAAGTTTTAGCGTATCTGGATGACGTCATAATTCCCAGTAAAACAGTCGATGAAGGTCTGGACCGAATAAAAAGATTTTTGGATATCCTTAAGAAATGTGGTCTCACGTTACGATTGGCGAAATGTTCGTTCCTAGCCGAAAAGATTTCTTATTTGGGACACATAGTTACACGTGACGGAATTTTACCTGGAGAAGAAAAAGTAAAAGCGATTAGAAATTTTAAGGTACCAACGAATGTAACAGAAGTACGACGATTCCTTGGCCTAACTAACTTCTTCCGAAAATTTGTAAAGGATTATGCAGCCATTACGAAACCTCTTGCGATGTTGACACGAAAGAGCGAAGAGAATAAATTTCGTTGGGACGTACACCATGAAAACGCATTCAGAAGTTTAATCCAAATTTTGTGTAGTGAACCAGTTTTAGCAATCTACGATATGAAAGCAGATCACGAGGTGCACACGGACGCTAGCAGTCTCGGATTAGCAGGAGTGTTATTACAGTCCGATGGTAATGGTAATTGGCAACCAGTGTTTTATTTTAGCCGCCACTGTTCTGAAACGGAATCGAAATATCACAGTTACGAGCTGGAAGTTTTAGCTGTGGTTGAAACGGTGCAGCGTTTCCGTATATATTTACTTGGAAAGCCATTCCGAATCGTCACTGATTGTGCCGCAATTACTAATGTGAAGACAACGAAGGAATTACAACCTCGAGTAGCACGATGGCTGATGAAATTACTTGAATTTGATTGTGAGTATGTACACCGACAAGGGTCACGTATGGCTCACGTTGATGCTCTCAGCCGTTCACCGGATCAGCCACAGACGGAGATTGAACCAGCAGGGTTCATAATGAATATTGATAGCGATGATTGGATTCTCACGATGCAGCTAAACGACGACCACATAAAGAATATTATGAGAGTACTGCGAAATGAATTGAAATCTGAGCAAGAGAAACAGATAAAATCTGAATACTTATTGGAAAAACATCGACTATACCGGAAAACGAAAAATGGACTACGATTGGTCATACCGAAGGCTATACGATGGCGCATAGCTAAATACTGTCATGATGATATTGGCCATTACGGGTTGGAGAAAAGCCTCTCACGAGTCGAACAAACGTTTTGGTTCCCCCGCATGAGGAAATATATGAAGGAATACATTGCAGCGTGTGTAGAGTGTTGCTACAACAAGGCAAAAGGTGGTAAACACGAAGGAGCTCTACATTTTAGTAATGTCGAACCGCTACCATTTAGGCAAGTACATATTGATCACTTGGGACCGTTTATAAGAAGCAAGCATGGTCATACACATATAGTGGCAATCGCCGATTCCTTTACGAAATTTGTGGTTATTAAAGCTGTAAGGAATACGAAGACATTGCCCGTCATCAACGTTTTAAATGAGGTTAGTGGATACTTTGGTTTACCTCGAAGAATAATTTCGGACCGTGGGACAGCTTTTACGTCAAAAATGTTTGAGGAATATTGCGATCGAAACAATATTCAACACATTAAGAATGCCGTTCGTACACCAAGAGCCAATGGACAAGTTGAGAGGGTCAATCAACTTATCCTGTCTTATTTACGAACTACCACTGAAGAACCGAAGGATTGGGACTCGGCACTTCACGTTTTACAATGGTCAATCAATTCAACCAAAAATTCGACAACAGGTTACAGTCCGAATGAGTTGATTTTCGATTACAAGCCCACCGACTTAATACAAAACCGATTGTTAGCAGCTGTACAAGATGATGTACAAAACGAAGAAATTTCCATCAACGAAAAACGTATCATGGCCGCAGAAAACATCAAAAGCGAACGAGAACGATGGAAGAAAAGATTTGACAGCAAGCATTCGAATCCGAAATTGTATGTGGAAGGTGACTTGATCCTTATACAGAATGAACCACCAGCGACAGGTGAATCCCGGAAGTTAGAACCTAAATACAAAGGTCCATACATAATAGCACGAGTATTGGGCAACGACAGGTACCTGATAGAGGACATTCCTGGAATAAACATCACGAATAGGAAATTCTGTTCCGTATTCAGTTCCGACAAGTTGAAGAAATGGTGTGAATGTTCCCCCGAATTGGATGTTTCAAGCGAAGATGAAGCCGAGGACGACTTCAGGTCAGGAAAGGCCGAGTTGTCAAGTTAAAAGTAGTAGTAGATACCTTTTGTTGCATACATGTGAAAATATACGATTACATGCAACCCGGATACAACCCTGAATTTTTAAAATGTAACGAAGTTGAAGATACGAAGCCAACCTGACAAGGCGTACTAGTTTAAGCTCATATAATTGATTTTAATAAACGTTTGTGAATTCTTAATTTAATATAAAAACGGTCGTTGTATTTCATTTGAGTATACGGAAACCAACAGACTTCAATCGATCACTTGACACACATAATATGACACTCATCGTCGCAGGAATGCAACTATTTAAACGAGATCACCTGGTGATAATTGCGATTCACCCTCGGCCAAATAGATATGCATTGCTTTGAACAACAAAGCAATACCCAGATATTTTTTCTCTTTCATAGACCAAGATTTAGCAGGACCATAATAATCGCCACGCTTGCAATTTGTCAAATGTTGTAAGCTTAGAGCATCAATAATGGCCGCCTCTCGCGTATACGCTTCGGTGGGCACAATATTGTGGAAGACATGCAAACAAACAACACCATATCCATTGCCCCAAATATTTAGGATGCGATCCAGTTTCTTGCTATCCGATGATTTTTCGGGTGGTGATTTAAACATGTTCACATTTAGGGGTTGTTTTTTAACTGTAAATAGAAATGGTAGCGTCAATAAAACTGAGAAAAAACTAAAAGAAGAAACTCTTACTTGAAACTTTTTTGCCAGTTTTACTGCACATCTCTGCTGGAGCATCCTTGTTGTGCAGTCTAGCATGGGCTTTCATGGCATCGTAGAGATGTGAATAGGGTCTCGAGGTTTTCCCCTTGCCCACATAGAATATTGATTGCAGAAATCTTTGCCATACATCAAATTTTTGCATAAACTAAGGGAATCAATAAAAACAAATATATATTTTTGCCACAGACAGATAAAAAAATTTTACAACTTACCGCACTTTCTCCCGGCAAATTACACGAAATTCGGGGATCAATTAACATATAAATAAAACTCTGTTTTAAATGGCCCTCACGCATGCGTTTCTTATCCTGATTATTGACAAAATATTGCATTGATTGTGTTTCATATTTCATAAAATCTTGTATGCGCAGAAAAGCCTCCTCTGATTTGGTGGTTCTTTGTAGTTCAACAGAAAATTCTGCAATAGAAATGACAAGAAAATAGTTATTCTTTTTTCGTTAATTATATATTTTTACAAAACTATACGAACTTGATTTCTTTGAGTTTTGTAATGCGAATTTGTAAAGATTTCGCAAAGCCGTGAGATCAAATTTGCATAGGACAGTTTTCAATAGATAATTTTGGACACACATTTTGCCAAGAAAAAAAATGAATTAAAATATGAAATTTTTCAATTCAAATTAAAAGCAAAATAATTTTTCTTGGGAAATATACTCAACAAAAAAAGCACACCCCAACACAAGCAAAAAAAGAAAAATGGTTGGATTCCGAAAGACATGATGCTAAGTAGATGGCCTGTCTACTAATCAATACATTTTCATTGTCAGATTTATCTGTTTCCATATGAATTTGCCCAGCTGCTGGGCAGCCAGACAGATAAATCATCGTTAGAATTTGTACAAATAACTTGTTGTTGGGATTTGTTATTATTTTTTTTAATGGGAGGGAATTTTTTGGTTTTTATTTTTTTCTCTTTACCAAAAATAAACTTCAATAAATTTTGCTGAATAATTTAGTGGGCGGCCTGTGGATAATACACGAGGCTCTGTGTTATCCCAATGGTTACAAAAGCTATATCTCTCTCCCCCTCCATACATCCATAGTTCTTAAATGAAAATTCCTTAGAGGCTATGGAGGTGTGGATGGGGAAGGAAGAGAGCGAGAGGCAAGATTAGGAGGGCGGTTAAGAACTTTTGGTGGAAAAAAACTCATGGTTCCTGAAAGATTAAAATCCTAGGTGAAGTTGGTATTTGGAAAAAATATTTTTAAAAAATCCACGCCTATTTATAGTTTGAAAAAATATTTCCTACCCATGCCATGTTGATACTTAAAAAATATATTATTTTCAAAATCCCCGTCTCTTAATACTTTGAAGAAACATTTTTTTTAAATTTCCATGTCTATTGATCTTTTGGGAATGTTTTTTTGGAAAAAAATATCTTCTAAAAAAACCGCGCCTGAAAGTATGCATCGTTCATCGGCCACTAACAGCTACAATTTTTATTTTTCCAACATAAATTTGTGGGAACCGATAATCTTCGTTATCCCTGTCTCGACAAATAATTCACTTACTTGCTTCGTTTTCTTTCTGTCGCGTTTTGATCTCCTCCACCAATTCAGTTTTGCGCTTGTATTTCATTAAACGTTTCAAATATAAACGCTTTGTGGTTTTTGTAATGGGACCTGGAGGATCACCAAATATTGTTAATTCAGCTCTTAGGGTATCTGTCTCATAATCCAATGGCAGTGTTACATTTGTTGATTGCGATGTCATAGAGGTATTACCATCATGATGGGTTCGTGGTGTCCTAAGGGAAAGCAAAACAATTTAAAATCACATTTTCCAAAAAATTAATAATTTAATAACTCACTCTAAATTCCTTTGGTTCGCAACCTTATTGCCCACATTACTTAACAATCGCGTTTCATAAAACACCATGCCATTCTCATCGTCTGTGTGCACATACGCCTCGGCCATTTGCAGAAAATATTCATTGTTTTTCGGTGAATGTATGAAATTCGCTGACGTATTCTGTTCATCGGCTTTGGGGGCTTGTGGAGAAAAAACTTTAATTTCGGGTACTGTTTTATAACTACTATCTAAATCTGTATTGCCATCCTGTTGGGCTGATGGTGTTTTGGAGGTTACCTCAGCAATGACAATAGGTTCCTCAATGGAGTTTTCATGAACCGTTTCTAGTTTTGGTTCAACAAAAGATATTGTTTTTGATGGTTTAATAGGCATTTTTCCACTCGACTTTTCGTTTAAAGATTTTTGTTCCTGCGGCAATAGACGATATTGTGTTATTTCCATGTCGGACGATGATGATGACGATGTTGTGTTGCAGGCGCCACTGTCATTTTCAATCACTTTTGCATTATTATCCACGTGATTGTTTGCGGTAACTCCTATCCTTTCTTTAACCTCTGGCTTAACATAATTATTCTTTATTTCATCGATGGCCTCTAAGATATCATCGAAATTGGTTAGTATGGAATTACGTTCTCTGGATTTTTGTACTTTATCACGCCACGTTTGTATGATGGATACTTTGGACTTCTCATTGATTCTGGTACGTTGTGTTAATTCCATTAAATTTTCTTTGGTCAATGAGAATATATTTACGGCCTCCTCATATTCTTCTGGTTCAGGTGTGGTTCCTCGAATGTCTTGCATAGAAATTGATAATATATCGTTTTGCTCCTCTTCCTCCTCATCAGGTATTAAAATCTCTTCCGGACTATTTTCCACTTCCATTGGTGGTATATCAGGCTCTGCCTGTGGCGTAGGTTCCGGTTCAGGAAATTTAGGTTGAGGTTTATGCCTACGATGTGTAATATTTATATAGTAGGGTGAGGTAACATCATAATTATAATTAATACGATTTGGAGTATATTTTCCACAATCACCATCTTCCCTTCCATTTATAGTGTTGTGATGTTCATCTATCTCGGCTACCTTTAGTAGGTTTTTATTTATACACTGTGGCGGACTAGCATTTAGCTCCATTCTATGGGCGTTTGAACGAACCGGCGTTGATAGTTTATTCAGGGATTTTCTACTTAATGAATATTCAAATTTACTCTCCGACATAAGTATGGAGTTTGTGTGTTTCTTCTTGGCGTATTTATTCAGAAATATGTGATCTCGCATAATTTGTACTACCTCAAACTGGCACTCTTCAATGGCATATAAAACTGGAGTTTTGCGATCATCGTCGTAAACTTCCAATTCGGCACCATGTTGCTAAAAATAAACAAATGATAACATTTAAAAAAAATAGTTCTTATCTAATTTCCCAGCAATTTAAATATATGTTTAAGGGTATTGAAAACACAATCACTAATACAAACAGTTGGGTTTATCCTGCAGCCTTGAGAACAGCAACATATGTTCGCAGGGATTACCATATGTAAACAACACGTACAGTCAGTACTTACCAATAACAAACGCACAATTTCCACTTTACCATACATGGCGGCCACATGCAAGGGTGTCATGCCATCCTCACTTTTGCAGTTGGGATCAGCTAAAGAAATTCGCAATCAATTTATGTTCCATTTCCTCTACTCAATTAATACTCACCACCCATATCCAAAAACCTTTTTGTTATTTCAATGGCCAGTTTCTCATTTGACATGCCGCAGACATAATGTAGGGGGGCAATTCCCCGATCTTGAGGTACAAAACCGGGATCAATTACATCGGCATTACGATCGAGTACAAAATATATATCACTGTAATGAATACAATTTTTAATAGTTTAAAATGAATCAACGTTTTTGCACGTCAAGGATATAACCAACCCTTCGTTTTCATCTTCCAGAGCATCCAATAACATTAATGACAAATAATTTGTTCTTTGGTCCATGGTTACATATTAATACGAAGACACTTTACTACTTAATGATTGAAGTACACTTTAAATCTGTTTGTCCTTTATTTTGGATTGAGATTTGTGTTGTTGTTGTTTTGAAATTAGCTACACAAAAAGGACTCCCTTAATGTTTTGGCTTGCTATCGATCTGGTGTGTTATCGAATTATTTGCAAACACTGCACTATCGACATAAACACAATGTTGCCACACGACTTACTTTAAATTGCACTTGACCTGTGGCAACATTCCCTCAACGAAATCAGACAGTGGGCGTTTTAAGGAAAAATTAAGTTTACGCGAGGAAGGAGATGTATTGAGTTATATTTTTCCTTTTTTTTATCCATTTATCATTTCTTTATAAAAGAATTTCTTTGTAATTTGGGGATGCAGAGGTTTATTAAGGGCGCCAAATAGTTTGTCATCGTTTTGTCTTGTTATCGATTGTTTTCACAAACTCTGCTTTATCTACACTTGCAATTTTTATGTTCCACTTAGCAAGACGTAAACGTAAGGTGGAAAGAATAAATAGCTAGTTAAGAATAGAGTTGACAAACATTGATAAATATTACCATCGTTCTCCATTAATAAACAAATGTTGTTTTATAAAAACAACAATAATGGGATTAAGTCTGACGATTTTTGCAACAACAAAAAACTTTCTGTAGATAGAAGAATACTTCTAGTCACTCTTTGGATAAAAAGTAAAAGCAAAGGGAAGATAGTCTACAAGATCTCATGAAATTGTAGTCATCTATATTTAATTTAGAAACGGCTTTTATTACAGAAGACGTTCTCTAAATAAAAAGGTACCTATAGGGAATACCTGGTACAGAATTTTTTAGGTAGAAGACTTCTAGGGAAACCCCGTCTGGAAAAAATGTACATGCCTTATATTTACATACATATCACGCAACAAATTTATTTTCTTTCTTACCATACCTCTTCCAGAAACTGCAAGAATGTAAAAATGTTACTACGATAACTGATTTTCGTTTATGATACCAAAAAATTGCAAATTTAGTAGATTTTGTAGTTTCTGAAATATACCATTTATTAAATCCCATATATTTTGGTGGTTAGGTGCTTCACTTTTAATTTAAGCCTTAATTAAACATTTTCCGCTTGAATAGTTTTAGTTTTAATAACACCCTTATAATAACGTGCTGAATATTTGGCAATTCGATCTTTATTGACACTGCCGCTGTTCACGTAGTATAATCCAAATTTTTCTCTGAAAGAAAAAAAGTAAATGTTTAGTGGATCAAGGTATTTAAAGGAATGACGAATGTAAATATGACGTAAATGAACAGGAAGTTTAGAGTTTCTCGACTCATAGATATATTTTCAGATTGATTCTAATGAACTTAAAGCTTAATGATTTTTCTAATGGATCAACAAGTCATTCCATTGATTATATAAAGAGGTTTCCTAAGCGTTTTCAGGCGTGTATGTCTTGCAACCTGCATAGTGCATCTACACCAAATGCATTAAATAAGCCATTTTTTATCATCAGGTTTTCTGAGTCGAATATAAAAATTTATTTTTCATAAAAACAGCAAAAATTTTTTCTATTCAAAACAATTTTGAAATGCTTTTCTGCAAGACATTTTCTATGGAGAGAGATCCCTAAAAATAGCTCATAGAATGGGCTATCTCATATCATTAATATAATTTATATATATATATTTTTCCATTACTTACGTATAACCCTTTTGCCATTCAAAGTTATCAATTAAACTCCAGTGGGAGTAATGCGTTACATTGCATCCATCATTAATGGCATTTAAAACGGCCTGCAAATGAGCCTAAGAAGAAAATAATGAGAATGTAATACATTTTTACAAAACAAATATATCATTTTTACCTTCAAATAATCTATGCGTTCGATATCATCCAACTGTCCCTCGTCCGACCAGCCATTTTCAGTTATCATAACCTCAATGTTATTGAAACTTAAACGGATCCAACTGAAAGGGGAAAGGTTAAATGAAGCATCAGCAAGATAATTAACCAGAAACATAAGAATATAAAAAGAATTGAAGCTATAACGTAACAAATTTGACTTGAATATCATGACCAGGAATTGCTGAATTTTCCTTTATGATATCGGAAGAGTGCGTATAATGAAGCTTTTTTATACACTACACCACATAGTGGTAAGGATATTATGGCTTTGTGCATTTGTTTGTAAAATGGAGAAGGAAGCGAGATAGACCTTGTATCCTTGTGAACAAAATGCAGGTCGCATTTATTATCCGATTGGGATGAAATTTTCCAAACAATATTTGTTTGAGCCAAAGACGAACCCTACTGAAATTGGTGATAATCGGACCAGATTTAAATAGAGCTCCCATATAACTTTAACCGATTTCGGGTTGATTGTGCACCGAATGGCCAATATAAGTCCAATTGACCCGAATTTCGGTACATACTACACAAATTAGGATAAAATCTGTTCCGATACAGCTACAGCTCATACGATTTGGGGTTTTAAGTCCCTCACATGCGTAAAATGCACTCCACAAGAATGATATTTGGTATCGGACATCAGATACTGCTCGAAAATACCTCTGTCAAATTATATCGAGATCGGTTCAGATTAGGATATAGCTCCCACACATATCTTTATCCGATATTAGGTTTATTGTGCACCAAATGGCTAATATCAGCCCAAATGAAGTGAATATCGGGACGAACGTTTCCATTTCGTGCAACTCGGCTCCGATATATGTTTTTTTAATATAATCCTTCATTTTTTTAATATAATCCTTCTCCAAGTGATATCATGCACTCTACAGCAATGTTATTTGGTATAAAAGATTAAAATGTCTCCGTCAAATTAAGTTAAAAGCGATTCAGAATTGGACAGGCCCTAAAGCCAAATGTTGATAGGTGGTATGATCTACTTCAAATAATTTCTTTTGTTTCGGGAGTTCTACTAAATATGCATTGTGGTGCACAGCATCATATAGTCGGCCCCGCCCGACTTTTGCCTTTTCCTTACTGGTTTTAATTTATTGTTATGCTCACAACCCTCAATCATTTTCTGTCGATCAGACAGACATATACGTCAATCGATTTAGAAATTGCTTATCTGTTACAAATGTAAGAGCGCATAATGTCCCATACCAAAATAGGGTTTTACGTAGAAAGATGTGGTGTTACGTATCAAACTGAATATTTACATAACTCTTCCGGAACCTGCAAATTACTTCTAATTTGTACTACTTTTCCGATCAGTTATCGTAGTAACCATGTTTGGTTATTTAAAGTTACTTACTTTAGTAACCCCTCCAGACCTTGTGGTACACAATACAACCAGGATGATTTTGCTCTTTTCCATGTCGGATCCAAGGCATATTTTAAGCGTGAATCATAATCCCAAGATGGTTTTTTACCTCTAGGCGGTTCGGCAACATCAACATAACGTGAAGTATAATAATTTAAGCCCAGAAAATCTGCCGAGTGTTTTATTAGATTCTTGTCCTGTTCACTTAGAATTGGTAGACGTGAATATGTTCGGCCTTCTTTGCGGCTATTCTCGGCAATGTCATCGATTATAATTTGGGGATAGTTGCCCGTCTCACCAAATATGGGATAGGTCAACCAACCTAACTGGATGTGACAGATAAAAACGGAAGAATATTCAATTTCGATGCCGCCATACTTACCGAATACTGCATGGCCCGATCTATGAGAGTTGTGTTATTCGTTTTTGAAAAATAAAATCTCGAACTAATTGTTATGCCAATTTTACCCTGTTGTTTTTCGAAATAATCTCTCTTGTAGAGGCGATAGGTTTCGGCATGAGCCTTTAATGTTGTATCCATGCAAAGATAATCCGCAATACCCGAATCTTTGCCCATGGGTGGAAAATTTCCTTCACCATAACCGGGCATACAGTAGTCATAGGGTTCGTTAAAGGTAATCCACAGCTTAACACGATCGCCAAAGTTTTCAAATAAAATTTTCGCATAATCAAGGAAATATTTTATCAAAAGCAGATTTGTGAAGCCACCATACAAGTTCAATGCCTCGGGCAAGTCATAGTGGAACATTGTGACCATTGGTTCAATGCCATTGGCCAACAGTTTATCAATGACCATATTGTAATAATCAATGCCTTTTTGGTTTTTCGATGTGATGGAGCCGTCGGGTAGTATACGGGACCATGAAATGGAAAAACGATAGAAATTTACCTAAAACAAAGCAATCCATTACTGAGTAGCACAAATATGCACGGATTTTACCTTTAGTTCCTTTAAAGCTTCCAAATCCTTATCGAATAAATGATAAGAATCCGGTCCCACATCTGCTGTCGAATGGTCCACAATCATTTCGGGATGTTCATGGGTATATGTATCCCATATTGAGGGTCCTCTGCCATCAGCATTCCAACCACCCTCAATTTGATAGGCAGCTGTTGCCACGCCAAACTTAAAGGTAGAGGGAAAATATTTACTTCCCGGCTTGTGTTCCAAATGGCAGGATTTAGTCGCACTTTCTTGGCAAGACACAAAATGTAGAATCACACTGAGAAATATAAAAATACAATTTGAAATATTACTTCAGTAATTTGGAAAAACTATTTTGATTTTACCTTAAAATCCAGAATTTTAACCGCTCCATTTCGCTTGTCTTCAATGATGACTTAAAGAAACTAAAACCAAATCTTGTTGTACGGTCCGGCGGAAGCCCATAGTAATTAAACTCATACAACAATATTTGCATTCTTTTTGGAGTGAATATCAATCTCTTATGGCATGCATTGTTGTTATTGTTGAGGGGCGAAAATGATAAAAATATACAGCCTCAGGGGTTTGAATTACTACCAGAATTTGACGATTATTCTTACCAATTGATTTTGGAAAACCACAAGGACGACCAGGGGATAAATTTACGATAAATATATATCAGCTACGATAACCTCACACGATGTTTATAACCTAAACCACATACAGGGTGAAATAAAAAAACTGCAACAAACTCCATAATTTTTTAATTTCTTTTTTTTATTTTTATTGAAGAAATCAAAAACTGTCGGAAATAGCATCAAATTTTAGAATAACTTTAGATTTGTTCGTATTGGTCATCTTTGGCACGAATTATGGCCCTCAAATGACCAATAAAATCGTCACACGCTGCCCGAATGTTGCTCCGCGGTATTTTAACCCGTTCCCTGCGAAGCACTTGCTTGAGCTGTTCGACACTTTAGTATTTTTTAGTGACAACCTTGCTTTCGAAAATACTCCAGACACAATAGTCCAACGAATTGGTTTCCGTAGATTTTGGTGGTCATTGTGCGCTGGGAATGAAGCGAGGAACCTCAGTTTGTAACCATTCTTGGGTGGCGCGTGCTAAGTGCGATGGTGCTGAGTCCTGTTGGAATGTCCAAGGTCTGCGGCCAAAATGTTTGCGTACCCAAGGCTTTAATACACCCTCCAGAATATTTTCGCGACATTATTCGGCATTTATTCTGATACCACGGTTGATTAATACGAGCGGAGAGCGACCATCGTTGCACATTTTCAGTTGACCTCTTTGGCAAGTTAACTCGATCATTTTTGTTTGTTTACAAATTGCTGGACAACGAATGTATTCTCATCGGAGAAAACCAAATTCGGCAGTTCACAACTTTCGGTCAAGCGAATATATCTTTAGCTCTTTTGAGTCTATTTTCTTTCCGTTGCGGTGTAAGTTCTTGCACTTTTTGGAATTTCAATGGCTTTACCCCGAGCTCATTTTTCAATATTTGCGGAATGGAATGTTGCGATATGTTCAACTCACAAGCCATTTTTCGGCCACTGCGGCGCGGTTTTCGGTCAAGTCGCTTCATTACTTTTCGAACCATTTCTGCTGATGTCCTCCGTCCACTTCCTTGACGTATCACGGTAACGAGCGATGGTACGAGACACAAAAGAACGATAGCCACTTGTGGTTTTCCAGCCAAATATAAAGAAATCCCTCCATCACGCTTTAATTCCATCTCGAATAACTTTTTTTCTGGAAAATTCTCACCAAGATGCTTTTGCACACTTTTAAACAATATAATGAGGTGTCACTGGAATAAATTTAACAGCTGTCGGACGAGTGGCTTAGAAATGACAGCAGTCAGAGTTTGTTTGCAGTTTTTTCATCTCACCCTGTATATATGTTTCATCCGATTTGGCGTTTAAGTCCCTCACATTCGTAACATACATACAACAATAATGATATTTGGTACCAGATATCTTATAAAGTTCGGAAATACCTCTGCAAAATTTATCAAGATCGGTTCAGATTTGGATATGGCTCTCATATATATCTTTAATCCGATTTCAGGTTTATTGTACAAATAATGGCTAATATCAGCTCAAATAGAGTGAATTTCGGGACGTACGTTTCCATTTTGTGGAACTTGGCTCCGATATGTATTTTTTTTTTTTTTTTTTTGATATCACACACTCTTTAGTTATCTTATTTGGTATAAAAGATTAAAATATTTTCGTCAAATTTTGTGAAAATCGATTCAGAATTGGGTATGCCTCCATTTTTATATTAGTTCCCTCTGAAACCAATCTAAAACTGTTCTAAAGCCAAATGTTGATGCGTGGTATGATCTTCTTCAAATAAATTCTATTGTTACGGGAGCTCTACTAAATATGCATAGTCGTGTAGGGTATCATATAGTCGGCCCCGCCCGACTTTTTACATTTCCTTACTGGTTTTTCATTCTAATTGTCCACACATTTGAAGTCAATACCCACTAGCTGGGTTTTGCTGCTATCTTCTGTAATTATACAATGGTCACTTCCAATGGGTTTTTTCTGATAAAATTTGGAGAACTTAATCTTCTTATTTTTTAAATTAAATAAAAATATATTTATCTCTACCCATTAGTTATCGCTTCCCAACAAATGTAGTAAAAATAAAAATATTTGCACAATATCAATGTAAAGATTTAAAGCAGCAAAAACATAGTCTTCTGGACTAATCTCATAGGCATGTTTGCCGCCCATCATCAATTGGGTGTTATAGATGATGAAAATTGAATATAGAAACACGCCCAACGAACAATAGATCAGCATCATGACATGAGTGCGAAAGAAAAGCAGCAGCAATCCCAGCACCATAAGCACAATAATTGAAATCAATAGGACACCTCCGATCGCTGTATAATCACATTTTGTTTGCATTGCATACAGCGAAAGGGAAATGCTGATAAGAGCCGTTAAACCACCTGCCATCAGTATGACCTTTGTATCAAATCGACAGCAAATAACAGCTACTAAAAATGTTTGCGCCAGGGTAAAAAGTATCAGGCATATGTAATTGTAGGGCGAGATGCGTCGGTAGGCGTTGCACAATGACATGAATATTGCCAAAACTAAGATGATAACCAGTGCTACATACAGCGCAACAGGATGTTCTTGAATGAATTCATAAAATATATCCCAGGATATTAGAGCCCAGACCAGTCCCATGGTAGCGATTATCTGAGCCGTCAATATCAAATAGACTTTTTGAATGAATTTTCTTCGTATCGAATCATTTTCAAATTCTGTATATGGCTGATTGCCCTGTTCAATATCATGGTTAGCTTTAAAGATTAACAATGTGACTTTAGTTGCCTATAGGGATTTTTCAAAGGCTTACCAATGGCAGAACCTCCAGCTGATCTCATTTGGAGAATTGGGGGTTTTCTTTTATTTTCAATTATGACATGTGTATAAATAATGAAAAAGACCCTCTGTACAAAAAGTATTTGTAAATAAGTAAAACCTGTTTTTGTATGACGATACCACAGAGAACTCGATAGAAAAACAAAATGTTTGATGGCTATTATTACATTTTATCACAGAGTGAGATGAAAAAAACTGCAACCAACTTCAGACTGCTGTTATTTCCAAGCTACTCCTCCGATAGCTGTTAAAATTATGCCACTGACAGCTCATTATATTGTTTACAAGCGTACAAAAGCATTTGGGTGAGAATTTTCCCGAAAAAAAGATAGTCCTGATGGAATTCAAGCGTGATAGTGTGATTTCTTTATTTTTGGCTAGAAAACCACAAGTGGCTATCGTTACAGTACTCCAGCATTTAAATGTGAATAAATCTTTTGTGTCTTGTACCATCGCTCGTTACCGTGATACTGGTAGCGTAGTCCGACGTCAAGGAAGTGAACGGAAGAAAACAGCAACAACAGCAGAAATGGTTCGAAAAGTAAGGAAGCGTCTTGATCGAAACCCGCGTCGCAGTGGCCGTAAAGTGGCTTGTGAGCTGAAGATATCGCAATATTCCACTTGGCAAATATTGAAAAATTAGCTCTGGGTAAAGCCATTGAAATTACAAAGAAAATAGATTCAAAAGAGCTAAAGAGTTGCCTCGCTTGACCGAAAGTGGTGAACTGCCGAATTTGATTTTCTCCGATGAGACTACATTCGTTGTCCAGCAGTTTGTAAACAAACAAAATGCTTGTGGTCACTTGCCAAAGAGTTCAGCTGAAAAAGTGCACCTTCGGTTGGCCACCAGAACTCAAGCGCCATGGCCATGGTGATGGTGTGGGCCGCCATAACAGCCAATAGTCGCTCTCCGCTTGTATTTATCTACCGTGGCATCAGAATAAATGCCGAATATTTTCGCGAAAATATTCTGGAGGGTGTATTAAAGCATTGGGCACGTAAAAATTTTGGCCGTAGACCTTGGACATTCCAACAGGACTCAGCACCATCGCACTCAGCACGCGCCACCCAAGAATGGTTACAAAATGAGGGTCCTCGCTTCATTTCCAGCGCACAATGACCACCAAAATCTCCGTATACCAATCCGTTGGACTATTGTGTCTGGAGTATTTTAGAAAGCAAGGTTGGCACAAAAAAAAATATCAAAGTGTCGATCAACTCAAGGAAACGTTTCGCCAGGAATGGACCAAAATACCGCAGAGCAACATTCGGGCAGAGTGTGACGGTTTCATTGGCCGTTTGAAGGCCATAATTCATGCCAAAGGTGACCAATTCTAACAAATCTAAACTTATTCTAAAATTTGATGCTATTTCCGACATTTTTTGCTTTCGTTCAATAAATTAAAAAAAAATGTAAAAATTATGGCATTTGACTTTGTTGAAGTTTTTGTATCTCACCCTGTAAGTAACAATCAAGTCGAGCATTGAGCCAAACCCAATGTCAAATCCAAAGCAGCGAGGCAAGGGAAATGTTCAACATATATAAAAGTAAAGCGCGAAAATGTTGACTGAGAACACCACGAAGGTGCTCACTTCGTAACAAGTACTTTCTTCGTAGACTAATGAATTTATAGACTATGATTTATCAGGGTTGCGAACCAAACTATTGTCTAAAAAACTTTGGCGAGTATATTTTTCACATAACACTGAACCGGTCCCAGCGACCAGTAACCCTATTTCAAAAACCAAACCATGGTTCAAAAGTAGTGTGAACCACTAAACCGAACGAATCCAATTTGGTAAGTGGTTTGGACATTCTGATTGAGCCGGTCCACCTACACAACTTCCAAACACACATTTTTATTTCATGGGTTTTTGATAATATTAAAATTTTAGTTTTGAATGACTTCTGCATTTTCACTCAAACCCTTGGAACAACATAGGCGACATCTACTTATTCGATTTTTTCGATAATAAACGGTGAGATCATTCCGTTGTCTATATGCTCATTAGTCCATGTCTCAATTGTCAACATTTCACTCTGCAAACGCTTTCCTTTGCAGAGCAAAGACAAAGTTAAAGAATAGACAAATAAAGGTATAGACTAAAAAGTTTTAAAATTTTCCCTTCCGGCAGATGTCACTATTGTTGATCTTGGGCCAGTCAAGTCACTCGGGGCTAGTGAAGTCACTCGACTTCAAAAACAATTTATTCATTTTTCTGCTATTTAAGTTCTATATTTTTTTATATCACGACATATTTGGAAAATGTAAAAGTAAACAAAGTCACTGTTTCGTTTTTAATTGATAAATAATAGAGAATCACAAAAATATTCAATATTTTGTATTTTGACAGAATTGAGTGAGTTTACTGAACCTCTCCTACAGCATGAACGACATCTATTGAAGCACTTTTGTCAGAGATAACAGATGAGACAACTTTTTAGTCTATACCTAATTTGTCTATGGTTAAAGTTAACCATTGTTAACCAATTTTTCACTCATACGCTGGAACGACATAGACAATGTCTGCTAATCCTATTTTTCCGATGATAAGCGGTGAGAGCATTCCTTCGTCTTTATATTCATTAGTCTATGCTTGTGTCACTAAATATGGACGAAGGAAAGCTCTCACCGTTTATGATTGAAAAAAAAATTCGAATCTGAAGAAGACGTGCGTATCGTTTCAGAATATTGAGGGAAAATAATCAAGTCACTCAAATCAAAAAAAAAAAAAAATGTTAGAAATATTAACAATTATAAGTTGTTTATAAACTTAAAATAGTGTATTGGAATAGAAAAAACTATCCCCTTTATGATGAAAAAAATGTCAAGTTCCTGTCATAATTAATATCCATGTCTCTTTCTTATTTTTTTAAATATATATTTTTAATTTAAATATGCGTGTATGTATCTATGAAATTTAACAATATAATTGTAATTGATTTAAGATTAATTATTTTTTAGTATATATAAGAGAAAATGCAGGATTACTTATATGGATAATAGATAGGAATAAAGGATACAAAGTAAATTGCTTTTAAATAAATATATGTATATATGTACGCATGTATGCAATATGATGATGTCAGTCTTAAGGTAAAGCATTATTTCCAATGTAGAATAGAATTCAGTTATTTTCCATTTTGTTTGGGTGATTTGAAAGTAATAATCAAAGATAAATTCCACAAGTTTTTAGCATGGACGAAGGGATGAGTGTAACCGCTAAGAGCAAAAAACTTCAAATATTATTTTTAACTGAAAAAAAGAAGATTTGAAAAAATTATTTATTTTAGAAATTGTAATGAAATAACAATTTTTTTTAATTCTAATATATTTGCCAATTTGCTACTTTATATAGCCATAGTTAATTATGGTGTTATTCAAGTCTACTTACTATGATTTTAATGAAATTCACTACATCCTCTATTTTTTTTTTCTTAAATAAAACAAAAACTACATTTTATTTTTAACCATTTTTTTGTTTCTTTTGTGAATGTAACTCATTTGTTTTTATTTCTACATGGTAATATATATTAGGTAATTTCTTGTCATATATATATTTAATAATTAAAAATTATATGTTTTTGTTTTTATAATTGTATGTATGTTTTGGTTTTTTGCCTTTTAACACAGTAACGTCATCATAGATTATTGTATATTATGTTAAGTACTACATTATAGTATTGAGTATTTATGTAGGTGTTGCAATTTTGATCTCTAACTTTATGTCAGGTTAAATAGATTTTATTTCAGGATTAAACACAAAATTAAAGAATTCAAACATAAATAAATGAAAAGGCAGAAAAAAGCACAATTTTTTAAATAGGCATTTAAAATTTAGAAACAACATGACCAGTTATTGTATTTTGTAGAACATTATGCTATTCCACACAAAACTCAATTAAATACTGCTGGATATATTTTGTATAACATTTAAATTCAAATCTGAAAGAATTTACCTTCACTCAAATAAGCATCGTCTCTTCATAAGTATTAAATCAGAATCTGAGGCAAGGACAAAGGCAACACATAACAATAAAAAAATATATAAGATCAACCCGGCCGAACTTTGAATACCCTCTACCATTTGGAACGAATTTGGCAATTTAAAAAAAAAAAATAAATAAAATAAAACCGGTTAAAAAATTCTGGTAAAATCTTAAAAATACCGAATGTATCTTTTATAGTGGGGTCTATACGAAGACGTAGACCTGCATAGGCAAATTTTTCCATAAGCCATTACAATATTCCAATGGGAAACTTGAAAAAAAATTCTGTGAATAATGTAGCTAAAATCATCGAAATACCGAATATAGGGAGGTACAGTTATATCGGGACTATACGAAGATCTGGACCTGCATAGACAATTTTCTGTAGTATCCATTACGAACTTCAAATACTAAGTTTCTGTTGAAAAATGTCGCTAAAATCATCGAAATACCGAATATAGGGAGGTACCGTTATAAGGGGACTATACGAAGACGTGGACCTGAGCAGACAATTCTCTGTCATAGGCTGTAGTATCCACTACGAACTTCAAATACCAAATTTGGAACAATTCCCGTGAATAATGTCGCTAAAATCATCAAAATACCGAATATAGGGAGGTACCGTTATAAGGGGGCTATACGAAGACGTGGACCTGCACAGACAATTTTCTGTCATAGGCTGTAGTATCCATTACGAACTTCAAATACCAAATTTTAAACATTTCCGGAGAATAATGTCACCAAAATACCGAAAATAGGAATGTACCATTATATGGGGGGCTACACCAAAACATGGACCTGCACAGACAATTTTCTGTTATAGGCTGTAGTATCCATTACAAACTTCAAATACCAAATTTGACACGTTATCGGCGAATTATGTCGCTTAAATCACCAAAATAAAGAAAATTGGGAGGTACCATTATATGGGAGCAATACCAAAACGTGGACCTACATGGCTCATTTTCAATACCAAAAGTCCTGCAGAAATTACATACATTTGAGTAAAATTTTATTAACCTACTTCATTTTGTTCAGAAGCTAGAGTGATTTCCACAGACGGACGGACATCACTATACGACATAGAATTGTATGCAGGTTCCCTTCTTATACACCCGAGGAAGCGAAGGTCTTACCGGGGCGACAGCAAAATAAAATGCTACACTTACTTGGGTTTTTGTAAACACAATTATTTCAATCATCATCTGGTGGATAGGCAACCTCCACCCAGGCACGCAAGAAAATACCTTCATAATATAGAGAGGAGGTACAGAGGAATAAGAGAGAGAGCCTCTAGATAAACAGGCTTATCACGGTCACAAATGTCATGGATGAATACAGAGTGAATTCCGTAATCGGAGGTCACCTTGCTCCCTGAAGAGCGAGATGTGCCTCGACAAACCCAAGTTGTTGGGCTCCAATTGACAGCAGTGCCCAGAGCTCAGGTTCCCATGACACGCTGCACCTCATTAACTGGCCAGCCAAACCTACTCACCTAACTCCTGTATCGCTATGGTCCAAAACTAAACAGGCCGCTTCCTTTTTGAATTTGGAGTAAAAAGGCAAACCATAATTAAACCAAAAACAGCAGTAGGACAGCTACAATAACTAGTTTTCAAATTACTTCAAGGCGATACAAAACAAATTTTCAAGACTACCTCAGGAAGTCAATGCCAAAACCTCGTGACCAAGCTATAGGTAATCCAATGAAAGGGAAACATTGCTATCAAACATGCACTCTACGTGCAGGCATCAAAGCCCTCCTCCTAAAAGGAAATTGTTTTTTAGCCAATTATACCGCCCAGTTCGCAATGTAACAGCTGTTGAAAAAGAGACAGTCCATCACCAGTTTCAAATATGACCGGGAATACAAAGAAAATTGTCAAGACCATCTTAAAAATTCAATCACAAAATCTTGTGACCTGGGCGTAGGAACCCAAACCGCTCAGGCAGTAAAGCCCTTCCTCTTGAAGGTTATGATTTGTCAGTCACTTTCCATTCCCCCAGTTCCCTATATAACTTGCTCTCGGAAAAGAGGCTAAAAATAGACCAAAATTGCCAAGACCGCCTCAGGGACAGGGAATCACCAGAAAACCCAACCCTTTTTAGGCAGCAAAGCCCTTCCCATTGAAGGTAATGACCTTTCAGCAACTAATTCCCCCAGTTCCCAATGTAACAGCTCATGAAAATAGGTTAAAATGGACGAGAAAATAGACCCAACCCTTTTAGGCAGCAAAGCCTTTCCCACTGAAGGTAATGATCTTTCGGTAACTTATTCCCCCAGTTCCCAATGTAACAGCTGATAAAAATAGGCTAAAAGACAGCCTCAGGGACAGGAAAAAAACACATGTGATCTCTGTAAATAGCCAATGATCTTTCGGTAACTTATTCCCCCAGTTCCCAATGTAACAGCTGATAAAAATAGGCTAAAAGACAGCCTCAGGGACAGGAAAAAAACACATGTGATCTCTGTAAATAGCCTTAGATGCAAACATTTTCAAACTCACTCCCAAATTCTCTTGACCAGGGTGCAGGAAACCCAACCCGTTCAGGCTGCAAAGCCCTTCCCCTCAAAGTAAAAAAGTAATGATCTCTTAGCCACTTTTTCTCCCAGTTCCCAATGTAACAGATCTTGGAAAAGATGCGAAAATAGACGAAGATTGCCAAGATAGCCTCAGGGCAGGGAAACAGCAGTGATCTCTGTAAGTAGCCTTAGCCTTTTTAGCAGCGTTTTCAACAGTCAAAATTCCAGACAAAATGCAGTTGTCATTTAAGAATCGACCTTCAGTCATTAAATCCAAAACTTTACATGAGAAGTTGGGCCATTGTATCAAACCGCATGCGAAGAACCTGTAAGTCCTACAGAGTAACAGGTGTTTAAAAATTCAGAAACCATTTTATTTTGTCATTATCCAGTTTTGAAAGCTATTCCGGACAGTTAGTTGTATAGAACTGAATTGATGGGTAATAGATTTCTCTTAATTAAAAAAGCTAATATTCAATATCCCACCAGATGGGATTTTCTAGGGCCGTGCTTAATAATTTCCGTTAAGGATTACAAAATTAAAATGATGTGTAATAACTAAAATGATTTCAAAATTATATAAATTATATGAATGTGTCAAGCTATTCGGTGCATTTGTAAGCTAAAAAAAATGTATATTTTAATTATTAAAACATTTTGATTTGATCAAACTGAAGATTCTAAAATTAAACCCTGGCCAAATGTCATAAGTGATTCAAATCCAATTTTAATAATGTAGCTGTTAGTCCATTTTTTTCTCATAGAGAAAATACATTTTATGAAAAATCTAATTATTCTTTATTATGTAATAAAATCAATAGTATATTGAGTATGAGAAGACATGCTTACCAATGACATTTGAATTAGAAAATAAAAACAAAACCAAAATATTATAAATTAAAAAAAGGGGATTCATTATAATGACTCTTCTATTACATTATGTATATTCGAAATAAAATATTAAAAACAAAATTCACAAATTATTATATTAACTAAGGAAATAAAAGACTAAAACTAATGTAGCGATAAATTATTACTTAAAAACAACGACAATTCACACATGACAACTAAAACTAATGTAAAGTAGTATTTAAATTAACTTGATCATAATTGGTGTAACTAACAATAAAAGAGAGATATATAGAATTATTTTGAAGGGGAGGAAAAGAAAATTTGAGGAAAATAATACCAAATCAGGAAAAAAATTCAATACTTATATAAATTTGTTTTTGTAAATTCAGTTTTATTTTCGTAACCAATTCATGTGTGTATATAAATAGATACAGGAAAATAGTTTTTGTTTATATAAAGGAGCTTTGTTAATAATTTATTCAATGGAAAGACATAATGTATGTATGTTTGTATGTAGTTCGATTTGTCTATGTGTAATACTAGGGTAGAAAAAATAAATAGTTGTTTTTTTGTTTTGTTTTGTTTGTTATATATTATATATTAAGGAAAAGAATCAAAGAATACTAGAAACGTTTATATTAGAAAGCTCAACAGCTATATGTACGGCTCTCTAAAAAGCAAAAAATATAGAAGCAAACCTTTTTTTCTTTTTAAATTCAATTTTGGTTTTCAAACATTGCTGTTTTGTATGTGTGGGTGTGTTGGTGTGTTTTTTCGTGATTAATCGAGAATATACGGGAATTTGTGAAGTTTCCTATAATTTTTGTTGTTGTTTTGTATTTTGTATTCATCAGTTTGTTATTGCAACTTCTAAGCGGTGCTGAAATGAGAAAGTAAGATTTTTAATATTTTGTAAACATTTTGTGGAACTAAATAAAATGTTATATAGATTATAATCTACCACAACTAGAATAGAATGTAATCCTAAAATCGGAAGAATCTATATATGGGAGCTATATTTAACTGTGAACGGATTTCGTAAAAATTTGTCAAGGATATTTCTCGGCTCTATCTGATATCTTCTACCGGAAATCATTCTTATGGAGTGCATATATAACGGATGTGGGAGACTTAAATAGGAAATCAAATGAAACCTATATACGGCTGTTATAGCTATATCTGAACCGATTTTCCCCAAATTTAACACACTTTCATATGATCGTAAATTCGATCGTATGTTCTTAAATTGATCAAGTTTTGAAATATATTGCGCATTTGGTGGACAATTAAACTAAAATCGGGCAAATATGTATATGGGACCTATATCTAAATCTGGCCCAATTTGAAAAGCGTTCGTTCTTGAGTCAAAAAAAAAAATGATTTCTGCAACAATTTTTCTTTATCGGACAATAATAGGATCTGTACTATTCTCGCAAAAATACATGGACGGATCGACTTAGAAAGTGATTCCATGGTGATAAATCATTTAAATGAACTATGGGTCGATCTCGTATTCTTTTGCCTGTTACAGGCAGTTATTTTATAAATAACGCATGAGCCATTCATTCTACTTTACCTTCAAATGGCCATAGCAGAATGAATGTGCTACACCTTTTTTACAGAACTATTTGAATTCACAATTTTAACCAATTTTTTCAAAAGAAGTTTAAAAATCCCCTTACAATAGAATGGCAATGACACTTTACACCACAAGGTGGTCAGGGTATTATGACTTTGTGCATTTGTTTGTAACAGGCAAAAGGAAACGAGATAGACCCATAGGTTCTTTTGATGACCTGCATAGAATCACATTTTGAGTCTATTTATGCATGTCGGTTCGTCCGTCAGTCTGTCCATGTGTTTTTGTAAACAAAGTACAGGTCGCATTTATTGTCCGATCCAGATGAAATTTTAGAAAAATCATTTGTTTCGCCCAAGAGCGAAACTCATTGAAATTGGAGATAATCGGTCAAAATTTAGATATAGCTACATTTTATTGTGCACCAAACGTGTAATGTCAGGCCAAATGGTATGGAATTTTGCACATACGACCAAATTGGGTCTAAAAATAAGTAAGCCAAATTTGATCGAAATCGGTTCAGATATAGCTACAGCTCCCATATATATTGTTCATACGATTTGTTATTTTTGTCCTTCGCAGCCGCAATATGCAGTCTGTCATAACGATATTTGGAGAAATATATCAAATTCAGCTCAGAAATAGCTTTGCTACATTTTATCGATATCGGTTTAGATTTGGATATATATAGGGTGAGATGAAAAAACTGCAACAAACTTCAGACTGCTGTCATTTCCAAGCCACTCATCCGACCGTTGTTAAAATTATTTCAGTGACAGCTCATTATATTGTTAACAAGCGTACAAAAGCATTTTAGTGAGAATTTTCCAGAAAAAAAGTTATTGGTGATGGAATTAAAGCGTGATAGTGTGATTTCTTTATATTTGGTTGGAGAACCACAAGTGGCTATCGTTAGAGCACTCCAGCATTTAAATGTGAATACATCTTTTGTGTCTCATACCATCGCTCATTACCGCGAAACTGGTAGCGAAGCCTGACGTCAAGGAAGTGGACGGAGGAAAACATCAACATCAGCAGAAATGGTCCGAAAAGTAAAGATGCGACTTGATCGAAACTGGCTCGTGAGCTGAACTTATCGCAATATTCCATTCGGCAAATATTAAAAAATGAACTCGGGGTAAAGCCATTGAAATTTCAAAAAGTGCAAGAACTTACACCGCAACAGAAAGAAAATAGACTCAAAAGACCTAAAGAGTTGCTTCGCTTGGCCGATAGTGGTGAACTGCCGAATTTGGTTTTCTCCGATGAGAAAACATTCGTTGTCCAGCAGTTTATAAACAAATGATCGTGTCAAATGATCTTGCCAAAGAGGTCAGCTGAAAATGTGCACCTTCAGTTGGCCACCAGAACTCAAGCGCCGGCCATGGCGATGGTGTGGGCCGTCAGAACAGCAGATGGTCGCTCTCCGCAAGCATTAATCGACCGCGGCATCAGAATAAATGCCGAATATTATCTGGAGGGTGTATTAAAGCCTTGGGCACGCAAACATTTTGGCTACAGACCTTGGACATTCCAACAGGACTTAGCACCATTGCACTGGTTACAAAAAGAGGTTCCTCGCTTCGTTTCCAGCACACAATGGCCACCAAAATCTCCGTATACCAATCCGTTGGACTATTGTGTCTGGAGTATTTTGGAAAGCATGTCAAAATACCAAAGTGTCGATCATCTCATGCAAGCACTTCGCCGTGAATGGGCCAAAATACCGCAGAGCAACATTCGGGCAGCGTGTGACGGCTTCATTGGCCGTTTGAAGGCCATAATTCGTGTCAAAGATGACCAATTCGAACAAATCTAAACTTATCCTAAAATTTGATGCTATTTCCGAGATTTGTTGCTTTCATTCAATAAAATTTGAAAAAAAAAATGTAAAAATTATGGCGTTTGACTTTGTTGCAGTTTTTTATCTCACCCTGTGGATATTATAAATTATAATATGCATATTATATACTTACCAATTTATATAGTAATTTTTGCTTGTACAATTGTTTTTTTGTGTGTGGGTGTCATATAAACGACCAAATTTTTAGTATTTTTTTGTTTTGTTAATAAACAACTAATTGTTGCATTTGGTTTGTTGTTGCTCTTAATTTCAAAAATTGTCCATGTTTGATGTACGAATTAAGCTGTCTTTGTGAATTCCTTGCACTTAGATGGCATTGTCTTGTACTTCCTCTGCTTCGACGACGAAAATGTTGAGCTCATTTTAGGCATCATGACTTGCTACAGATTCTAAATCACTATTATCTTCGCTGCCGGTTGCTTCGGTGGGATCGCCCATAGCAACACGGGCATATTCATCGGTATCAATACTTTTGCAAAAATGTATGGCATATTTGAGTTTTTCCATTAGAACGGCCTGAAATCACACAACCGAAACAAAATCGATGTTTTTTTAGAAATTCTTAATCACAAAATGTTATTCCAAAAATGTCCACTTACTTTGCACGAATACCGAGGCATTTTCAATAAAAAGAAGCAGGTATATGATTCGGGCAGAAAGTGATCGGGCGGATTTTTCTCCAAAACTTGTAGAACAAAGTCACGTCCTCGAAAATCGGCAATGGTTCGCGGCAAACGTGTACGACCCCACACAAAACGTAAGAATAGCGAACGTTCCTGTTGCATAAAAAAGAATATGATGAAGAATGCAAAAAAAAATCAAATATTTTAAACTCGTACCTGATTTGAAAATTCCTCCATGACTTCCCAGAACCATTGTACCAAATCCGAATTGGGATCAAATCCTTTGTATGTGGCCACCGATTTCAACAGACCCAATGGGATATCGGGCGATCCACAAACCATGGCTTGAAGTTCAGCTGCCGAAAACAATGAGAGTAGAGGGACGGGAATTACTTTGGACATGCCATCACGTACGGCCTTAACTTGTTCATCGAATTCGTGCAAGCGGAAATTCAAAGCCAACCGTACATATTCATGGCGATTTTGTGGTGTAATGCGTGTATAGCGTGTGGACAGTGGCACTTCGTGTCCCTTGGCCGATGACGTGGAAAAGGGCAGTTCTAGGGTACTAAACACCTTGGGATCATCGTCCATGTTGCGTATGCACAATAGGCCGGCTACATAATCACGATCCACCTCGGTTAGATCTGATGGTCGTAATTGTTCACCGGCCAATTGGCGCCAAACTGGTTCAGCAAGGCTGTTAACAAAATCAGAAAATAGGTTAAAATAATTTTCCCTCTGCAAAACAAAAAGGAAACTTACTTCAAACTAAGCGGCGAACCCGTTCTCACAGCAATACCCATAAGAACACCCAAAAATCGGAACATATTCATTTGCAGCACCGATGTGAGTGTGGGATCTAACAAAAAGCAATCGCGATTTGCCCCAGCCTCACCACGGCCATTTGGGGTGCCTATCAAAAGCGGTACGCTGCCATTTTGCAATTCATCACACATTTCAGCAATCGATTCACTATAACCACCGCCACAATCATCTACCGATTCGCCCACAAATTTCACTTTCCAAACACGATGCGGCAATGACAATGCCTCCTGCGTCAGCAGAGGTAATTTTTGTACCATTTGACCAAAAACACTTTTCATGCCATCCACACCGGCCAAACCATTCGCCGATTTATTGCGGGATCGTTTCACCTGTATGCGATTTAGCTCTATCACCGGTCCATGTTGCTTATCTCTTACCATGGTGGTCTGTATGACTTTGCGGAAGGCCGCCTCTTTTATGGTGTACACCAAAACATCTTTTAAAGCTCCCAGGCTTAGTTCACCTGAAATGCAAAAAAATTGTAATTTTCAAATTTCTCAAAAACGAAGTGACCACAAACCTGTTATGGGCAACATGGCCAAACATGGACACAGCAGCTCTGAAAAATGATGCAGCAACACGAGACGTGCATGTAAAGCTTCGGGTGGCAAATCTCTAACCAAATCATATTCCAGCGGGGGATTAGGTGGCGGTCTTACTCTTTCCGATAACTGCGATGTCGAAAGAGCCAATGTGTGTGCCGAACCACAGGTAACTTTGACAATATGTTTGCCCACCAAAGCATGTACCAACCGCGGTCTCTGTATGGCACTAACCGTACCATCTCCCAGTTGACCTTCATCGTTGTCACCCCATGTATACACCTCGCCATTGTCTGTGCAGGCCACACAATGCAAAGATCCCGTGGCAATGGACACAACTTTCTTTCCCTGTAGAGCGGCCACCTTTTTGGGTCGGCGCACATGATCCACCGTTCCATGACCCAAACGATGAAAATCTCCCTTACCCCAGGTATAAACAGCACCCGATTTTGTAAGGGCCACTGAAAATTGTGAGCCACATTCTACTTTTATGACACCCAAACCCGAAAGACTTTCAATTTTGACAGGAACTTTACAGCCATCCGAGCCACCACGTCCCAATTTGCCATAATCTCCATCGCCCCAGCTCCAAACATTGTCATCGTCGGTAATACACAACGTCTGGGCATCGCCCGAGCCGCAGGCAATATCTATGGCCCTATAGCCTAGCAGGGCTTCTACCAACTTTGGTCTCAGCTGATCCTCGGAATCACCATGTCCCAAACGACCATAACGTCCTTTGCCCCAGGTCAAAACATGGCCTGATGCTGTAATGGCCGCCGAATGGGCACTGCCGCAAGCAATATCCACAATACCAATACCGGTGAGATCCTCAATCAGTTTGGGACGATCATAACCCATGCGATTGCCATGACCCAATTTACCATCTTCACCCTCGCCCCACGAGTAGACTTCACCGTCAGTTGTAAGGGCCAGACAATGTTTGCCGCCCGAATTTACCGCCACTTTTTTCACAAAAACATGTTGCAGCGATGCCACCAGTGTGGGCACTGCCCAAGAGTCTGTACCACCCACACCAAGCCTTCCACCGCAACCATAACCTGTAGCAAAGAGTTTTCCATCCGGTGTAACTGCAAATAAGGTTTGTTCTCCTCCAGCCAATTGCACTGGGCGCAGCAAACTTAAAGCTTCACATGGCGTTGGTGTCTTAATGCGACTGCCTTCGAGGCCACCCAATTGACCACGATGATTGTGGCCCCAGCCGTAAATGGTGCTGGCACCACCCCACGATAAGGCCCAATCATCGGGACGTCTGTTTAGCCATTGCAGCAATTGACTGTCATGTTCGGTCTTAAACAAACTATGATCTTCGTGCATAAACTGTAGGCTCTCCCCCGCAGTTGAACATGGCGTCATGGGACCAGCAGATGCTGCACCACCTCCACAAGCTCCTCCAGACTCCTGCAATGACAATGTCATAACGGTATCTATATACTGTATCAAGCTACTGGTGCTAGGCGTTAACGTATTTACCATGGCCGTGAGGCAGGGTTGTGGTGAGGGATTTGTGGCCGTGCTCGTCGAAGATCCCAAAGATGTTGTTGAGTTCATCATGGAAGACGATCCTCCGCCCGGTTGCGGTGTATGCGAATGAGCCTGCTGATTGGGTTGTGGCATCATTTCGGCAAATTTCTTTCTCACTTCCATGCAAAATGACTTGGGCAACTCGCTACGTTTTATCAGGGATTGGGCGACGCGTACAGCAATGCAGTAGCGTTTAAACCACGCCCATTTGTGTACATCGGCCGGTGGTAAAACGGCATCCAATTGCATATCACAGGCAAGGGCGGCCAATGTCTTGAAATAGTCGGAATGCATCAGATGAATGCCACCCCTTACCTGTGGCTCTTCATATTCATATTGACGCAATAGTTCTGGTATCAGGGGCATGAGAATTGGATTTAAGGAAGCGTCCAGCGGCTTGGGAGCATGCTTCGTTAGCAGCACTGCATGTAACCGCTTCAGAGACCAAATACGTTGTGTTGTTGTCAGCGAATTTAATTGAGCACAAGCCGCCAAGGCAGCTGCTAAACGCAACAGGACACTGGTGTTGTTGGGACCCAAACGTTCATCTAGTAAAGCCATCACCAAAGGCATCGATGGCTGAGACAAGACCGCACGATCTGAACCCCTTTCATTCATTGTGGTGGCCGGCATTATGGCATGGACCCAAAAACGCCAACCCCAACCATTTACCGAACTGTCTGAAGTGAATTTCCATTTCATTTCATCACCGGGAATACGTATTTCCGACGCCCACTGGGCAAACTCCCGACCGGAACGCATTGCAATAACACGACCCGAACCATCCATAATGACCAAAGGGTCATTGCGTTTTTCTGTTGAACAATTCGAATCGAACTCCAAACGTAAAGCCTCAGCTCCGGGTATCTTGACATGACCAGTGGTCGTAACGTTGTCAACATAAGGGTGGCTGCTCTCCTGCATTACAGGCTTAGGTACTTTGCCCAGGCTGTAGCGTGATGTACAAAGATCTTCCAATTCAGTTATGCAAGTCTCCAGAAGCATAGCCCCAATTGTGGGACTGTTGGAGCCCAATGCAATCAAGGTCTCGGCAATTGTTTGGGCAGTACTCGAGGGACCAGTGCGCCCAGCAACACTTAACTTCAGTAACTCCACCAGACTCTTGGCCTCCGATTCGCCCAACAACGATGTGAAATCATCCAAGCCTGTCAAGGATGTTTCATTTATCATCTCCTCCTGGTTATTCATGGTGGCCGCCATAACAGACATTGCAGAGGCCGACATTTTCGAATGTTTGTGTGGTGCAGTACTCGACAATGATGCCGACAATGACATCGAACCGGTTAGGCTATGGAAAGCACTCAGATCTGAACGTATACGTTCTGCCCCTCTCTCTGTCATAGAGGATGTTGGCATAACACTGCTGGGTATTTCAGCTTCTGGCGATGGTTCGTGAACAGCTGGATCGGAAGCATCGGCCAGGGCTTCTCCGCCACCTTGAGCTATAACTTCATTGGTATTGTTGACAATTTGTTGTTGGCTACTTTGATGGCTCAGAGTATCTCTCATACCACCACCACCACCAGTGCCCATCATTCCTCCACCACCCCCGGCACTGGTTTCCGTATCAATATCACTGCTCAGTCTTTCATTTAAATTCACTTTGCTATGACTAGTCAGGGCGGCAACAATCAGTTGACGTGCCTGCAAAATACTCATGGCATTCAACACATAATTCAGTGCCGTTTGTCGGGCTCCGTTCGTTTCCAAAGACAACAGCGTTTCACTTAGGCTGGCTTTGCTGGGCGTTTTACTATTGCCACTGCTTGTAGAGGGCGCCACACAAACCGTTGGCTCGGCATCATATATACCCAAACTAGTGCCGCCCAATGGATCTTTGGTCGTTGCAAATGGCACCGGTCCCTTTTTCTCATCTTCCGAGGGCGATTGTGGCAGACCCCAGGCAATGGAATGTGAACTGCCGCATGCAACACGATTTACAAATACCGAGTCCAAACCAATTACCAAGGCGGGTTTCTTGTTCACCACCGTATTACCGGAACCCTGTTGACCATGATCGTTATCGCCCCAGGCAAAGACCTGTCCCGTGTCCGTGACAGCCAAGCAGTGTAAGGCGCCAACGGCAACATGAATAACTTTGCGTCCTCTTAATCCCTGTATGGGTTGAGGTTTACGAACATGCTGATCACTGCCATGGCCGAGGCGATAGTAATCACCTTTGCCCCATGTCCAAACTTCTCCAGTTCGTGTTAGGGCAAGACTAAATTGGGCGCCACACTCGATTTGTATGACACCAATGCCACTCAAACGTTCAATTTCATGCGGTACAGATGAGCCCTCCGAACCACCTCTACCCAATTTGCCAAAATCACCATCACCCCACGAGTATACGGCACCATCCTCGGTTAGGGCCAAAGTCTGTGCATCCCGACTGCCACATGCCACCTGTATTACCCGCTTTCCGCTTAGGCCAGCCACCAGCTTCGGTTTCAATTGGGTTGCATTGTCACCATGTCCCAGGCGGCCATATTCACCCAATCCCCAGGTATACAACTCACCAGCTGAGGTTATGGCTGCGCTGTGCGAGGAGCCACAGGCAATGTCTCGTATCTTTTTCGAACGCAGTGCTTCAATCATTTTTGGCTTATCCATGGTCAAACGATTGCCATGACCCAATTTGCCATCTTCACCCTCGCCCCAAGAGAAAATTTTACCATCCAAAGTCAGCGCCAGGGCATGTTTACCTCCAGAATGCACGGCAACTTTCTTCACCACATATTGATGCAGAACTGGAACTTGACGTGGCACCGAAACATTGGCACTGGTACCCAAGCCCAAACGCCCATTGGTACCCTCACCACAGGCATACACCTTACCATCTTGGGACACAATAAAAAGCGATTTCGAGCCGCCCGCAATGTGTATGGGTCGCAGACGACTAATGGTTTGTGAAAATGTGGGCACCTTCACTTTGGATCCCTTAAGGCCACCCAATTGTTCCTTATCATTCAAACCCCAAACCATCACGGTGCAAGGTGGATCACTCAGTGAAGAGGAAGATTTGGGATCCGCATATGATGACATGGATAGGTTTTGATTGGAATCCGATAGGTTGTCATATTCACAAGCCAAAAATGAGGCATTCATCAGCATCAAATCCAGGTCGGTTTGTTTGCGGCGCCCAACGATGTTCAGGGCGTGAACCTTGCATTGTATACCATTGTTGCGACACTGTTTAATGACTATCTCAATCCAGGGGTAGTATTGCCGTACATCGGTCATTAGAGCCACTGTGGTGTCGGTGATTTTTATGGAGATCCAAGAGTATTCCTTCAAGTTGCCAATGCTGTCACCGACTCGTGTTACCACCAAAGAAGGCATATGCGAATGATCACTGGGACTCACCGTAATCGATAGGCTGTGTACCAGAACATTTTCATGCATTTCCAGGCGTATCCAATGTTTTCCCTGGGTACTCGAGGAACTTTGCCAACAATTGGGACTGCGGTCTAGCAAATGTTTGGCGGTTGATTCATTGGAGGATACACTCAGAGAGCGTATGCAACGGGACCAGTCTTCAATGAGATCACTGGCATTGGGTACCGAATGGCTATTCAATCCCAGCAGGGTACAACCTTGGGCCGAAGTACCCACCGTTTCTATGTCATTTATTGAGCCCTTCCAGCCGGGATGTTGAGGGAAATCAACGCAAACATTTTTCCCATTGACCGACGTTACCGTGCCCACACTTCCACGCATAATGTTTCCCCATTTATAGCGTGGAGCTGCTCTCATACGGACTTGCGAACCTATTACCACCTGGGAAGATGTTATGCCACCGCCGCCACCACCACTTTCCAAACTAGCCACCGACGAAGTACTGAGTTTATCAACCGGCTTCTCTAGCAACTCAATGTGGACAAAACATACCCAATAAGTATTACCATGCAGCTGCCAATCTACCTGTACATTTAGGTCATGCAATCCCTCCGTGTCCACCTTGAGCACTGCGCCAATATCGCCCTGTTTAATTTCTTCAAAGTCGCGACAACAGCGCACAATCATGCCCGGACACACCAAGCCGCGTACATACATGGCATATTGGTCGGCTGTTTGGAAATCTTTACGAGTCTGATATTTAAATTGATGATCCTGAACCGAAGAGCCCTCCACGGTGTCGGAACTTGTGTCAACACTGTCATTGTCCTCCGAATCACATTCGGCATCTTGTAGCGATAATTTTTGGTGGGGTGTTGCAACCACCGTCTCAGATGGTGTGGGCGCCATTAACTCGGCCGGATCATTATAGTCTGTGGGATCAATGGTATTATTACAAATATCAGGATGTTCCAATATCCATTGGACTATTTGTTCGGGTGTGGGCATCATCGGATAGACGGTCAATTGTTTAACAGCCAATTCTACGGACTTTTTGCTAAAACCCATTTCCATAATTTGGGATATCAACGACATGGAGGTGTTCATTGTGGTATCGGAATCTTTGATTTCAATGTTTGAGGGAATACTGGTTGAGCTGGTGCCGGTGGCTTCATCGAATACCCCCATATTGTAGATGGGTGTGCCATGGATCATTGTGGCCTGCATTGAAGAGGGCATGTTGCCAGCGCCGGCATTACGCGATGATGAGGAACAATTATCGTTGAGTTCCGAATGGACATGGGATGCCAACACTTGGGAACAATTTAAAGCTGCCGTAGCCAATTCACTGTACGTATAGCAGGCCTTGACCGGTGAGGGTTGTGTGGCCCTAATTAAAATACTTTGAATTAGAAGTTCCGTTTCATTTGAACCCAGCATAAATTGTGTTGAAGTGTTGTTTATTTGATCTTGCTCTTCGCCACCGTCGTGGTGATGCTGGTGTTTACTCTGTTGTTCCGTGTTACCTATTCCCTTGGTGGTTTGTTCCTCATCGGAAATACTTTCTTCGGATGAATAGGAACACATGCCTGGAGATCTTTGTTTTAGTATTTTACGTAAGGAAGTTTGATGACGATACAGCACACAGTTGGCATTCAATACAGCCAATTGAATTTGCTGCGAACGCAGTAGGCTTATATCAATTATATTTGGTACCGACTCTTTGCGTTCTCCCGGTCCATATAATAACACTGACCATGAGTTTAGTAACATTTCATTCATTGGCAGCCGAGAGAGGCTAAATACCGAGTAGTCGGCACTTTCCAAAGCGGCACTCAGTGATATCTTGCGGCATTCTCCATTCAGGGATTGATTATCGGTGCTTAGCAAACATTTGCCTTTGGTGGTGAAACCACAAATTGTGGCTGTGGTACCCTCATGGCAAACTTGCAATCCCACCCTGGGTCGTATGTCACAACCACCAATTGTGGTCAGCACTCCCATTACAAATATATATTCATTCTCCAGGTGTTGTAAATCCAAGCCATCTTCGCCGAACAATTCGGCTGCCACACAAAGTTTTTGTGAAAGGAAAGAATTTATGGCGGTATTCCATACGGGTAGGGTATGGAGTTTTCTCAACAAAGTTATAATTTCCTCAGCCACCGTGCCAGAATGTGAAGATGTTAACAATATTCGGGGTTTATTTTCCGTGGTAGTTTGTAAAAGCGACGAATCATTCGGACAATACAGAGTCAGTTTTCCCAAAGTGGAAAATATTTGTCTAACCAATGCGGTCATCTTATTGAGATCACCCTCGTCACTCCAATGCAGTAGAACAATTTGCAGCAAGCGTAGACAGTGGATTTTTCGAAAAACATCTTGTTCTCGGCTGGTTGGTTGTTCCAATAGATTGATGTAGAAATCAATCCAAATGGGTGAGGTTAAGTGTTTTGACAAGGATATGGATTCACCTGCAAATAAGAGAACATCATTTTTTATTAATTTTCGGAAAGTCATTGTTGTTTTATGCAAAACTCACCTGCAATTGCCTTCAAGAATCCCAATGTTGTCCAGTTATCCAGACCACAAATATTAGCCAGCGTTGAATCAGGATTTAAGATTGAGCGAAACATTGAAGATATGCCACGTACTGCATTTTTATCCATCTTTTCGGAATGTAGGCCAATCCCGACGGAGACAATTTGCAGGAATTTTGTGCAGGCATAGCGTAACAATTTTGTGGGATGAGATTCTCCATTCAATGAGGAATCATAAGTTATTTCTTCTTTTTCCGTTTCCGAATCAGGTGAGACAATATTCAAGGCGCTGTCGGCTAAACGTAGGTCATATTGACCCTCCTTGCCCATACGATATGAGTTGGTGGCCCCAGTATACCATTCCACGCGTACCCAACTAGAAACAAAATCACATAAGTTACATGTAAAATGATAAAAAAAGAGTTCCGAAGATTTACCCATCCTCTCCCACTTCACTGATAATTCTACCCTCTCCCGGCGGATTGCCATCTTGATCGCCCCATTTCCAATCGGCACCTCGCACAATGCGCGTACCAATTTTCATTAGTTTTGCCAATTCCGGTCCGGTTAAATTTGCCTTATTTGATTTCTGTTTGAGTATGGTATCTTCATAGACCGTTGACAGTTCATAGGTATTCTTTACAGCCGGTATATCTCCACCCGTTTGACTTAGCAAACCCAAAACGGTACCCAAAGTACCCGAGTTGATAAGCAAACTCAGCTCATTGGAACTTACATCCTTGGCCAGAATACCAAATATACTTAGCAAAAATCTAGCCCTGGGTAATTTCTTGAGAAAAACATAGGTGCCCAAATTCGAATTATCCTTGCCGGTGTTGTTGTATTTCGACTTTAAATGTATTTGTTCTTGATTGACCAGTCTCTGGAGTTCGTACACTGACCATTCCAATATTTTGGCCTGGGCCAACATTAAATTGGCCTTCTGGAATGCCGTTATCGAGCCGAGATCATCCAATATATTTGTGGTCGTTTGTTTGTTGCCCTTCAAATGTAGACCCAAATAACCGCTCAACATATTATATTTCACAGCATCCATTAGACCATTGACTTGCAGGATAGTGTGAAACATTTCCAAACCCTGTCGACGTATTTGATAACGTTGCACCTGACAATACATGGCTCTGCGTACCGTCTCAACATCACAGATTTCTTGCATTACAAATTCGACAATTTCATTCATAATTGTGGTATTCACATCTCCAGAGAAATACCATTTTTCACATAGTCTACGTATGAGTTCGCCGCTAAGTCTTGTCTCAACTTCGGGTTTCTTATCTTCGTAATCCAGATCGGCTGCGGCCTGTTGCTTAATTTCATCATGGGATGCCTTGCGTTCACTTAAAATAACATTGTTATCTCCCGCCTCTAGGAGATTTTCATTTGAGGCATGATTTGTAAGGGTTGGTGGTATTTGGACAGTGGCAAGTGGGGGTGGTGGCATTGCAACTATCTCTGCAGCTGGTGGTAGATTGCGATCGATATTTGAAGCTTCCAACAGGGATTCCTTAAAGGAAGAATAGAGTAAACAATTGATTTTAAACTTTAAAATATTTCTCCAGCTTACCTGCGATTGATTCAGTTTTTGGGCAACATTCTGACTCTGTATCGTAACATTAAGTATATCCTCGGGTTTGGCACATACCAATTGTTTCTTGGCCACACGCATTTCACCAATAATTTTACGCACAATTTGCTTAAATCGCGGTAATTTATGGAGTATGGGCAATTTGTGAAGACCTTCTTGTTCCAAACTTACCGCTGGCCGTACCTCGTACAATAGAAAACGCAAACGTTCCAACATGGGAGCACATACCTCTTTATAGCTGCGATTCAATTGTTGCCGTATTCGAACTACCGACCATTTGGTTTGATATATTAAACGAATAATTTCTGAAATTTGCTTTGGTAATTTTCCGGCGGGATTTGTTGTAACACCACCCAAATCTCGTTCAATCGTCGTCAATATTAAACCACCCAAACTTTGATGGCGTATCAAGACTGCCGTTAATAAACGTTCCAATTCTTGTACTGGATGTTCGGCTGGAAATTCTTGATGCCATATCAAATTGTTTTCCTTGCAAAAACGTTCAGAAATTGTCATCCATGTGACGACCAAGGGATCGGTTAAACGTCCATCCGATAGTCCGGAGACAAGCGTTTCAATACGTTGTTGTACATTGTTGGGTGATAGTATGGTGGCTCCAATAGTTGCCATTGTATGGGCTGGTGGTTCGGTAGGTGTACTGCCAGCAGTACTGGCACTGCTGCGAGCTTCACCCTTTTCTTCATCGAACGGATTACTGGGTTGTAGTACCTGCAAACCTCCACTTAAGATACTTGACTTTATAATTGTTTTACATTGCAACTCGGCCGGCTGGGGTGGAGGACCAATTTGTAGGGTGTTAACAACCAATCCCAAAAGATAGGCCAACGCCCGCTCGGAATTGAAATGGGTAAGAACTTTGCTCTGCTGCAGATGGGGCTGAAAATTGAAAAGAAAAAAAATAAATTAAGTAAAAGTAAATTTAAGATTTTAGGAAAAACATATTTTTACGGATATTCTGCAACCCATAAAATAGGTCTTGAAGAGGTCTTCTGTAGATATAAAAGACCTTGCTTCAACAGAGGCCCTTTTTAGAAACCTTCTGAGGTCTTCTGTAGATAAAAAAATTACAGAAGACTTCTAGAATGACTAATCTAAGGTCTTAACAGGAACTGCTTTGCTTTGAACTGATAGGAAGGCTTAAAAGTGTTAGGCATAGAAATTTGTTTTTGGGCCTCGAAGATCCTTAAATAGTGCAGGAGTCTTTTAAGTTCTTATATTGCAAATAGCCTTAAAAATATCCTTATGAGAGGATGGACTTTCAAGATGCCTTCTGTAAAAAGGAAAACTTTTCTCCTCCAAAGATAGGCAAATAGCCTTAAAAATATCCTTATGGGAGGATGGACTTTCAAGATGCCTTCTGTAGAATGGAAAACTTTTCTCCTCCAAACATAGAAAGGTAAGGTATATATAACACTCCTTTCTATGGTTGGATTTTCAAAAGGTCTTTTATAGAAGGAACACCTCTAAAGAGGTTCTCCAGAGATGATATGTGAGGTACAGATTGCACTCCTTCTTAGAGATTGTCTTAAGTTGGACTGGAAGTTGGACTGACTCGCATAGATGCGAGAAATGATTGACTACAGGTCTATCAGTCTTTCGTAGACTGGAGAGACTAATATATATTGAGATCATATCTTGTATTACCCGGGTGATAAACAATATTCTAAAGGACCTGGAAATTAAGGAACAAAGGTAGTGGCTAACGCTGACGATGTGGTACTGCTGATTGCGAGTAAATTCTTGCAAATTATTTCAGATCTCATGCAGGGAGCTCTTGTGAAACTCTCTAAATGGGCACGATGCAACGGACTCGGCGTGAACCCATCTAAAACTGAGCTCGCGCTTTTTGCAAGCAAGCGGAAAATCCCAGATTTTTCGCTACCTATGCTGATAGGAGTTAGGTTAAGGCTGACAACGGATGCTAAGTACCTTGGTACCGTCTTTGACCAAAAATTAAATTGAAAAAAGGAACATCAAGGAGCGAGCGAAGAGAGGTTTAAACGCACCTATTCTTGTAGAAACTCTATAGGGAAGAGTTGGGAGTTAAGCCACATATAATCAAATGATTATATGAATCATTTGTTCGGCCAATACTAACTTATGGAGGGCTAGTATGGTGGCAAGCTACCTTCAGTAAAAGCATTAATAAAGTCCAAAGAGTAGCATCGTTACTAATTACATGTGCGGTTAAGAGCACACCCCAACCTGCACTCCACACTCTATTAAAAAACTCAAGTCTTTTTGTAGAGAGACAGGCTGCTGGTGTGCCCTACGACTCAATGAACTGGCTCAATGGCGCAGTCAGTCCTAATAGAAGGCCTTTTTCAATAGATCTCTATTTCTTAGCTAATTTTCTTTTAAAAAAAAAACCTTCCAAGGTGCCTTCGACAAGTGGAGAAACCTTCCAAACGGATAGATCGACCTTCCAGAGCTGTTCTACAAATTTCAATGGCTTACCTTTTCTTCGCTTATATTCGGGGCATAACGGCCAACCTTGTAATGACTTAATATGTACTCCAGACACGAACGATAATTGGTGTTATTTAAGTCCACCGAAAGATCCTTTCCAATGCTCTCATTAAGGTAATCATTGATGCAAGAATTCTCATGTCTAAAAGATTTAAAAATATCGCGGGATTAGAAGTCATGGCCTTCTCTTTTTTCCTCCATTAAACTACTTACTGGTAATCATTGATGTCACAAACATAACCATTTAAAATAATCCATTTGCCACCATCCAATAGATGATTCTCAAAATCATTCTTACGTATCAGCACCATTTCCTCCTGTTGTTGCTGTGTCATTGAGGAGTTCTTCAAATTTCCCCTACATATGATACCCGGCCAGCCCAAATCATCCGAGTCCTGTATATCACTATCACATATGAGACGATTTAAATTATCTAAGGCATGCAGTAGAGGAACAAAATGATGAGACCAATCGAATGCCGGCATAAGGGTGGGGCGATCACGTTTCAAAATAATAAGGCCAATTAGAAGTTCATAGAGCAATGTGTCGGAGATGTCAGTCATTAGGATGTCGGCAACACCATCCTTGCCTTGCAAGGCCACCTCATGGGCTTTCTGCAGGGAATGTATGCATAGGCTAATAGCACTTTGAACATATTTGCTAAGCAGTAGTTCGGCACCGGTGAGATCCTCATTTTTGGGACTTTCGTGAATATGGGAAAATAGGAGACGTTGGAAGCGGTGCAATAAATCTAAACTGGGACTAGAATGTTCCAACGATTGTAGCGAATTCAATGAGGGATTATTGTCTTCTTCTGAGGTCTTGAGGCAACCATTATTGAGTACTAGCTGGGTTAGTTTAGCCTGGGTCAATGCAGAGTTGTTGCGTAGCAATTGTTTGATTAGATGCAGCAAGGGTAGATTATGTCCATTATCGGCACAGCAGTCATTACACTCCAGTCGTATGGCTTGTTTTAAGGCCGTCTCCAAGCCTCCTTCCGCCATTAGGGAACCCACCAATAAATCCGTCATAAATCTATGGCCTGCTGTGGAAATTCCCGGCTCCGATGGCAGTAGTGACGTTAATGTTTGTGCTCTTTCTGAGGCAGTTGGTAAAAGTACGCTCCAGCCAACTTGCAGAGCCCATTGGGCAGCTTCTTGCATTGTTTTCAAGACATTTGCCCCACCAGCTAGGCTGAGTATACGAGTTTTTAAACTGACCAATAAACGTGAGCCCTCTGAGAGCCCCACACTTTTTGCCACAATACCATTTGCAATTAGAGCATGCAATTGCAGCCTCAAAAGATTTAAGCAGGCCACCGCCACACATTCGGCTTCTTGATTGGGTGTCTGGCGATTATTCGAGTCCTGTCCACAAACCATGCCCAGCAATTGATCCAGCAGACGGAATGTCTGTTCGCTCAGATCGATGACAAATGGTATACGTGCCGGTATTCCCTGTATAGAAGTTTGACTCCAAATGATGCTTTGCGCCGCCCCACATGCTATGCCATAGGCGAACACCGAAGGATGTGTGGCCAATATGGGCTGTTTTACCAAAGGTTCTTTACAAATCGAGGCGGGGCATATTTGCTGGTAATCGTTGCGACCCCAGCCGAACACCTCACCACCATTGGCACTCAGGGCCAAACAATGCGAGACACCTATGGCCACATCAATTATGGTCTTTGATTGTAGGGCTGTTATTAATTTCGGTGTACTTAGACACTGTACTTGTTTATCCAATTGGCTGTGACCCAGGCGTCCACCACTGGACTTACCCCAGGAATATAACTTGCCATCGCATGTCAGGGCCACCGAGAATTGTGCTCCAGCAAAGACACGTTGTACACGTGGCAGCGTATCAATTATTTGTGGTATTGGTGATCCATTACAGGAACCATTACCCAATTTACCAAAGTCACCATCACCCCAGGCATATACCAATCCGCTGGCAGTTACTGCTAAAGTATGGGCATCACCGCTACCCAGGGCCACATCAATTATTTTGTGTTCAGCCAATGCAGTAACAGGCATTGGCAAAAGTTTATCATCCGAATTGCCATGACCCAATCGGCCATAGGTTCCACGTCCCCAGGTGAACAGAGTGCCATTGAAAGTGATAGCCGCACTATAGGAACAACCAACATGCACCGATTTTACAGTACTTTCGAGGGCATTAATTTTTGTGGGATGTTCTCGGGGTAGAGTATCACCATGACCCAGGCGACCACCAACACCATTGCCCCAGGAGTAGGCATTTCCTGGAAAAAGAAATAGAATATATGATTTATTAAAAGAAGCATAGAGGAGAATTGTTATAAATAAAAGACCCATATCTATTCAAAAAATAAGGTATCGTAGAGGTTTTGGAGAGATTTTTTAGAATTTTTCTACAGAATGGAAAGAACGCCTTTCGAAAAGACTATTTACTATATCTTCTGCAGTGCAGAAACCTTTCCACTGAGTTTTTTTATGGATTGCGGAACTTTGAAAGGCCTCCGCAGATGTTTTCTATAAAAAAACTAAATTTCTAGAGGTATATAGGTACAACAATAGGTCTTCTGCAGACAGAGAAACTTTCTGTAGATTCTCTGTTGAGGATGGGGCTTTTAGAAGGTCTTATTTTTAATGAAAAGCTTTAAAATACCTTCTCTGGATAGACCTTTAAAAGTCAATCTTTGAAGATATTTTTTTTTGTAGATTGGATGTCTTGGATTTTGTCAGGAAAAAAGGCAACTTAAAAAGCACCCTCTGGGTAGGAGAAAAAACATATTACTCCATAATAAATCCTAATATAGTTTTATAACCCCTTCTACTTACCCATACTATCCACAGCCATGTAGTGTCGACCCTCACAATGGGCTGCCACAGCAATAACATGAACCTCGCTCATTTCCTCAATTAGCATTGGTTCAGTTTCTGGTTTCGAAATACGCCATGTATACATTTTACCATCCTGCGTTAGGAATAGCACATACTCTTCCGATATAACCACCTGTTGTACTTGAAAATAGAAATTCAAAACTGGTGCTGAATATTGACTAAAGGTTGTTTGATTTCCATTCAGGGGCATGCCAACTGCCGGTTCGGCAGTAAAACCATTCTGGTGTGGGTTTAACGACAACCATCCCAGGGCATATATGCGTTGCTCATGCAATTGTGGGGTACTTGAGGAAATATTATTGTTGTTATTTGTGGTAATAGAAGCACCCGCCCCACAAGAACCACTCTCTTGAGAACTTTGATTAATGAGCGATGTCTTGCCCAAAGCTGCCGAATATTTATTCATTGCATTGTAATTGGTCTGTATGGAATGTGCTGAAGGCATGTGCGGTTTGGCCAAACGATCCAAATGGGATATTATCACAACTGCTGCCTGTTTCAGATCAACATTTGCATTTTCCTGATCGGGCAAGGTAAGGAAACGTAGAAAACATTCTGTTGCACTGGATGGCAAGACGTTGGCTGAGCCATTTGGAGCTAGACCATAATTGCCAATGGATTCGTAGCGTTTTAAAATTGGCACCAATGGTGCACCCGAGTTTTGTGGTACATCACGATTATCATCGGTTGATTTATCTTTTTCCCAGAGGGTGAATAAGAGTACCACAGCTTCCAGTGATGCGGCTAAACTTCCTTTTTGTGCTCCCAATTCTAATAGCAAACAAAGGGCAGTATGTCGATCTTCTTTGGGTGCCAAACAACGACCGCCTAGAGGATCACCCAGGGCGACTTGTCGTAGGAATTTAATCGAACGTTCCAATACCTCAATCCATAGTGGCGAAACCTAAAATTAGAGAGATAAAAGAGATAAATAGAAGACATCAAAAACCAATGAGGAAAAGTCAAAAGTCGGGCGGGGCCGACTATATGATACCCTACACCACTATGCATATTTAGTAGAGCTCCCGAACAAGAGAATGTATTTGATGTAGGTCATACCACCTATCAACATTTGGCTTAAGAGCAACTATAATTTGTTTTCAGAGGGAACTAATATATGGGAGGCATATCCAATTCTGAATTGATTTTCACTAAATTTGACGGAGACATTTTAATCTTTTATACCAAATAACAATGTTATAGAGTGCATAATATCACTTCGAGAAGGATTTTATTAAAAAAGTTTATATCGGAGCAGAGTTCCACAAAATGGAAACGTACGTCCTGAAATTCACCCTATTTTGGCAGATATTAACCATTATTTGCACAATAAACCTGAAATCATATTAGTGATATATATGGAAGCTATATCCAAATCTTAGCCGTTCTCGATAAAATTTGGCAAAGGTATTTCCGAGCTCTATAAGATATCTGGATAGAAATCGGATAGAACATATATATGGGAGCTATAGCTATATTTGAACCGATTTTCTACGAATTCGATGTACTTGCTTCTAGACTAAATTCGGTCGGATGTATCAAAATTCAGGACTTTTGGTCTGATATTGGCTATTTGGTGCACAATTAACCCGAAATCGCTGGAGGATATATATGGGAGCTACATCTTAACCGATCTTCACAACATTTGGTACACTTATTTATTTATTTATTTATTTATTTATTTATTTAATTCATACTTAATACTAAAGCCTCCAAGGCCAATTAATTGTATTAATAAGGTACTCAATACCAAGTAGAAAAAATAAAAATAACTTATAAAAAACTATCACATTATTTAAAATCAAGATATAAAAGGCTCCCCAGCCAAAACTACAGAAAGAAAATCAAAAGTAAAAAAATGAATCAATAGGGGCATCATAACCAACAACAAGCAAATAATTTTTTTTTTTTTTTTTTTTTAAGGAAGGTAACCATAAATTTGACTATAAAGAAAATTAAACCATTAAAAAAGGGTAAAACGAAGATAATAAAAGCTCAAAACAACGAAACTAAATGGGATGAATACCAGGATACAGGACATGATTCAAAACTTTTAAACGAAAGGCATTATTAGAATGGGAAAAAATTCTAAGCTCAATAGGTAGATAATTCCACAAACGTGCAATACGTACAACAAAGGACTTTTCAAATGTTAAGTTATTTATTCTGGGTATTAATATCTGAGTACTCCTGGTTGACCTGGAAAAACTGAACATGTTAGCCAGAAACCTAGGAACTCCACCTCTGATTGTTTTGTAAAAATAATGCAATAACTTAACGGATAAAAATTGTTCAAAAGAAACTCCCAAGAAATCTATAACAAAATTTGAGATGTGATCACGTCTCTTCAAACAATACACAAATCTCACGATAGCATTAACTATACGCTTAACTCTTAAACAAAAACTATTTATCGTACCAGATACCAATTCAAGCCCATAATTAATATGAGGCATTAAAAGAGCATTCGCCAACCTCTTTTTAACCCACAATGGTAAAAATAAATTGGTGCCATATAATCTGCGAATAATAGCAAAAACTCTCCTCTGAACGGAACCGATATGAGTCTCAAAAGAAAGTTTCTCATCTACCAAAATACCCAACATTCTATGACAGCTTACAAAACTAATGAGATTACCATCAAGAGCAATATTGAGATTATATGCATGACTGCCAAACTTAAGAGCCTTTGTCTTTGACGGATTCAAAACCAGAGAATTTTCAAAACACCACTGTCCAATATGAACAAGACAATTATTAATTTCGCTTTCAAAAGCAATAGGGTTAATATAAGAATTAGTAAAAACGAGAAACACATCATCCGCATATAAGAGAGGAGTGCAATTCTCACCATAACAACACTCAGAAAGGCTATTGACATATAAAATGAAAAACAAAGGGCCTAATACAGAGCCCTGCGGAACACCGCACGAAAGCAGTGACACACTTGAAGATCTATCATTGTAGTAAACGAATTGGGATCTACCGGACAAATATGATAGAATAAGGTTACAAGCTGTCTCAGAAAAATCGAACTCATACATCAGTTTCCAGAGTAATATTTGATGAGAAAGAGAATCAAATGCCCTTGTTAGATCCAACGAAACAACTACAGTATCTTTTTTAAGATTCGAGTTATATCTCACTAAGTCAGTTAAGTACAGAAGCAAACTGGTGGTATTATGATTCCTACGGAATGCAAATTGACCATTATATATCTTGCTTGCAACATGAGCAAGTATTTGGTCCTTCATCACATGCTCACACACCTTAGCCATCACAGGGAGAACTGAAATAGGCCTGAGATCATCAGGGCTATGAACAACATTCCCCTTCGGAATTGGAACGACACGGGCTTGCTTCCACAAACAAGGAAACACAGACGACATCAAAACAGAATTAACCAAATCCAAAACAATATCACACACATAAGGAAAAATTAGTTTTAAGAAATCCACAGGTATTCCATCAACTCCGACAGATTTAGACTTTATTCTGCTAAGTGCAACAATAATTTCTTCCATACGAACACAACTAAAAGAAAATCCATCACTGCGTGCGTCCGAAAATTGCAAATCAATATTAGGCATATGTGAGTTCCTATGTTGAAAAAAATAGTTTAGATCATCAACATCAATGTCAAGAAACACATCATCACCACCAATACAACCCGAAGCCCTAAAAAAACGCCACATAGCAGTTGAACCCAACGTATTAAATTTCTTAGAGTAATACTTTCTACGCTCACGACGAATAACTAACTTCGCTCTATTACGATAACGACAAAAAATTTTCCAATTATCATTGCTTTTATTATCAACGTAAGCCTTAAAAGCCAAATCGCGAAGTGATCGGGCAAGTGTAATATGATTTGAACTAATCCAATTATCTCCAGATCGCATTTTTCTACGTACCAAAGGAACAAAATCAAACAACCCCAAAAAAAGATTTGATATTTGAGAACATTTAGCGTCAACATCCACAACATTCAGAATATCAATATTAAAGGCTGATAGATGAGAAAAAAAACCCGGCCAGTCAATACAAGAGTAATCTCGATACTCAACAAAATCGCAAAAAGTATTAACACCTATATTTAACGATGCAAAAATGAGTGAATGGTCAGATATCGATGGACATATTGCCTGATCAGATAGATGTACCATAGCACAATCATTTACCAGCATAAAATCAAGCAGCGAAGACGCACGATGTGTAACATCATAGTGAGTAGGTTTGGAATTATGGAAAACTGACAAGTTTAACCGGAAGCAGACTGAACGGACAGACGTAGATTTATGCGGATCAAACATATTAGCATTAAAATCACCCACTATAACAATTTTTGAATACTCCAAGAATAAATCGCTGTGAATATCTTCAAAAACATTAATATCACCTGGAGGAGGAAGATACACAACACCACACAGAACCTTTTCATCGCCGGACATAACCTCAATAAAAAGCGATTCGCATTTACCTATCACAGAAGATCTGAAAACGACTTTATGAGAAATATCACTAGAAATATATATACCAACACCACCACCTCTAGAGTATCGACGGTCATTCCTCACAAATTTATACCCAGGTACATTTATTGCACTAGCTGGAATATCAGATTTTAGCCAAGTTTCGGATACACCAAGAAAATGCAAGCCTGATCCCGATAAAATAGTTTTGAGCTCACAAAACTTCGTTGAATTCATAGATGGCCTAATACTGCGTGAGTTTATATGAGCCATATTGAACTTATTACTACATGAAATTAAAACGGATTTAATATAATCATTGTTGCTGATCACCGGCCCCAAATTAGTACTAAAAGACATCAAATACATAAGACGTAGTTGTGGCGGGGAACCAATTATAAGAATTCAACAGAATTACACTAATAAAATTTAATTTCAAAAAATTCATTAAGAAAAATAAATACAATTTAACGCAGCTGAATACTACAAAATGTATAAAAGAATAAAATGATCAAACACACAAACAGGATAAGAAATTGAAAACAATTAAATTAATGGAAAATTAAAATAATTAAGAAAAAAAATCAATAGAAATTTTAACTAGAAAAAATTATATTCATATATAAATTCAATTCCCATTGCCTTCCGAATCCGCAAGCAATGACTCACATTGACTAACGTTGTAAGTATCCTCTCTACCATCAGGAAAAACCAGCCATGCCTTTACGAGATCAGAATTCAAAATCTTAAATTTTTTGACTACTTTAAGGCGACACAGTTTCTTGCAGACAAAGTTTAAATGTGATGCAGCAGGCGAAAAATGATCATTAAGGTACACCCTGTTATTTAAAGCAACACCTTGGGCACCCAGTAGATCGCAGATTCGAAGATTACGAGTTTTAAAATATTCCCTCATCAAACTATCACGCAACGCAACTTTGTTAAATTTAACAAGAATCTGTTTCCTACGATTAATATAACATACATGATTGATGTCCTGGCTGGTTATAGGTATGTTATAGAATGATCCCAATGCAATAACAGGCAACTCCAAATCATCCAAACCTTCAGGCAACCCTCCTATGAGGATGTCAGGCCGATTCATCCGTTTATGCATAACGTTGTCTTCCCTCTCAAGCGCAACAAACTTCGTGGCAGTAGAAGCTTCAATCCGCTGCACATTGTCGTTACATTGCCTGATGTCAGTCCTCATTTCAGCAATACATGAACTCACTTCCTTCTTTATGTCATCCAAAACAACTTTTAGACTATTTTGCTGCGACTGGTAACTAGCAATAAAGTTATCTAATTTAGCAGTCAGACTATTAATTTTGTCAACGACACCATCACTGGTAGAGCTGCTGCATAAATTCGGCTCACATGAAGGGCAAATGTAAGCAAACGATTTTACCGACTTCAATACATTTAAGTTTTTGTCATCAATGTTAGCACAATGAGTATGAACCCAGCAGTTGCAAGCTTTACAAAGAACACTAGGCTGTGTCTTCGTAACATTATAGTTACAAATTTTACATTTGGCGGCAGGCATAACTGAGGTTATTAGCAAACAGCAACAAAAAAAACAAAATGTCCAGAAGAAACCACAAATGGCAGCAACAAAGCAACAACAGCAACACAGCAGGATTATGCAACACACAAAAATTGCAAACTTTCCAAAAATTTTACAATTCAATACGAGATATCCGCTAAATGCAATTATGTTTCAGCTATATAGTATCCAACGTTTGTTTATATACGTAGTTAAGGCAAGTAAACAGCAAATAAACAAAAAGATCAGCTGCGATAAAAAAACACTTCTACTCAGCCATAGGGATCTATAGGTTCTCAAAGAGCTTTATCTGATATCTGGTACCAAAGTTCATTGTTGTGGAATGCATATTACGCTTGTGAGGTGATATATTGGAGCTATAGCTATATCTGAACTGATTTACATTAAATTTGCCAAAATTCAGTTCATTTGGCCTGATATTAGCCTTTTGGTGCACAAAAAAACTGATATCGGTTGAAGATATATATGGGAACTATATCCTAATCTGAACCGATTTCGATAAAATTTGGCATACGTATTTTCGAGCGGTATCGGATGCCCGGTACCAAATATTATTCTTATGGAGTGCATATTATTCATGTGAGGGACTTAAAACCCCAAATCGGATGAAACATATATATGGGAGCTATAACTATATCCGAAACGATTTACACCAAATTTGAAGTACCGGTTTCTAGGATGAATTCAGTCGTAATTGCCAAAATTCAGTAAATTTGGGCTGATATTAGACTTTTGGTGCACAAAAAAAACTGATATCGGTTGAAGATATATATGGGAACTATATCCTAATCTGAACCGATTTCGATAAAATTTGGCATACGTATTTTCGAGCGGTATCGGATGCCCGGTACCAAATATTATTCTTATGGAGTGCATATTATTCATGTGAGGGACTTAAAACCCCAAATCGGATGAAACACATATATGGGAGCTATAGCTAAATCTGAACAGATTTGATCCAAATTTGAGGTATTGGCTTCTAGACTGAATTCGGTGGGATGTAGCAAAATTCAGGTCCATATATTGGCCATTTGGTGCACAATTAACCCAGAATCGCTTGAGGACTGAACCGTATATAGCTGAACCGTTCTCGATAAAAATTTGGCATACGTATTTTCAAGCGGTATCTGATGGCCGGTACCAAATATCATTCTTGTGGAGTACATATTACGCATATGAAGAACATAAAGCCCAAAATCGGATGAAACATATATATGGGTGCTATAGCTATATCTGAACGGATTTGATCCAAATTTGTGGTACTTGCTTCTAGACTGAATTCGGTGGGATGTACCAAAATTCAGGTTATTTGGACTTTTATCGGCCATTTGGTGTACAATTAACCCGAAATCGGTTGAAGGTATCTGGGAGCTATAACTATATATATCATCCGATTATTGCCAATTTCAACAGGGTTCGTCCTTGGTTCAAATAAATGTTTTTGGAAAATTTGAGGTCCATATTTTGGACATTTAAAGATATATGGGAGCTATATCTAAATCTGATCCGATTATCACCAACTTCAGTAGAGTTCGTCCTTGGGTCAGACAAATATTGTTTGAAAAATTTCACCTCAATCGGATAGTAAATGCGACCTGCAATTTGTTTACAAGAATACATGGACGACTCAGAAAGTGATTCTATGAAGATCCTTAAAAGTAACTATGAGTCCATCTCACTTCCTTCTCCCTGTTACAAACAAATGAAGAAAGACATAATACCCTTACCACTATGTGGTGTAGGGTATAATGAGATATCCCCGGGAGAAAGAGTAAAGTATATGCAAAAGAACTTTTAACAGGACTTCTTAAATAGGAAGAGATCTGTATATAACATAGGATATCCTCAATGAGGGTTTTTGAAATAGAAGACATTTTTCAGTGGGATATTTGATTTCTCATCAATTGCTCATTTCCTCATCACATTTCCTTTCCAACATAAATAGTCCTATGCCTAGATAGAGAGTAAATGTTTGAAATAGATTTCGTGGGATTTCGTATTTATACAAATATGCCATATATTGATCAAAGAACTATTTTAAGACAACTTGAAAATACACTTTTTATATAAAATACAAAAATATTTTCTTTATAACCATTAACGAAGATGGAAGATATTTCTTGGGCCAGAAATAGAAATTGGTTCTTCGTGAATAGAACCCCCAGAAGAAGACAGAAGGCCTATTAAATTCCCTTTATTTAAATTTTGATTGAGTGAATAAATGTTTTTAAATTATCTTCTGTAAATCTATCTTTCCTTTTATTTGGGGGAAAAAATAAACATGTCTAAAAAGCGTTTGGGCCATTTGCTATGCCCTCCCAACAAAAGAATGGTTGCTTTGCTATTTCAAGGTCAACCAAATGAAATCTTTATGTGAAGTTCATGCACATTTTGCTTTGTATTAACTCTTCAAACAATGGCTCAACTAAAGAAAGTTCAGTGACCCATTATAACTTTCCTTTGTTCTTTCTTTTGGTATTTTGTGAATTGGTTACACAAGTCTGAGAATTTTCTTACTAATACGAATGGAAACGGTTTTAAGTCATTATCAAGGACTTTTTAGTTTAGTTGCAACAGAGGAAGGGTATTCTCATTTAATAATTTGTTTTTACACACAGACGTGGGGTCAATGTAGATGTATTGCCATTAAAATTCCAAGTGGAATAGCTGTGGATAGATGTTTCTAGAGTTCCTTTAACCAAACTAACGCTTTAATATAGCACTTAGATTAAATTTCTCCCACATTTTTCTGTTTTACATGGAACATATCTTACTCAACCCTAAAGAAGGTCATACCTAGGTAAGCATTGCAAACAATAATACATTAAACGCTTGACTAAAGCCAATCACATTTCCACTCACCTGCGTGGTATCGAATAGCAAAGCTTCGGGTAAATCTTGTAACGATTCTAAGGCTTCACACAGCAACTCACTGCACATCTCAGTATCTTCACCGGAACGCCAGGCACGACGCAGGAAAAAGAATGAAAAATTCAATGCTGCCCGTGTACAGACGCGTGCCAAACCCAATGTAGCTCGTTCACTATCACGTCCCGGCGATCGGAGTTCTTGTGACGAGGTCTGGCGATATTTACCAAAACGATCACGTGAAGAAAAATTACTCTCTTCCGAGAGTCTGGTCTTATCGCCCACATTTAAAAATGGATTTGTAGGATTTAGAGATGTGGGTATTTCTGTGGACTGCATTTGTTGTAGGCTGTGTTGTTGTTGCATTGCCTTTTGCTGTTGCAATTGTTGTTTACAGCGTGCCAATGCCACAAAATATCGTTCATAGATAAACAACTGCTGTCGCAAATGTATGGCCGAGAGACAATTGCCAGCCGCTTGCAGGGCAATATCATGTAATTCATTGATTAAGGTTTTTTGACATTCTGTTTTAGCCATGGCATTTGGTGTCTGACCCCACAGCCAGGACTCGAAAATGGCATCACTTGCAATACGTTGGGCCGCAACGGCGGCCGCCTGGGCTTGGGTGGTGATTTTCTTAATTGTAGCATCTGAATCCAGACTGTGGCAAGCACTGCAATTACAAGCCGACAAAGGGCCACAATAGTCATTTGCCGGACAACAGGAACATTGTAATTTTTGTACACCACAATAATGTTTGCCATCATCGCCCAAATATGACCAATTACCGGCAGCGTTTAGAACTGGAGCTGCCGGTGATGATACCAATTCACAATCTTGGATTAGATTATTCCACAGTACTGCAGCATCTTCGGGGCTTCGTAAACTTGATATGAGATCCGCTCTTACCCATTTCTGGTCAAGAAATGGCAAAGGTCTCAAATACAAGTCAGAGTTATTTGAATTTGTTGACATCTTGTAAATGTTACCGTCCTAAACGTCTCTATAGCGCGTTACGTTTCGGTTCGTTTTCGATCTGGATGCAGTATGATGATGGCGATGATGACCTCCTACTACATCACCAGAATACATATTGTACTAGCATTTTAATTTCCAGTTGTTTGTTTGTTTGTTTCGTTTTTATTATTCAAATGAATTTTTAATCAAATCGCGTGTTTGTCGTGCCAATTCGTTTCGTCGTAATTCAATTCAAGCTCAATGAGATCAATTTTCAATCGGAACGTCGTAATGCAATGGTAGTGGTGTTGTCTCGTCTATCTGCGAATGCAAAAAAATGCAATACAAATTATTTACAAATAAAAAAAAGCAAATCTATAAGCCACATATCAATATGACGGTGATTGGAAGCGAGTGTCTAATTAGTGATTGTAACCGATTTGTTTACTTCAATGCCTTTAAACTCACGTTCACAATATTGTTTGTTGATTTTTACACAATAAAAACAAAAAGTGACAGGCTCACATGTTCATGGGTGCTTGGGGGCCACCACCAGGCGCATTTGCATTACTATTGTTTATTTTTAAACACTTGACAATTTTTGAGATGTGTGTATATGATGGCTGAGGAAATTCTCAACCATAGTCGCCTCCTCCTCCTCCTAAGCAGCCTTAGTAGCTTTACACACGCATCGGCTGTCAGAAAGAAAAAAAGAGTTGTTGCAGCAGCAGTCCCCTGTCTAGCTAAGCGTTCTCCACTTACTTGTCACTCAGTGCTCTGTTTGTAACAAAAGAATCTGAGATTTGCGAGTGGTTGTCTGGGTTTTTTTTCGGTTGGTTGATGGGTCGCTAGGTTGCTCAATGGTTTGAGTTACTATAGCAGCAACAAAATAATAGATTCCAATTTGCTTTTGTACCTGTCGTTTTGTGTCGTTGCCAGATGGGAAGTGTATTTAAGGCAAACTAATTGAAAGGACATAATTTTAAGAGTCAACCTTTCATGGTACAATGTAGGTTTGAGAAAATTGTGGGAAAAGACACTTAACTGCATGGATTGTACTGTCAGAATTACAATAAATAAATAAAATAAAAAAATTACCATAAATAAATAAATAAATAAATAAATAAATAAAATAAAGAAAACAATTTACTTCCTTAAATCAATTTCTATATTTTTTTTATATCCCCCAAAATAGTATGGAGAGTATATTAAGTTCGTCATTGCGATTGTAACACCTTAAAATATACATTTTAGACCCCACAAAGTATACATATACTCGGTCAGCATGTTATGTTATGATATGTTGATTTAACGATGACCGTCCGTCCGTCTGTCTGGCCATGGAATTGAAGTAGGCTGATAAAATTTTACTCAAATGTGTGTTTGGCCTGCTGGACTTTTGGTACTGAAAATGGGCTATACAGGTCCACGTTTTGAAATGGGCTATACAGTCCCATATAACTGCCCCTCCCTATATTTGGTATTTTAATGGTTTTGACGACATTGATCACCGCAATAGTTTCAAATTTCAGTTCGTAATGGGCACTACAGCCTGTGACAGAAAATATAACGGTACCTCCTATATTCGGTATTTTGTTGATTTTAACGACATTATTCACCAGAATTGTTTGAAATTTTGTATTTCAAGTTCCTATTGAAAACTACAGCTCATGACAAAAAATTGTCTATGCAGGTCTAGGTCTTCGTAAAGGCCCTAAATATCGGTACCTCCCTTTATTCGGCATTTTGATGATTTTAGCTACATTTTTTCATCGGAATTCTTTCTAATTTCGTATTTATAGTTGGTAATCTACGACAAAAAATGTTCTATGCAGGTCCATGATTTTAGCGACATTTTTCACCGGAACTGTTAAAAATTTCATATTTGAAGTTCCCATTGGAAACTACACCCTATTACAGAAAATTGTCTAAGCAGGTGCAGGTCTACGTATAGCCCCTTAATATAGCCCCACCTCCCCATATTCGGTATTTTGATAATTTTATCTACATTATTTCCCGGAATTGATAATATTTCGTATTTGCACTTCGTTGATACTTCAGGCTGTGACAGATATAAAACCGGTAAGGAAAGCTCAAAAGTCGGGCGGGGCCGACTATATGATACCCTACACCACTATGCATATTTAGTACAGCTCTCGTAAAAAGGTTTATACAGGGCATTTCAGAGCTCTATGAGATATTTGGTACAAAATCAAAATCTATCTAATTCTATCGTGCATTTTACGAACTATAACTATCTGTGAACCGGGTTTCTCCAAATTTGACGTATTAGCTTCTAGACTGAATTCGGTCTTATGTACGAAAATTCAGGTGATTTGGGCTGATATTGACCATTTAGTGCACATTTAACCCGAAATCGGATGAAGATATATATGGGAGCTATGTCCAAATCTGAACCGATTTCGATAAAATTTAAAACAGCTATTCATGTGCTCCATCTAATACCTGGTACCAAATATCACGGTTGTGGAGTGAATATTACGAATGTAAAGGTCTAAAACACTAAATCAGATGAAACATATATATGGTTGCTATATCTAAATCTGAACCGATTTTCACTAAATTTGATATACTTGCTTCTAGGCTGAATTTGGTCCGTTGTACTAAAATTCAGTCCATTTGGACTTATATCGGCCATTTGGTGCACAATTAACCCGAAATCGGATGAAGATATATATGGGAGCTATATCCAAATCTGAACCGATTTCGATAAAATTACAAACAGCTATTTCTGGGCTGTATCTTATATCTGGTACCAAATATCATTCTTGTGGAGTGCATATTACGAATGTGAGAGCCTTAAACACCAAATCGGATAAAACATATATATGGGAGCTATAGCTGTTTCTGAACCGATTTTCTCCAAATTTGTTGTATTTGCTTTAAGGCTAATCTCGGTCACATGTGCCAAAATTCGGGCCATTTGGGCTGATATTGGCCATTTGGTGGTCAATTAACCCGAAATCGGATGAAGATATATATGGGAGCTATATCCAAATCTGAACCGATTTCGATAAAATTTAAAACAGCTATTTCTGTGCTCCATCTAATACCTGGTACCAAATATCACGGTTGTGGAGTGCATAGTAGGAATGTTAGGGACTTAAAGATCAAATCGGATGAAAGATATATATGGGAGCTATAGCTATATCTGAACCGATTTTCTCCAAATTTGATATACTTGCTTCTAGGCCGAACTCGGTTGGGTGTGCCAAAATTCAGGTAATTTGGACTGATAGTGGACATTTGGTGCTCATTTAACCCGAAATCGGATGAAGATATATATGGGAGCTATATCTAAATTTGATCCGATTCTCACCAATTTCAATAGGGTTCGTCCTTGGGCCAAAAAAAGATTGTGTGGAAAATTTCATCTCAATCGGATAATAAATGCGACCTGCATTTTGTTCACAAGAATACATGGACAGACGGACGGACGGACGGACAGACGGACGGACATGCATAAATCGACTCAGAAAGTGATTCTATGAAGGTTCTCAAAAGTAACTATGGGTCTATCTCGTTTCCTTCTCCATGTTACAAACAAATGCACAAAGACATAATACCCTTACCACTATGTGGTGTAGGGTATAAAAAACCCAAGGTGCATTAAGGAGGTAGAACCATGGTACAATAAGGAAGTAGAACAGCTTCGTAAAACTACAGAAATACAGCCCTCTGGCTAAGTCCGCTTCCTGTCAGAATTATTCAAAATTATATCCAACAAGTTGTTTTCATTTATTTGGTGGATTTATTTTTAAAATGAATCAAATGGCGCGAAAGATAAAAGAAATACCTCAATGTTCTCTCAAAAATAGTATCCTAAGTGTTCAATCTTTCAATTACGTGGCTAATCAGTTTAATATCATTAATGCGAGCCCCGCAATTTAAGTTTACATTTTTTACATTTGGTTACATTTTTTCAAATTTATACATTTGACAACTGCTCATTGTCAAAATGTACATTCATAAATCCATTAATCAGAGAATCTCAATAACAGAGATGGGAAAGGTCTTTTATGCATTGAAATTCGACAAGGTAAATTACAGAAATTGCAGAACTGGGAATGCCAATTTGAAATGAGGTTACCTTTATTTTATTGTACCATGGCCCAATCGAACTTAAAACTCCTTTCTGTTTGTTTCTATATAAACTGTATACAACGGCTTAAAAAGGTTAATCGCCGAATCATGGTTACCGGTAGACAGAATTTTGATTAATTTTTCACTTTTCAAAATTTTAATAAATTTTGTTGCTTTCATGCCAAATTAAAAGGCGTACATACATGTCTAACAAATCCCCGCAATCTGGGAATCTTTCAATCTGGCAACACCATCTATAACGTCACTTTGGCTTCATGTAATTGTATGTGTGAATAAAACAAAAAAAAATTGAAATGACCGTGTCACAATTTTTACAATTATACTTTTATTCGAAAAAACCTTGTTGAAATCCTTCAAATTGAATATTTTATTGGATTAATTTCACTTTTGTGTGTAATTCAAACACTTTTCAAGGGGAATTTCAAGATTCATTTGCATTAACTCCACCTTAAATTTATTTTCGCCTTTGATTTACAATTGCAATTTTATTTATTTCAATTTCTTTTAATATTTTTCACAATCACTTCAAAAACTCAAGCAATTTTCTTCGTTCACCTTCAATTTAGCATTTAATTATCCGTTTAGAGTTATTTTTTCATATGGAAAATTCTTAGCTAGCGTCTCCGATAAAAATTCTATTATTTTTTCTATATAAATTTTTCAGTACTTATGCGAAAAACAACTGGAATAAAATGAAATGTCTGTGTGAACAGATGTGGAAAGGAAAACTGGTGTAAATGTCATTTTACTGTCAAATCAGAAAAATATAAGAATGCATGACAATGAAGGAAGAGAAACAAAAACAAACTCTGAGAGAATGTTTGCATTTTGAATGGCTCTCTGTTTACGTCCATCCGGAGCACAACAAAACTGAAATGTTTTTGTTATTCTTTTTTGTTGTTTTCTTCGTAGGAATGCATTTTGTAAGGGTTGATGGCTGCATTTACTGAACAACAAAGGCAACTGACATGTATTATTAAGATGCCGCCCGGCTCATTAAACGTTGGATTGTGTATATGTTGCCAGATTACAAGGAAAAAACTCACCAGCAAATTACCGCTTTCATTTTGGCAAAATTTAATTAAAAACTTGATATCATATATACTTTGTAGAAATCTGAACCTGCTTAAAGAATACATTTAGTCCAACTATTTCCATACTGGTAATTAAATAAGAGTTATTAGGTACTATTCAGAGGTGGAAGCGAGTTGGGTGTTTGGTTTATCGAAATCACTGTTAAGGCACTATCAGACGGTATGGATTTTATATATATGTGTTGTCAATTTTATTATCCATCTCAGTATTTCCACTTTACATATGATTCATATTTTCAATCATTTGGAAACTATTACTAGATTTTGAACAACACGCAGATGGATAGTGCAACCCATGGTACAATGAATTCAAGGTAGGGCAGAACTACCATATGATTTCAATTTTTTTATTTTTCTGGCTTAATATGTCAACTTAATTTGTTTATGTGTGCGTATTCTTTTCAATAATAAAAAATGTTTCAGAAAATATTCAAATTCGGGTGTTTTCAAAATGCTTATTACAACATATGCATCGACAAAATCTACAGTTTTTGTCGCGAAATAAACCATAAGAGATATATAGAATATGATTTTGAAAAGAAATGTTGAACTATCATTCAGTTTTCGCGGTTTTAAATTATTTATTCAAAATCAATGCAACAAGTTGTTTGCTTTTTAATTGTTTTGATAGTAATTCTGACATTACAAGCCAAACAGGTAGACCTCTATACTAGCAATTTTTTCAAAGTTGACCTACCTTCTCTTCATTGTACCATGGTGCAAACCTTTTTTTTTATAATGGTCTATTGCTTTGAAATATTTTTAACTATTACGTTTATAATTTACTGGATTTTGTAAGCCAAGTGGATTTAAATGACCAATTCCGTCTAGGAGAAAAATCCGCCGACACATCATGGTAAAAGAATACAGGTAGTTGCATCGACGCAGATGCTGGGAACTGTCAAACCATATTTGAAATTGAAAATTTTGAATGAAACATTTGGTCTGTTTCAGACCTGCAAGAATGTAAAAATGTTTACTACGATTACCGATTTTCTCTTTATGATATCGAAAAAAAAATCCAAAATAGTAGATTCTTGGAGGTTTTGAAACAGATTTGTAATAATTGTTGAAAAAAAGTATATACATAACAACCTTCTATATATGTCGTATAAGAAAACAGAACAACTCTAGTTTAGGAAAAACTCTTCGATTTTTTTAAGTTTTTTTCCAGAGGTAGGTATTTTTACCCTGATTTCGGGAAACTATGTTTTTCTCTGGGTACGAAGCCGGGACTTCAAAAATTTGACTCGAAAGTCCGGGTTTAAACCCGGGCTGGACCCGGATCCACTTACTTCATATAGACAATATAGGTATCGAAGAAAAGTATTAAATTTAGAAAACTTTGGTTCGCGTTAGCCGTTGTGGTACATCCCCAGAGGAGAAAATTTCAAGCCCCGGACTGGGCTGGCTACATACAACAACTGTTAAGGTGACATGTCATATTAATGATGACTAGTCACATTAATGTCAAATTATAAAGGGAAACGACAAAAGAATTTGAGTGCGGCTCTGGCATTCCTTTATGATATGCCACATAATATACCCTCCACCATTTGTAAATAATATGGAAATTTTCCAAAAAATAAATTCCGTTAAAAATTCTGTTAAAATCTTAAAAAACAGAATATTGCCTTTATATTGGGGTCTATACGAAGACGAACACCTGGACCTGCATAGACAATTTTCTTTCAAAGACTGTAGTACCTCTTAGGAACTTTAAATACGAAATTTCAAACAATTTAACTGGATATTGCACCTAAAATCGACAAAATACCGAATATAGGGAGGTACTGATCTATGGGGCCTATACGAAGACCTGGACTAGCATAAACTGTAATACCCATTGCGAATTCTAAATGCGAAGCAACTCCGTTGAATAATGCGGCACCGTTATATGGATGCAATACGAAGACGTGGACCTGCATACGCAATTTTTTGTCATAGGCTGTAGTACCCATTACGAATACTTAATATGAAATTGAAACAACTCGGGTTAATAATGTCCCTAAAATCGTCAAAAAATCGTATATCGTTATGTGTGGGATATACCCCTTCCAGGGGGGTAAAGTAGTCAGAAAGAACTCCTTTTGTGGATTTTCGGACAATTTGATTGAAAAGATTGGCCAAAATCATCAAAATACCGAATATGAGTTATATGGGGGCTATACGATATCGTGAACCGATATAGCCCATCTTAACCTGACTGCAGACAAAAAGCTTATATGTGCAAATTTTAGATTCCTATCTTTATTCGTTTTGACTCTAGTGTGATTAAAACGGACGTACGGACGGGCAGTCTAAGAATTTTACGCTGATCAAGAAAATATATACTTGGTTATGTCTAAAATTATTATTTCGATGAGTTACAGACGGAATGACTTACTATGTATGGTGGAGGGTATAAAGGGTGTTTTTTTTTTTTTTTTTTTTTTTTTTTTTGAGAGAAATCGGATTTGTTTACGTTCATGCCGGTCAAAACAAAATCAAATGTTTTCCTTGGACATTTCTTTGTTGTCTTGTTCGTAAAATCATGTTTACATCGAATCTGGCAACACTAAGTAAGAAGTCACTTTGTATACGTATTAACTCAGAAATGTTTTTCTTTTTCATATTAACTTTACAAAACAAATTTATAATCCTTTTGCATTTGTTGCAAATTGAAAAATAAAAGAAGTCTCAACGCAGCAGATGAAAACAAGTCATAAAAATAAAATAACATTACTTGCTCACGGTTCCTTTGTCTGAAAATATGTGTTCAATTGATTTTCGAAAATGTTTTGATTGCGTTTACATTATTTAAATTACAAATTTTAATAGTGAATCATGGTAGAAGAATATAGGTAGACGCTTCGACACAGCTGCTGGGACAATGAACTGTCAAACCAATTTTGGAATCGAAATTGTTGAATGAAAAATTACTCAAATTTGTAAATATTGTTAAAAAATGCATATTATAACAACCTCCGATTGGCGTCGTGTAGACAAACATATACAAATATACTTATTTTTGAAGAAATATTTAAAAAAATTTGACATATCAATGTTCCCAAGCGCTGATGCATCTACCTGCATTTTTCTACCATGTTGTTTTGCTAATAACAAAAACAAAAACTTGTGTAAATGCGAATAACAGATCACAAGAAATGTCAAATTCACCGAGAATTCCAATTAGAAGGAAAATTGAAGAAGAGAGCCCACCTACCGGAGAGCAAATATTTTATTAGTTTGTTTACGTATATGCCGGTCACAACAAAATCAAATGTTTTTCTTTAACACCTCTTTGTTGTTTTGTTCGTAAAATCTTGTTTACATCGAATTTCAGTGATATGGCAAAGCGGCCAAGCGAAATGTCAAACATGTTAAGTAAATATCTGGCAACACTTATTAGTACGTCACTTTTTATATATATGTAAAATTATTTGGAAAATTTTCATTTTTAATTTAATTTAAATTTTTACATTCATTTTTCATATTTTTATTAAAAATTTCATTACACACGGCAATTAAGACACTTATGCTTTTTGTTTGTATTCATTTAAGACGTTTTCTAATTGAAACAAAATGACTTTTCTGCTATTTGAGAATTACACCAATGAACTCCACCTTAATTTTTTCTTTGACTTTCCAATCACTATTTAAGCACTTTCAAACTCAATTTTCACATCACAATTGTTTATATTTTTCTTTATTACCGTTAATTTGATCAATTTTAGCGAAGAACCGATGTTTCTAAACCGTTTTTTCATTGAAAAATATTTTGCATGTCTGCGACAAAATTTCCACCGAATAATTTTTTCAGTATTTAGAAGAAAACAGTACAAAAAGGAAATGGAATGAAAATTGAAAATGTCATTTCGCTGTCAAATTGGATGAATTTGGGAATGAAAAGACAAAGTTGGCAAAATACAAAACGCACGAGATTTCAGTGAGAGCAAGGTAGATATCTCTCTGTTTACGTACAATGGGATCAAAACAAAAGATAATTGCAATTACCACATAGACAAAAAAAGATAAATATAAGATATAGTCAAACAATGCAATAGACGAAGAAAAACTCAATAGCGCAGTCATTCCACTCAAACAAACAAAAAAAAAACTCAGAATGATACAAAGACAATTTTTGGGAGAATTTTCAATATTTTTTTGCATAATTTTTTTTTTCGGTGGAAAATAAATTTTTTATTAAAAAGTTTAAAAAATTGTTTTTTAATAACATTTGAAACTGAGCAGCGCGGTCGCCAACTCAATTTGCACGTTCTCATTCAGTGTATTTCTTCGTCTATATTTTTTTTCTTTTGTCAATGTCTAGACAATGAACAACTCTCACTCAAATTCAAATTGAGTGTGCTGATCGCTCAATTCCACTCAAATACCAAAAAGTATAGTTTTTTATGCTTTTTAATCTAACCAAAGCCGCTATTGCCAGTGTTTTTCTACAAGTTTATACCTTAATTAAAATATGCAGCAACATTTTAAAAGTTTTCTAAAAAATCGTGTTCGAATAACCGATTTTATCGGTTTGAGTCACTTGACCGCGAAATGTTAATTTTTTGTGGTCTATACTTATAAGTCTGTGGAGTTTCCCCAATTGAACTCCACAAAGCGCTTCTAAAATTCTTAATAAGAATTGTTAATAAATTGAGCTACCCTATAGACAAAGGCAATATTTTTCATGTTTCGCACATTAGTTTTATTAATTCGCCTACAACTTGTACATTGATACTATTGCCCAGTAAACGATATTTCTGACGATTTGTGGTCTCCTTTGGAAAATCGAAATTGTCTGGAAAACACATTAATCTTGAGACTTCACGTGGTGTAAAATAACGTAGACCAAGTTTTTGCAGGAGTTCCGTATATTCCGTTTGATTACAGCCATCATTTGCATCATCCATCGATTTCAATTTGGCAAATATATTTTGCATTTCACTTAATGCCAAGGGACAAAACACTGATCCGGTTCCCTCACAATAATGGGTATATGCTTTGGTAAAACACATTGTATTTGTCGACTCATTCGTTACAATATCCAATAGCCATACTCGCTTTTTCAATACCTTTTCATCTAGGCGAAATTCTGGCAATGTCACTTGCTCCAACAAAGACGACAGTGATTTTGTTTTGAATGTCTCTGCTCCCGGTAGGGATGTTAAAATTTGTCCACCATCAAAACTAAAATCATTCGCCTTTCTCGCTATGCAATAATAACGATGTCTAGTGTTTGGTACCCCGATTTGTGTGGGCGTCAGAATAAATTCACGATAATAAAAACCGGATTTTTCTAAAGCCTCTATATATTTGGTTCTTGCAATTGACTCTTCAAATCCTTTGACATTTTCCATTAGAATATATTGCACTGTATGGCACATTGGCAACATCTCGCATATGTGATTTAAGGCATCGGAACGTTTGTCTTCTATGTCACGTTTTTGTCCAACACGTGTGTGCGGCTGACATGGTGGAGACATGAGTACGGTGTTGATTTGTAGTTTTTCAATAGTCTTGGGGCTAAGTTTTTGTATGTTATTATTCATAACTGGAGTTTGTCGATGATTGTGGGCATAAACTGCATTTGCCACGGTATTTATATCCATCGCTGCCCGAACATTTCCCTTGAGTTGTGAATCTAAAGATGAATTTACTTTAATGTTGTATACATATTTCCGGATCATTTCAAAAGATATACTTACACTCAAATGCATAGTGCATCCCTCCGATGCCACTGAATAGTTCTAATATATTCAATTCCATTGCAATTTCCAATATATTCTCCAATATCTCCACGGCCAGACACCCGTAATACCAAAACACAAAAATTAAAAACGTTCCAAACGTATTTCGAATAAGAAACAAAACATTATACTTGATAAAACATAAACGAAAACAAACTGGCCGAGTTAACGAATGAGGTGTGAAAGAGAAATGGTCCATTTTGTGAATTATCTATGCGATTGTGTTTTTCCCGCGCTTCTTTTGTAAGGTAGTAACACAATCACATAGATAATTCACTAAAATGGACCCTGGGAACTAGGTGCTGTCAGAGTAATAATGTTTTTTTATTTTCTTGAAGTTCTGTTATAGTAATAATTGTGGGCTTTTTAAGTGCTCCGAGAAAGGAACGATGGGAACTAAATCCAGCATTTTCATTCATCTAATTCGTTCTTTTCGTTCCTTTTGTACTTCATTGAACATTGGAGCAAGTTGAAATTATAAGCTGTATTGGAACTATTTTGAATTTTTTTTCATCGATAGGTATTTTCATCCTGATTGATTTTGTGGGGAAAATACTTTTATTGCACCCATAGTAGAATTAAAATGGTAAAGTCATGTAATCATATGTTTACAATTTTTTCAAAATTATTCATTTGACAATAACTTATTGTCGAAATTTATATTTACAAATCCATACATATACCCATGGTAGAAGAATATAGATAGACGCATCGACGCAGCTGCTGGGATAATGAACTGTTTTCAATTTTAGAATTGAAAACTATTTGAAAAATTTTTTAAATTTGTAAAAATGTTTGAAAAACGCGTATTATAATAACCTCCAAATGACGTCGTGTAAAAAAACATATAAAAATCTGCTTTTATTTGAAAAGACATTTAATTTTTTTTTTTTTTGACATATCAATGTTCCCAAGCTTATTTTTCTACCATGATTTTCGGGCCGAATCGGCAGTAATTTGATATTTAATGATTTAATGATATTTTTAGATCGATCATAATTTTTTATTTATTCTAATATTATAATTCTTACAGCATTAACTTTACAAGTTTATAGCTTTTTATATTTAACCTCGACTAATTTTTGTAGGGTACTTGTCAGATTGTTGATGGCCTCAATTTTGATACGTTCGATTTTTTCTTGCTGCAGCAATGACATTTTATTGAATTGCATCAAGTCACGATGCATCTCTTTTTGTAGTTCGATTTTTTCACGTTCCACCTGTAGCTTGCGATCAAAATAATCCTGCCACCAGGATTGTGTATCGACAAGGCCATTTGCACCACTAGTCCCAGCTGATATCATAAACTTTTGAACGGCGGTGCTATCTCTATGTTGCGGTTCCACCTCATTTATTTCCAAAGGATACATTTGGGGACTGTCCTCCTCATCTTTTACCTCCAGTTTGGGTTTCTTCAAATCAGACAATGAATTACTATCCTCTTCATCGAAATCGTCATTTGATTTAGAGTCGAGTTCAACGTGTGGCTGTATTATGGCAGGTTCCGAATTGGCATTGGAAAATGATGTGTTTGTTGTTCCCTCTGGATTGAGATTCGGTGTTGCAGCCGCATTTGTTATGGCTTGGTGATTTTGTTGCTGTCTATTCCCTCTAAGTGAACTATCGTTAAAATCGGCCTTTTTGCCTTGTAAATATTTATACATTTCTTCGAAAAATTCCCAATGTACATAGCCGGAAGTGAATTTTTTACTTAAATTCTTATTGTATGTAATTAAAATGTTATGCCATTTTTTCTGAACTTTGCCGGCGCTATAACGAAAGCCCATCTTTTGTAATTGTCGTGTGCAATGCAACCATAATGCCGTACGTTTTTGCCGACCTTCGGTGAAACGATGTTCCATTGGGCCACGTATATGGATTAGAGCACGCGTTGCATCTGTTGTCCATGCCCGTTCATAGGGACCTCGGGTATGTGTACTATTAAGTGCTTGAGATGTTGTGGCATTTGCCACATCAGATTCTTCCAACAGACAATCATCGGGCAAATCTTCGCAATCGTCTAAATCGTCATCACTAATTTGATAGTAGTCTAAAATGAAATAATTAAAATAAAATAGTTTAATAATAATCCTTAATGTGTTCATCGAGATAATTCTAATCCTCAAAACACCCTTATTATAACGGTCTCTCATGGTAGAATTAAAAAGGTAACCTCGTGTTATCGTATGAAATATTTATTTGAATTGATAGTGCGGTAAATATAATCCCGTGTTTGAAGATTATTTCATTCAAATGTTGACCGCTGTCTAATTTTTTAATACTCTCTCCGACATTTCAGGCGGTATCTCACGAAGTGCGTCTATTCAAGCGGGCTCGTCTTATACACATGAGCCTTAATCGCACGATATAAGTGGCAAATTGACCGGCCCCGAAAGTGAAATAAAATGTTAATTAATCTCCCCAGCCCATATGTCCATTGCTACGCGTGCCGTTGCATATGGCACCGTCTTGTTGAAACCACATGCAATGCATTTTGTGCAAAAAATAGTTGAGATCATCTCACGGTAGCACACACCATTTACAGTTACATTACGATTCGCCGAATATTCAATAAATTGCTGCACATGTATTTTGATTTGCCACCGCTGTTCGTTTTTAGACGATTCATGGTTAAATTATGGATCAAACCGAAGATGTTCGACAGTGAAACAAAACACGAAACATACATGAGCTGTTTTAACCAGTGTTGCCAAGAAGACAATAACTAAAAAGTCATGGTAGAAGAATATAGGTAGTCGCTTCGACACAGCTGCTGGGACAATGAACTGTCAAACCGATTTTGGAATTGAAAATGTTAAATGAAAAATTATTAAAATTTGTAAAAATTGTTGAGAAATGCATATTGTAACAACCTCCGATTTGCATCGTATAAGAAAATATATAAACCTGTACATATTTTTGACAAACCAATTTTAAAATTTTGACATATCAATGTTCGCAAGCGTTGATCTACCTATATTCTTCTACCATGTGAAAAATCAACACTTATAGAGATAGATACAAAATTGTATCCGGATTAACCCAAATTATCAGGATTTATTGCTTAATCCGGATCTATTCAACCAGATTTACCATACAAAAATAGATATTCTTTCGACCGGATTTTTTTAATCCGGTGCGAAATCTAAATACTATTGGTATGCAACTATAGTTTTGATTGAAAAAAAAACATCTAACATATGAAACACTACCAAAAGTATCAACTGTTCTCGCAAAGCTTTTGTTTACAATGAAGAACAGAAGAAAATGAAAGAAAAAATTAGAAAAAAAGATAGTGACAAGAAACTGACTATTTTTTTTAAAAATAAAGCTATTTATTTGTTTTTCTGTTTTGTCTTTCTATAATGACAATGGCAGTTAAATTTTTTTCGCATGAGAAATAGAATTCTTACAAATGTCCACAACCTTCCAAACATTTTCAGGATCCGCTGAAGATCGTTTTGTTTTTTATTAAACCCATAATTTTAAATGAATATTTCATCAGCTCTTTGTTAATACCATGGTAGAATTAAAAAGGTAAAGTCATGCAAACATATGTTTACATTTTTTTCATGTGACAACAACTCAGTGTCAAAGTATGTATTCGTAAATCCATTGTACATACATAATTCAGAGATAGGAACACGTTTTTTATGCAATGAAATTTGACAAGATAAATTACAGAAAATGCAGACCATGGTTATATACATTGAAGAATAAACTAACCAGACACTCCTATTATTTCTTTGACATCTTAGGACTTTATCAGACGGAATGTTTTTTTTACATATGTGCTGTCAATTTCCTAAACCATGTGTATTTCAATGAGTATGTCGTCATGGTATCACCCACACATATGTTTGTTTAAATAAATAAATAATATTGCTATCATGGCTCAATAAAAAAGGTTACTCAACTTCAAAGAAACTACAAAAATGCAACTCTGTGCTGGAGTTTTTTAGAGAAATGCTGTTAAAATCTTAAAAATACCGAATGTAGCCGTTATATTAGGATCTATACGACGACATGGACCTGCATAGGTAACTTTTGCCATAAGCCATTACAATATTCAAATGCGTAACCTAAAAAAATCGGTGAATAATGTAGCTAAAATCATCAAAATACCGAATATCGGGAGGTACCGTTATATGGGGGGTATACGAAGGCGTGGACCTGCATAGACAATTTTTTGTCTCAAACTGTAGTATCCATTTCGAACTTAAAATACCAAATTTGAAACATTTCCGGAGAATAATGTCATAATCATCAATATACCGAAAAAGGGAGGTACCGTTAAAAAACGTATACTTCGAGGTGTTACAAACGGAATGAAAAACTTAATATACCCTTCATACTATGGTGGAGGGTATAAAAATATACCGTGGTTTTGTATTTTTTCGAAATTAATGTGTGTTTAAAATAAATTACTTCGAAATAAACTTGTGCATTCGAACAATAACAAAATAGCATAAAATTGTGTTAGCTCATGATAAAATACAGAATTATAAGAAAATATTTTAAATTTTATAGGTAAAAAAAGGCAAACATTCTTATTGAGCCATGTGTTGCCCCATGATAATATGCAGAATTATATGGAATAATTTTAATTTTTATTTTCCTTTATGAATTTTTATTAAATAAATACACTTTAAAAAAGTATACTTTTGAAATTAATTATATTTTTTCTTGTTTACTTATTAGGAAATATTACTTTAATTAACAACTACTAATGTGGTTCTTGTAAAATTGCATTTGTTGCAGTTTTGCTTTTACCTTAAAGTTATTATACCATAGGTCACGGTATGCTCCATAAAAAACAAACTGCTGTTTCCCTAACCTGTGATAAAATCAACTTCCATAACAGATGTAAACAACAGCAAATAACGGTTCTGTTAACTTTTCAATAACACAACAAACTTCATCACTTAACATCATCATCACCACCACCATCGACGTCATTCCACTGACAATGTCATAACAGCTAGAAACTTATACGATTCGTATATACTAACTAAAATATGCTCTCTGGCGTTTAGCATCCAGCATCCTACTAAAATTTTACAGCACACGAACACATGCACACACACACACAGGACACATCGTATATACAAAAGCACACAAACACACGTCGTCATTCATACACAAATAATAGTTTGCCATTTTCAAGGATAAAAATCAATCAACGACTATTCTAATATTGTCAGATTTTTTTTTTCGTGGTATACACAAAATTGAACGTTGCAAAATAATTTATCATCGACAATTTTTAATTGAATTCCTTTATATTAACTTACTATCGCATTCAATACTAGCAGTGGCCGCCATTGTGGTTTAATATATTAAGTGTGAATTAAAATAATTAAATACATTTATACTAGTATTTATTAATTTTTAGGCCCCGAAATAATGCCTGCAGATCTTAGTTTGCCGTTTCAGTTCTGTCGTCCTTTCTTACTAACACTGAACTAACATGCTCAGCATCCAATAACTTTTACTTAGCAAGAGAATCGAATTTCACGACTATGGTCTATGTTCATTCGTTAGTCAGTTCGTTGTGTCGTCGTGCAGAGTTTACTTTTAGATCTGATAAAGGATGAGGATGGTTGGGGTAAAGCTTTGTCATCACCACACATTTCTGTTGTGTTCTAGTTTCTAGCTAGCTAAAGGTGAAAAAAGTGTGTCTGCGCGTTAGCAGCATCGCACTCATCACAGCAGCGGGCCTCACTAGATGCTGGCTGTGTTATGCCGTTGGGTGATGAGAACATAAAATCTAAACGTCAAAACCGAATATGGGGCACATTCAATAGAGAGCACGAGAGAGAGAGAGAAAGTAAAACGTAGTGAAATGAAACAACCCCCAATAAATTGTAAAATGTATGATTAACATGGCCAAACAAAAATAACAGTTGGCTGTGTCTGTTAATAGTTAAATGTGAACCAAATATTTAAGTAGTAAAACTTCAATAGGGACACCCATGGTACAATTAAATCGTGTTAGCCTTATATAATAGTGAAATAAAAACTTTTATAACGGAAAGAATGTCAATTGACCAAATTTGTAAACCAAATATTCTTCATTTTAAATTTTCACATTTTTTTATTTTAACTTCACTGAAAATATGTTTCCATCTCTGATTTGAGTTCTTCGTGGGTTCTTCTTGAAAGAAATAAGTAAAAAAGCTATAAGTTTAAATACCCTCCACTATTTGAAAAGAATTTGACCATTTACAAAAAAATAAAATTCGTTAAAAATTTTATTAAAATCTTAAAAACATGGAATGTAGCCGATATATTAGGGTCTATACGACGACGTGGACAACTAGGCAACTTTTGTCATAAGCCATTACAATATTCAAATGCGAAACTTGAAAAAGAGTCGGTGAATAATGTCGTTAATATCGTCAGAATACCGAATATCGGGAGGTAACGTTAAATGGGGGGCTATACGAAGACCTGGACCTGCACAGAGAATTTTCTGTCTTAGGCTGGAGCATCCATTGCAATTTTACAAAATTATTCGTTTGACAACATCTCATTGTCAAAATACATATTTATAAATCCATTGTATGTGCACAAAACAGAGATGGAAACCTTGTTTTTTGCAGTGTAATTCGACAAGATAATTTACAGAAAATGCAGAGATGGGAATGCTTATTTGAAATGACTTTAAACAAGTACAATTTATGGGCCAAAGTTGAACTAAGTCAACCTAAAACACATTTGTTCTTTTACGAAGAAGCCAGCCGATGATGCTTCAACTAACAATGGAAAACATATTTTATTATGATTGGCCAATTATTAGGGTTAAAGCGGGTTCAAATTTAGTCTGTGTACCTACTTTACGTTCCGTTCTATACTTAAGGAACCTCATGGAACAAAATTTCATGAAAGTTTTAACTTTTATCCCCTTTAAGACCAATTCAATTCATTTAATCATTACAATTCATTTAATTATTACAATTCATTTAACTATACTTTAATTTATTGTGGTCAATCATTTATCACGGTTAAAAGGGATAAAGTATGTAAACGCTCGAAAAATTGTTATATGACATGTATTTAAAAAAAAAAAACACCTTAAATGTAAATATTATTTCAACTGGATGTAAACACAACCTATGATTGCTGTGCCTTTTATCGATACTAACGATTATTTACAATGAGACTCATTATCGACGTACAGAACCCTATAAACGCAAATGTCAACTGTATATATCATTCCTGTGCCTGAGAAAAGTGAAAATCGTTTATTTGTGTGCGCCAAAAATCCAGAAGTTTTCCTTCTTCAATACATGGGCCAGATAAATATTTCATTATGCAAAAGCAACAATCTTAAAGGAAATCGTGAAAAGCCTTAATAAATTACAAAATATCAATCTATTCAGAGAAAATTGTGTTAACAGTTCGATTAGAAGTTGTGAATGTGTGTTTGTGTATGTACAACGACACAATAGACATACACAGAACTGCAAAAGGAACGGAGGAACAGAAAACAATATTGAAAGAAAATCTTAAAACTCTTCGAATTTCACCAAGAAAAACATTTACTTTTTGGGGAAATGTTTAATAAATTGTTGCAAAAGTGGCGTTTGTAAGCGATAATTTAAGTTTTGAACGTTATTTTCTTCAGAAAATGCAGGTAAGTGTTTCATTTTGTGGTGGGGGCCTTGTAAGTTCCCATCTATGCTGACTGACTGAGTGTTTGTGTGTGCGTACGTAAGAAAACTCCAACTCCAGATGAATTGCCCTCCCAAAAGCAATGCTTATTCATTTGTTATATGAAACTAAAGCGTCCGTCTGATTGAGTTTTTTTCTTATTTTACGTGGACGCTGCACTTCACATCAGACATAACCTTATTAAAATCTATGTATTATAGGTAATTGATTACTAAAATTGTGTTTTTCTCTGTTACCATTCTAGCAAGTGGACGATCCTCCCTATTTACAAGTGGGCACGGAAGTCAGTGCCAAATACAAGGGCGCCTTTTGTGAAGCCAAAGTTAGTGAAGTTGTTCGCAATATCAAAGTCAAGGTTGCCTACAAACAGGGCCTAGGTTCTGGTTTAGTATCCGATGATGATATTAAAGCAACGCCTGGACAGCTTAGGGTGGGAGCTGTTGTTGAGGTACGCCACCCCGATCGCAAAGATTATGTTGAGGCAACAGTTACAAAAATTCAAGATTGTTCCCAGTATACGGTAGTCTTTGATGATGGCGACATTACAACGTTGAGACGCACGGCTTTATGTTTGAAAAGTGGACGGCATTTTAATGAAAGTGAAACTTTAGATCAGTTGCCTCTCACTCATCCTGAACATTTTGGCAACCCTGTTGTGGGCGGTAGACGTGGCCGTAGACGAGGCCACATGAACGATGGTAGTTCCGATGAAGACGATGAAAGTGATGCCAAAGAGGTTGTCAACGAGAAGGAAGAACATATTGGCAAAGTTGTGTGTGTCGAAACGGAATCAAAGAAAAAAGATAAGGAAAAGTGGTTTCCTGGCTTAGTGGTGGCTCCTACAGCTCAAGCCACGGTACGCATACGGGTTAAAGATGAATATTTGGTGCGTTCATTTAAGGATGGTCGTTATTATACGGTGCCGAAAAAGGAAGCAACTGGCTTCACGCGAGAGGCGGCTGCTAAACAAGATGGTCCCGCAATACAGGCTGCCTTGGAATATCTTGATAGTGATGTTCTGCCCCCACATTGGGAACGAGATGCCTTATTTGCCCTAAGCAATACATCGAGTGAAAATGAAGACGAAATAGATTCCGACTCTTCGGATGATGAGCCACGAGAGGAGAAAGATCGTTTTGTCGCCCAATTGTATAAATATATGGATGATCGTGGAACACCACTTAATAAAGTACCCTCAATACAAAATAAGGATGTTGATTTATATCGACTTTTTCGTGCTGTTCAAAAGAGAGGAGGTTACAATCGTGTAACTGCCCAAAATCAATGGAAATCAATTGCGGTTCGCTTGGGTTTCGCCCCTGTCACAGTTAGCATAACCAATTTGGTTAAACAGGCATATAAGAAATTCCTACAACCTTATGGAGAATTCCATCGTAAGCTGGGTTGTTCCATGTTGATGTCGCCGCGCAACTCAAACCGCAGTAAGGGTCGCAGTTTGGTGCGGGCCAATTCGGTGGCATCGCCAAAACCCCAAGACACCAACAGAGAATCATCGATACCAATAAGCAAATTGGCAACAACTTCAACTTCAAGTACAGCCTCAACATCGGCTGCCGCTGCAGCAAATACCACCACCACTTCCCTGTCAACATCCAACACGAATGTTTCGATTACCGAAGAATCGGAAAATACAAGTGAATCGAGTAGCCAGGATAATACAAATAAAAGTAAACGTAAATCCTCATTGGGAGGTTCCTCTACTGCTGGATCAAGTAGTGGCGTTGCTGCCGCCACTGGTAGTAAGGTCAAAGGGTTGGTGGAAAAATATGAAGAAAAAAATCTTAAAGATGATGGTGATGTTCCGTTGTCTAAAATGAAAGCCGCCGCTACCAGTGCAAATAAAGAGAAAAGTGAGGAAAGCGCTAAAGAGAAGGAGAAAGAGCGGGAGCGAGAAAAGGAACGCGACAAGGCTGAGAGGGAGAAGGAAAAGGAAAAAGACAAAGAAAAGGATAGCGGTAGTTCAAAGGATTCTTCGGGTCATGCTACAAGAGATTCATCGCCATCGGGTAAGTAGTAAAATTAATTTTAATTTTTCGCATTGGAAGATTGAGGATTGCAATCATACTGGATAATTTTTTAAGCAATGTCCGAATTAATCTTCTAAAAAAACTGTCCTAAAAAGTCTGGCGAATAGACCTTAAGTGACAGGTTTATGGTGAAGAGAACAGAAAAATGTTGGTCTGATAATTTTTAAACGAATGCAGAGTATAGTTAGCCTGGAAGAAAGTTTTATTACTTTCGTCGAAAACGTTGGAACTAAAATCTCTTTTCGTTTTAATTCCCATATCCTTTACATAAAGCCTGGGGACCTTAAATCTTATAAGAATCCAAGAAGCACAGACTGGAGAAAATTCGAATATCTTACTTCAGAGTTAAAATATGACCCTCGAGATCTGCAATCAACCAATGACGTTGAGAGTACAGTGAATTTTGTGGGAAAATGTTTATGCTATGAGGAATCTTAGGAAGAAATCCCAAACGGTTTGGTGAACTAAGGTCCTTGCCATTCTTCGGAAAACCGCAAGTAGGTTAGAACCAGCTGAACTAAATTTAGTATTGATTGGAACGCCTATAAGGCCAATTTCAATAATTTTAAAAGTGAGTGAAATAAGGCTAAAAAAAGAACCACAAACACTTTGACAGTACAAAGCGAGATAATAGTACGTGGACCAACTTTAGAGCTTCCATCAGGCACCCACTTCCCGGGTTGTAGGGATGAAGGTTATAGGAAGCAATCATTAACACCAGTTTCACATCATACTGGGGAAGATAAGAGGCTCCTAAAAAGGATAACAAACTACCCCAAATCATAGGCCAGCCTTATTATGGCATAATACCCGCAATCTTGCAAAATGCATCTAAGTCAGTGCTGACTACCTGCAGGAAATCTTTAAGGCTTGTATCAGGGTTTACATCGCTATGCCCAAAGACCATCCTTTCCTTTCTTTCTGATGAAAATATTAGAAATGTTACTGGAACTGGAAATTCGTTTTAATTTAAATCCAAGTTCGGTCTGTGGAGACTGCCTTAGACGTAGTTGTCGGATACATTAAGAAAAATATGGAAAACTCTAAATTAACATTGACAGTTTTCCTTGAGGCGATCCAAAATGCCCTCCATGCCTCTGGTATTTCACTATCCAGATTGAATGGATGGAAATCTGAAAACTCTCATTGAAGAAGATGATACTCAGAAACCGATCACAAGATATCTAAGGCCAACTGGCGGTATCTTCGAGAAGTGCTGGTCTGACCTAAGAAATGCGGTAGGAATATTGGCTGGCCGTTTTGTTATTAAAGTCCTTGGACAGTAATTTAGATATCTGCTCAGTAAAACAAATTGTTTTCTTTATTGCATTATCTGTCTTATTCCAATAGGGGAAAATATATATTATTTCCAATTTCAATTCAACAATATTTTAACACGATGATAAGCATTGGAAAGCACACCTCTCAAATTCCAAATATTTGCGAATGTTTCAGGTTGTACATTGTAAGCTGAATCCACAGCTTTAGACCAAATTTCCACTTCCTCGCCCTTGAGTTTGGTGTCGACGGGTATGCGTGCTGTCCACAGCGACCAGCCATAGTGACGGCCATCAGGCTCGTTTTCTTGTTCCAAAGTAGCGACATGCCATGATTTACCCTTATCTGCCGTCAAGTCTACACGTACAATGCGACGACCACCACCAGACCAAGCATAGCCACGTACCTCCACAAAACCATCTGCACTCACTTTAACCTTTTCACCTGGAAGAGGTGTGCAAATGGCCGAGGTAACAGGCATTGCCTGTATGGCTGGTGATTTGGTAAAATCTACTGTATCCCAGTCGGTGCTGGGACTGAATCCTTTGTAATCATTTTGCTGCCAATGAGAATTGGATTCATGGTCTGCCACCACAATTCGAGTCAACCATTTGACATTGCGTGCACCCACAGTACCGGGCACAATTACACGTATGGGAAAACCGTGATCGCGATTAAGTGGTTTGTCGTTCATTTCATAGGCCAAAATGACATCGCCTCTTTCGTCCAATGCCTTGGAAAGAGGAATTGAGGCACCATAAGGATTGGAGGTGGGATCTAGATCAGCACCTTCCAATATGACGTGAAGGTTTTCATTTGGCTGTACGCCCATGGCCAGTAAGACATCACGCAAGCGGGCTCCCGACCATTTGGCATTGCCCACAGCTCCGGCACCCCATGATAGTCCTAAAAAACATAGCAGAATCAAATTAAAAACGCATTCAAATATTAAGCGATTAAAAACATACCCTTAACACTTTTGACTTCTGTCATTTCCGAACGTCTATTACCACCACACATTATGGCAGCTGTCACACTGTGTTTGGGTAATGCTTTGATGTCCTCAAAACTCAATGCTTTTTGTGTGCTTTTGGCTCCTGCCTTATCCGTTTCAATTTCCACTTCCAATTCATAGGTCTTTACATCAATAACCGGCACAGGCAAATGATTTCGAACATAGAAAAATTCATTAGGGGTATAGAAATTCTCTGCCAATATTGTCAATGGTGGTTCAGCATTAAATGGCCTCTCTGATGCGGGCTTTAGCAATGGATGTCTTTTGGGTTCCATTGCCCATGGTGAACCCATATCATCTGTAGACACCTCATCTTCGGGCGAAATGTTACCAATGCGATATGTTTCCAAAAGCGATAGAATTTCCTTGTTATTATGTTGCTGATAAATTGCCCAGAATGGATCAATGGCACTACCGGCACCCAACATGATTTTATCACTACCCGGATGTTTGGGTATGAAGTCAGTTATGTCGTACACACCAATGCCATAGGTTACCCAAATGCCTTTTTCCAAGGTGTTGTGTTTTTGTACATCTTCCAATTTGAATGTGGGCAAATCTTTGCGTTCCGTTGAATGCCATTTCTTGTAGGCATCGTCACCATCGTCACTGACATCATTCTTATTGGAATTTTGCTCTTTAATTTGTGTTGTTGCTGTCTTTACATTGTTTTTATTTGCTTGTGCGGCAACCTTCTTCAAATTTTCCAAATTATCGAAAAACAAATAGCCCAAAGTTATGCCACCCAGTGTAAAAAGTGTATAAACGGCAGTTTGATTTTTGGCCCCCTTAGCATTTCCAGATGCATATCTATATTGTTGTTTGTGTTGTTGGTTGTTGTTTGAAAGTAAGGTGTGATTGTATTGTCCCGTTGACAAACATCTCAATCCAGGTTTATATGAATTTCTTAGACTATATGTGGCTTTAATTAGGAAACTCATGTTCGAACACGCGGTGATTATCTGGAAGAGAATAGAAAAAGTTTCATTTCTATTTTATTTAGTTTGAGAGGCAATTAAAGCAGATTTAATGCATATTAAAGATAGTGTACATTCGTGCAGATTTTGTCGAAACTATTGTCATGTGGCAGTGTGAAAATTTTCGAATCTTATGTTGAAATTTTGAGGTCCTCTCATCCAGGATATATGCCTAAAATCGAAATCCTTTCTCATTGAGACTCTGGGCTTCTTCAATGTGAGGAATATACAAATGCCAATCAAGAAAACACGACTGTAGCTTAAAATTGAATCCGATGGGCAAAGCATTTTGACAACCATTTACCCCAAAGGGACCAACTGAACTCCTATGAACACCTCCCCCAAAATTACACAGTGGAATGTCTCATACTCATACAAAGGATAAGTAACTATCTCAAACTATTATATACGAACAATACCTTTTAACCCTTAAGCACCCTGGTCCTGATGGCATACTAGATGCCATATAACAAAATGAGTCAATGTTGGCAATCTTGTAGAAGATCTTTGAAGTTTGTCTTAGTTTTTTTTTTCATTCCCTCATTCTGTGGGAAAAGGTAACAATGACTTATACTCTCAAAGGCGTGAAACCTAGGCACACATTGACCAAGGACTACAGCATTTATTCCTTTATTCTAATGAAGACCATAGAAAGGTTAATGGACCTAAAAATTCGTTCAACTAAGTACACACAGACAATAAACAGCACGCTTATGTCGAAGGTCGGTCAGTGGATACTACCTTACACGAAGTTTTCGGACACATTAAGAGGACCTAAAAATTCTTTCAACTAAGTACACACAGACAATAAACAGCACGCTTATGTCGAAGTTCGGTCAGTGGATACTTCCTTCAACGAAGTTATCGGACACATTGGGAGGAATATGGAAAACACCAACTTCACATTGGCAGCCTTCTTCGATGTGGAGAGGGGTTTTTAACAATGTGAATCTCGAGTCGATCCATACTGAAATTTCTTGTATCCGTTTTTATAGGATGCTACAGTATTGGGAGAATTTTATATTAAGCAACGGGCAGAGTTCTCTCACTCCTGCTGCGGCTTTTGTGGTACTGATAAGTGATACGATTTCTTCCAATTATTTCAGACCCAGAGCAAAGTGCGTTGTATAGCTGTCTGGTTGGGCCCATGACAAAGGTCTGGGAGTAAACCCTGCAAAGACTTAAGTAGTACCATTCACAAGAAAACACATAGTGGATAAGTGTTCGCTGCCAATATTGGATGGTACTCGGTACGATCCTGGGCCAACGTTTAAACTGGTACAGGAACATGGAGGATTGTAGGACTAAAAGGTCACATGGCGCCCTATGCATGTTGGAATACCTTGGGGGAGAGCTGGGGGCTCAGAGCACAAGTCGTACAATGGTGGTATGTCGCAGCGGATTTTCCTGTTTTCACGTATGGGAATCTTATTTGGTGGCATGCGATTGAGGTGTCGCTTAATACCTCGAAATATACATTTTAGACCCCACAAAGTATATATATTCTTGATCAGCATAAAATTCTATAAAATTAATAAAATTCTGTCCGTCTGTGGAAATAACCCTAGCTTCCGAACAAAATGAAGTAGGTTGATAACATTTTATTCAAATGTATATTATGTCTGCAGGACTTTTGGTATTGAATATGGGCCATGTAGGTCCACGTTTTGGTATAGCCCCAATATAATGGTATCTTACTATTTTCGGTATTTTGGTAATTTAAGCGACATTATTCACCGGAAATGTTTCAAATTTGGTATTTGAAGTTCGTAATGGATGCTACAGCCTAAGACAGAAAATTGTCTGTGCAGGTCCACGTCTTTCTATAGTCCCCAAACAATGGTACCTCATTTTATTCTGTATTTTGATGATATTAGCGAATTGTTTCAAATTTGGTATTTGAAGTTCGTAATGGATGCTACAGCCTAAGACAGAAAATTGTCTGTGCAGATACACGTCTTTCTATAGCCCCCATATAAAGGTACCTCCCGATATACGGTATTTTGATGATTTTAGCGACATTATTCACCGGAATTGTTTCAAATTTGGTATTTAAAGTACGTAATGGATGCGTCAGCCTAAGACAGAAAATTGTCAGTGCAGATCCACGTCTACGTATAGCCCCCATACAATGGTACTTCCCGATATTCGCTATTTTGATGATATTATCGACATTATTCACCGGAACTGTTTCAAAGTTCGTATTTCAAGTTCGGAATCGTTACTGCAGCCTATGACAAAAAATTACTTATGCAGCACCACGTCCTTGTATAGTTTCCATATAAAGGTTTTCATTTGAGCGGTATTTTTCGGCGGATTTTTTTTTTTTTTTTTTTTGAAAAGTTTTAAGTTCCTTGCGAATGGTGGAGTATATAAAAAGTTCGACCCAGCCGAACTTAGGTTCATTTTTACTTGTTTGTATTGACGTAACAATACATGATAGGGACTCGTGGGGTGGCGGGGAACCTTATCCGGATGGCTATTTATACATACGCTTCCAAGATGGAAGAAGGCACCCCTGTGGGCGTATTCTGCCCTAACCCAATCATTAATTGCTCATATATGATTAAAGGAAATAAAGCGTTTTTCAGGCTGAAATTCTTGCAATCAAAAAGGCAGCAGACATGGAAAAATATGTGTCCTTAGACAGGTGGACCTTAAAGCTATGAAGTCAAGTGCCATTCAAACGAAAACCATTCTTGATTGCAGGCAAATCCTCTTTGAAATAAGTGAATTCAATAAGTTCTGTTTGATATGTTATTATGTCACATAGTGGAGAATGTCTGTTGAATTGGCACGAGAAGATTCCCAGCCGATTGATCTACCGATAGATGAGATTGTCAAACAACCGATAATATATTTTTTCAGCAGATTCAATCAATTACCAGGTTTGATGTCCCATGTTATCTATTAGGAGACATAGAATATTTGGCCTCTGGTTAACAGAAATTCTAAAGTTATTCTCAGATGTAGATTCCGTCATCATCAACAGGTTTGCTTAAATCATTTTCTGGTCTATATACAAGGTGACGCAAATGTAATCCTCCTATCAGAATACGCTATAAATTTTACGATTGGCCCCTAATGTTTTTTAATTAAAGCAAAAAAAAAAACAGTAAAGAAAGTCTTAAAGTCGGTCGGGGCCGACTTTATGATACCCTACACCACTTTGCCAATTTAGTAGAGCTGCGCATAATAATATCGTTGTTACGGAGTGCATATTACGGATGTGGGTAACAAATATGACAAATCGGATGAACAGTATATATGGGAGCTATAGCTATATCTGAACCGATCTCACCAAATTTGACATACTAGCTTCTAGACTCAATTTGGTCGTAAGTGCCAAATTGCATACAATTTGGGCAAATATTAGAAGTTTGGTGTACAATAAAAGGTAAATAGGACGAAGTTATATATGGGAGCTATATCCAAATCTGAACCGATCTCGATAAAATTTAGCAAATGTATTTCTGAGATGTATTTGATATATTTCTTCAAATATTGTTGTTACAGAGTGCATATTACGGCTGCGGAGGACAAAAATAACAAATCGGATGAACAATATATATGGGAGCTATAGCTATATCTGAACCGATTTGGCATACTTATTTTCAGGTCCAATCTGATCGTATGTGCAAAATTTCATACTATTCGGACTGATATTACACGTTTGGTGCACAATAAAAGGCAAATCGCACGAAGATATATATGGGAGCTATATCTAAATTGTGACCGATTATCTCCAATTTCAATAGGGTTCGTCCTTGGGCCAAACAAATGATTTGTACAAAGTTTCATCTGAATAGGGCAATAAATGCAAACTGTACTTTGTTTACAAAAATACATGGACAGACGGACGGACAGACGGACGGACGGACGGACATGCATAAATCGACTCAGAATGTGATTCTATGCAGATCATCAAAAGGAACTATGGGTCTATCTCGTTTCCTTTTGCCTGTTACAAACAAATGCACAAAGACATAATACCCTGACCACCTTGTGGTGTAGGGTATAAAAAAAACGTCGGAAGTTTATTTTTGCGTCACCTTGTACATGCATATGTACTTGACAGACATTCCGATGTTTTTTTTGCTGTAATTAAGACCGATTGGCCCCGAAATCGTAAAATTTATATCATATTCTGATAGAAGGATTACTCTTGCGCCATCTTGTACTATAGCTTTATATTTCTTATCACCACTACTTATTCCTCCCAGGATGAACACACTCGTCGGTGTAGTCTCAATATTATATAACCGCCCCATATTCAGTATTTGGAGCACTTTGATTTGCTTTCTTGCTGATTTCGCTGTTATTCTCAGTTTCAAATGATAGTAATCTCAACAGGCCGAACTGATGAATACCTTAAATAAGAATTGAAGCAAAAAAGTAAACCAAATAATAGCCTATCACAGAAAAGGGAATTTTAGCATCTTTTGAGTTGATTGAAACTTTGCTAACAAGAATGTTAGTTTATTTTTAAATACATTGGGTTTCGTTGTTGCACGACCTTGCACAGACCTTTGAAACCTGTTTTGGAAGTTTTCCTTTTCCCAGATTAAAAAATACTAATCTTGAATTTTCTTATATTTCGGGAACAAAGAGAGAGAAAAGAAAATTGTACTAAATTCCTTTAACTATTGATAAGTTAATTAGCGTACTGTCAGTGGTTCCATATACTTAATTGACATATTAATTATTAATTTACGTATAATTCCCATTAAACATGCTCCACTTTCATATCATGTCATATTAGCACTTGATTTGCAATGTTTTTTAGCCATTGACCTTTTATGAATTTTTGTATTGCCCACTGCTGATAAGATTTTCAAAAAGCCACCTTGTGTTTGTTGAATTTTTGGAATATTTTTTGAGGGTAAACACTCTACTATGGAAAAATACCATGGATGGTATCTTAGGCAGCAGTATTTTCACTAATTTTTCCAGTGATAATTTCTTTGAATTTAATAATTTGTTTAATTCTTAATACGTATTTCTTTACCTTATTTTGGCAGTTGTTTTTATTTTATTTCAAAAAATTATATTTATTTCTAATTTCACTTTTTTTAATATAATCAGTTGGTGGCGGTGTCGGCAACTTTTTTTGTGTCTTATTTGTTATTGTTGTTTAGTGGTGCTGCCGATACGTACGTATTTACAAATGTCAGAATATAGATTGAAAACGATAATAGCCGTGTGAAGAGTAGAACGTGATAATAAAAGCTTAATGCCAGCCAGCCACTAGCCAGTGTGGATGTAGAAAGGAATTTAAAGAAAATGCTAAAAGAAAGCTTTCATGGCAATTAAACGAAGACATCAACCACATTGGAGCAACAGGTTGTGGGATTTTAAATATAAAAATTTACTGAATATTTAATATTCGCAGGTCTGAAATAAAGCATTTTCAGGAAAGCAAATGTATGATTTTTGCAATATCCGCAAAAATTTGAATGAATTTTGAAATAATTTTCTTTAAAATTGTCATCTGCCAAATCTTTTTAAATACCAAAGTTGAAACATTATCGTGGGTAAATGTCAATAGGATTATCTAAATACCGAATATCGGCGGGTATCGTTATATGTGCCCAATTTTTAGACAAATCCGTAAAAAAATGTCGCAAAAAATCACCGTTATTTGGGGGCTATATCAAAACGTGAATCCATATATACTATGTTCTGCCACCGGAGCTGAAACCCATAACGAAGCACAAATATTAATTTCAAAATACCGAATATCGGGAGACACCGTTATATGGGGGTATACAAAAATGCGGACTTACAAATACAATGTTTCGCCATCGGAGCAAGAGCCCATTATGACCTATAAATACCAATTTTTACACACATCCGTGAAAAATGTGGCAAGAATCATCAAAATAACGAATATCGGCATTTACCGTTATATGGCGGCTATACCAAAACGTGGACCGATATATCTCATTTTCAATACCAATCATCTCTTACATCCCTTTGAAGCTCTACGTCAAATAATGTGGGCTGTATCATGATTTCGGCAGACAGACAGACGGATAGACAGAAGGACGTCGTTAAATCGACGTAGAATTAAGCTGATCATGAATATACAGGGCAAGATGAAAAAACGTCAACAAACTTCAGACTGCTGTCATTTCTAAGCCACTCGTCCGACAGCTGTTAAAATTATTCCAGTGATAGCTCATTATAATATTTACAAGCGCACAAAAGCATTTTGGTGAGCGTTTTCCAGAAAAAAAAAGTTATTCATGATGGAATTCAAGCGTGATACTGTGATTTCTTTATATTTGGCTGGAAAACCGCAAGTGGCTATCGTTAGAGCACTCCAGCATTTAAATTTGAACAAATCTTTTGTGCTTTGCTTGGCCGGAAGTGGTGAACTGCCGAATTTTGTTTTCTCCGATGAGAAATATTCGTTGTCTAGCAGTTTGTAAACAAACGAAATGATCGTGTCAAATGATCTTGCCAAGTTGGTCAGCTGAAAATGTGCACCTTCGGTTGGCCACCAGAACTCAAGCGCCAGCCATGGTGATGGTGTGGGCCGCCATATAACAGCCGATGGTCGCCCTCCGCTCGTGTTAATCGACCGTCGTATCAGAATAAAATCCATATATTATCGCGAAAATATTCTTGAGGGCACGCTCAAGAATACGATACTAATCCGTTGGACTATTGTGTCTGGAGTATTTTGGAAAGCAAGGTTGGCACTAAAAAATACCAAAGTGTCGACCACACCAAGCAAGCGCTTCGTCGGGAATGGGTTAAAATACCGCAGAGCTGCATTCGGGCAGCGTGTGACTGTATCATTGGCCGTTTGAAGGCCAAAGTTGATCAATTCGAACAAGTCTAAAATTTTTCTAAAATTTGATGCTATTTCCGACATTTTTTGCCTTCAACCTGTATGTATATAAGTAGCTGACACATCCAAACCACTGCAAAAAAAAGACATCGTAATCATGCTATTATGTTGCCGTGGTGGGTGAATCTGTTATATCAAACGTGTGCTTCACAGGTGTTATGAGGTTGTAGCCTGTTGCAGTTCTCATGATTCACTGGAGTCATGAGAAGGCATTTATCATAGCTTCGTTGTGAGAAGTCTCAATACGTTATATTTCTTTTTGATAATTTTCTTCACCGAAATCTCCCATAATATATTTTCCATTTATTCCACTTTCAGGTTCCAATCTCTCAGCCAAAAAGGACAAATCACAACGTAAACAATCATCCCAAAGTGATGACAAACGTAATAAGCGCCGCAAAGATGAAATTGTTGTGGAAAAAATAGATACAGGTGATTTTGTCGTAGAGACTGGAGATAAATTAAAGGTCTACTATCACGAGAAAAAGGTGACGTATGAGGCCAAAGTTTTGGAAATCACATTACAACGTAATACCCCAATGTATTTGGTACACTATACGGGATGGAATAATCGTTACGATGAATGGGTGCCACGGGAACGTATTGCCGAAAATCTAACTAAAGGTTCGAAATTTAAGGGACGTTCGTCGAACAGTAATGAAAAGACAAAAGAGAATCCTCCAAAACCCCCAACAGCATCGTCATTTGCTTCAGCTGGTAGTGGTGGGGGTGGTGGCGGCACCGGGAGCGGAGGTGGAAATAGTGGTTCAACATCATCCTCGGCTTCCAGCGGCAATCAACAAAATCTCTCATCGGCAGCGGCAAAAACACCAACCGCTGCTGCCAAACGTGGCAGGGGACGTAGTGATTCAATGCCACCACGTTCCACCACACCATCCTCGGTTGCCTCCAACTCCAGTCGTACCAAATCACCAGCTACATCTTCGGCTCTAAAGAAACGTCCTCAGCGACAAATGCAGGGTAATATCAGGCGAACATCGGCAAATGTATCCGATGTATCCATGGCCACGGAAGAAGAATCCGACACCGATTCAGATGAACCCGTTAAACGTCCAAATCGCAACCTAAAAGATTCCCTCAAAACCCGAAAATCACCAGGAAAATCGAAAATGTCCATATCAGCACCGAATAGTCAATCGGAAAGTGAGGACAACGATGAAGATGAGGAGGAGGATGAAGATATGCCATCTACAAGTAAGACAACAACTCCTCGCAAGGGCAGAGATTATGATCTATCACAGATTCGCTCGGAACTTAAGGGTTTCGAGACCATAAAATCATCATCTGCCAATGACTTGGACGATTCGGGCGAAATCAAACATGAGACAAAAGATTCACCTTTGGGTAAAATTAAAACAGAAAAGCCGGAATTTGATTCAAAATCCTCAACAAATTCAGCCGCTTCATCGGTTATAATTAAGGAGGAATTGAAATCGGAATCCAAGGAGGAACCCCATAAGAGATCCTCAACGGAAGTGTCCTCGGAAACAGATTCCTTTGGCGATGATGAATCACAGTCATCCGATAAGACAACCAAATTGGAAAATATGCGTAAGAAATTCCAACAGCTAATTAATGCCGATAAATCTTCTGAAAAATCATCCACAAAGCCACAATCGTTTAGTGGTGCCGGTGGCAATCGGGTTGTGGAAAAAATAATCAAGGAGCGCGAATCCGAGAAACGCAATGAAGCTTCAAAAGCAAAGATTACCATCAAGGAGGAAATTAAGCCAACATTGGCATCCTTAAAAATGGAAATGGATATGAAAAGGGATAGCAGCACGCCCATAAAGGATGAAGAAAAGAAATCCCTGATTGGCACACTGGGTTCCGAAATGAAATGCTCTTTAATACAACCCACACGTTTTCCCACCTCGGCAACATCGTCATCGCTAACACCCTCATCCACTCCCAATAAGTATGCCTCGGTTATTGTGGAAAAACCATTATCTGCTGTCAAGAAATTGGAGACTTCATTTACGAAAAAGGTGGACACTCCCAAGAAGTCCTCGTCGTCGTCTCTAACTGAAAGTCAAATGTCTGTGCACACCATTAAAAAGTTTATTGAGCCAAATGTCCACAAGGAAATACTAAAGGTTGAGCCACCAGCAGCATGTTCCCCCTCATCGACATCCTCTACATCTTCTTCCACATCGTCCTCATCATCGGCCACATCGTCTTCTTCGGGCTCTAGATTTTTACCCGATATGAGTAAATTGGATATAAGCGGAACTTCGTCGTCTTCTAATTCAACATCTTCGCCCTCAAATTCCACCTCATCATCCTCGACAACTTCATACGCCAGTGCCGTAGCCAAGGAACAAAAGGCGGCGGGCAATATTATGACTGTGAACAAGCCACCATCGCCAGATATCTACGAATTCAAAGATACCGAACCATTTGAATTTGAAATACGTAAATCACCAATGGTGACTGGTGGCAGCAGCAGCAGCGGCGGTAGTTCATCCGTTATAACTGCCAATTTGGGCAGTTCTTTGGCAGCCTCTTTGGCGGCATCTTCAGCTACAGCTGGTGGTGCTTTTAGTACCAACACATCGAGTGTTGGGGCAAGCAGTTCGGCACAACGACTCAAGACTTCCGTAAAAACGGATCTACATATGCCCATGGCACAAAATCCCATGTCGACCATAGTCAAAAACAAGAAACGTGGTTCGCCCATGAAGGAATCGGTCATAGAGAAATCAAAACTATTGAAACTCGACGATAAACCCAGTAATCCAAGTCCTTTGGTACAGGATGCCAAACTTGTACATCATTCTACAATGTCGGGAGGTCCAACGGCCATTGTTAAAACGCCAGCAAGTGCCATGGCCAAGACAGCAGCGGGTACAACAATAATGCATGCTCCGGCACTACCGAAAACCGCAGCTCCCATTAATACGCCAGCCTCAAGTGCTTCATCACTGTTGGCTCCTGTGATAACAGTGCCCCAGAAGCACTCGTCCTCCTCTTCAGCAGAAGCGCCATCTGTTTTCGATGCCCTACGTAAATCTCCCAGTTTTAACTTGAATATCAATGCTCTAAATGAAGAGTTGGCACAAACAGTACAAGAAACCACCAGGGCCTTGACAGATGCTTTGCAGACACCTCAGTCACAGGTGATAGTGCCCAATAATCCAAACGAAAGTACCCCAACTAAAATGATTGTAAATATGCCTGTCTCTAGTGGTGGTGGACCTAACTTAAAACCTCTGCTCCAGACACCACCACCAGCACCACAACCAGCAGCACACCCACCAACTTCTACGGGTGCTGGTACTGCAACATCAGTTTCTACTTCACAGACTATACAATCTCCCAAACTTACCACCCCACCGAGCAGTAGTAATACCACCACAACTAAACCTCAAGTGGGAAGTCCATTCATTGAGACCCGAAGTGTTTTTGAACTATCCTTTGGAGCTGGTACCAGTGGCCGGGAGAATAAATTTGAGCTTGAGAATGCCAAGGTGTTGTTGTCGGCTACAGGCGGAGTTTTTGATTTGGATGTTTCGAAATTGGAAACAAAACCTTCAACCTCTTCCATTGCTGATAAAGTCCTCAAAGCCATTTCACAGAAGAAAGAAGAAGAGGAGAACAAGAAACAAGAGGAATCGAGGAAAGAAAAAGAGGGAACACTTGCAGAACCCACGAAAGAAACAACTGGTCTTTTGGGACTGGCTGCATTAGCGGGTAAAAGTAATTTGGATGCCTTGCCACAGCCATCAACCACTTTCCCAAGTACTTCATCGTCGGTACTGCTAAGTGAACCATTGAAAATCAACACCGACCTAACAGCCGGTCAGGTCTGCACAACACTGTTGAGTGGTCCCCTCAACACATTCTTGGCAAACAAACGCACACCTCTAACATCTCCAGAACCAAAAATGGGCATACTGGAGTCGATGAGTGGTACCAAAAACCAACTATCCGAAACCATACAAAAACTGGAATGTGCCATTCAAAGACGTACACCAGTCACGAGTCATCCTGTAACACCTACCACACCCCTATCGACCACAAATCCCGAGACCTTTTCCGAAGACAGTAATGACAGTACAGATTCTGAAAGACGTTTGGTCATTGAAGATGTTGTCGATGAAACGGGCCCAGCACAACCACAATCTACAGCCACAACATCTGTCGTCGAACAAAAACCCAGTCCTGTGTCATTGCCCAGAACAGAGTCCCCATCATTGTCATCCAAATCAACGGCGACATCCACGACAACGGTAACACCCATTGTCAGCATCAGCAGTAGTAGTTTACCCATTAAACTGGAATCCACATTGGTACCCACGAAAATAGCCTATGCCGCCCAACATGACATTCCTGCACCAATACCCATTAAAGCTGTGACAGCTATTACCGCAACCAGAGCCACAATCACCCCGACCATAGCATCGAATCCAACGAATATTGTCAATATAGTGTCCTCATCAAGTTTGGTGGTGAATAAACCGGGAAGTGGTACTGTGGTATATCCCAATAGCAGTGGTAACCTTAAGCCGGTTATACAAACAAATCCCCAATCAAATAGTGCAGTCTCGGCAGCAAACTCTCCACCAGCCTTGCCAAAAAGTGTTGTAGTTATGTCTAGTGGATTGAATTTGCACCAAAACACCACCCAAATTGGAGGCAGTGCAGAGACCACTGCCAGCAACAGTAGTGGTGCAACAAATGTCATATCAACGCAACACGCCAAGCTACAGCAAGGCTTAAGAGTCACGGCTAGTGGTGTGGTGACGGCCTCCAGTACTGGTGTACCCATTGACCTACCCGATATACCAGCCTCAGTGGTTGTGGCCTCCTCGGCTGTACCCTCTGTCATGGCCGCGGCCCAGGCAGCAGCAGCTGCTTTACAAACCCCCAAACAAACACCACAGAAACAAGTGCCACAATCCTCTCAAGCCATTACCCCACCCACACTCAGTGGTGGCAGTATAGCCAAGCCAACACCAATTATACCCATCTCAACGGCATCCGTGTCGAGTCCCCTGCAAAGTCTCATTACCCCCGTCCAAAGTAGTGGTGGTCCCACAGCATTTGTGGCCACAACAAAATCATTTGAGAATTCCACCACCATTAGGCCGATTGTGCCACAGATTATAAAACCCAATATAAGTTCGAGTGGTATACCCTTAACGGTGACCAAAACATCTGGGGGTTTTCATCCAATTACCACCTCAGGTCCACCGGCATCAACGTCTGGTTTCTATTTGGATCCTCGCACTGAACTACGACCCGATGATGGTCTCAAGCCTTTGATTGATATACCCAAACCACAGGGTAGTTCCACAACAACAACAACGAGAATTGAAAATATCGCCAGCAGTAGTAATTTACCCCACCTGGATAGTTCATCCAATTTGCCAGACACCCACAATGATTCCATAAATCAGTTGCGTTGTGAAGAAACCATACCCGGTAGTCCGGCTTCAGTTATAGCAGGACGTGAAGATTCACAAGAGCGTACGGCGACATCTTTATTGCCCGATCCAATCGGGTGTGGCGATAAAGATTTCTCCGTTTTAGGTAGTGCTACTAAAACCATAACTGCTGAATCCTCGAACATGGAATCGGCGGCTATTGCGGGCAGTGCTAATGTCAATAGTTCTCCCAATGATTCTGGCAGCCAAGAGGATGAATCAAGTGAAGACATTAAAAAAGATTTGGATCTCGATAGTGGTGTTTCACCACAGAAACGTAGACGTACACGCAAGCAAGGTGATGGCAGCACCAGTGGTTCATTGTCCCATGAACAGCAGCAGCAGCAACAACAGCAGCAGCAGCAGCAACACCAACACATACAACAGCAATCGAAGCGACGTCGTGCTATGACAATAAATAAAAATAAAACAGGTAGTTGTTTGTTTGGGTGTTTTATTTTCAAAAGTTTATGGTAAATAATTTAAATTTCTTTAAATTTGTTCATTTACAGCTGGTTCTGATAGCGATGACAATTCAGATAATATTTCCCAACGCAGCGCACACACCCCAAGACACAGTCTACAACAACAGTCGCAGACACAACAAAGTTCTTCATCATCATCAGGTTCAAAACCATGTCCATACAATTTCCTGGTACAATTGGGTGAGTATTTGCAGGATAAAATAAGGAGTTTGATTTGTTTTTTTTACTTTGGCCATAGACAAATTAAGAACATAAATAGAGGAGGAGTAGAGAATCTTAAATATAATGGACTGGGTTGAGTTAAAGTATGCACAGCAGTAAGTTATCACAGCTACTGTACTCAGAGACCATGGATCCATTGTGTTCATTAGGAAAAACATATAAGAAAACTGTTAGGAGGGAGAGAGATTGAAGGATTTTACGCTTCTCCATTCACACCACATGAAAGGAAACATATAGAAGCTAAGACCGAAAGAATGGGTTTTAGAGATGTGTTAACAGTGCGGTTGTTTGCCTAGGCAGAAGATGCTTTTTGGTAAAAAACTATAAACGATAATGGTATCCAGAAAATTAGAATTTCTATCTCCCATCTACCGAAATAGACTATGGGACATCTGCAGAGTAGGTCTCGACGTTTTCTTAATATTCCTGCAGTATACGTTTGTGGTTGTAACAGTTAATCAGGTTTAAACTGTGACTTTAAAAATTCAGCTACTTTAAATAATTGAAACCTTCACCGGCCGAGGTCTTCGGGTGTATATTGGATGGGTCTGTCGGTATTCATATTGAAATTGTTGGTGGTATTTGTGATTGCATCAAAATGTTACTCAGAGCTGCCTCATATGCTTTTGGATATACAGGCTCTCTTTTGTAACGTTGGACCTCTCTCTGGTGTAAGTTCTTTCTGATGGAAAAGTTTTATCTACCAAATAATGGTTTGGAAGACTCCCACGGTAACACCTAAGCGGGTACTGCCACTAAAGCATGCGGTTATATTGTCATATGTGAAGGACCTGCTCATGTAGATGATGTACTGGTGTTATGAGAAAGTACTTTCAAGTGTTCCGGTAGGTCTTCCACTGCGTAGCACTAGTATTCTCAGACCACACTGGGACCGCACATATCCCCACAGAGATGTCAACAAGGTCTGCTTTTTGGCGCCTTGTTCATATTTATTAATTTATAGCAGATAGCTGTGGCTTGCGCGGACTATGATCTAGAGGTAGTTGGTGGTCGGAGATAAGCTGCGTTCTTATGTCCGCAGACCATGTTGTAAAGAGTGTGGCGTTGACTTCGTAGCGGATATATTCTTATTCCTCGGAAGAAGTCAGCAAAGCTACGCCAGAAAGATGTTAAACTTTACACATATTTAATCAACCAGAGGATATGTCATCAGCCAACCCTATGCTCGTACAGTCATCTGCATATGTAAGAAACTCAATGTCTACCTTGGAAAATCGCCGTTGAACTCCACTGAGTTTGGAATTCTTCCTCTTCCTTAATTCCACGTATGATTTCGTCCAAATATATAGCTGATTACCCAAAGTTTCAAACTTGGCCGAAGTCCGTTCTCTCCATATCCTCAAACAGTATGAAGTGGTTGATTGTCTCAAAAGTCTTTGATAACTAATTGTCCTGGTGTAGTCCTCGACTTATTTGTGTGAATATGACATGCAATTCTGTTGTGGTACTATGTAGTAGACAGTGTCCTTGTTGGTGGTCTGCAACTGGATAGCCTCCTGTAATGATGGAGAGGAGTAAAGCCTCAAAAGTCTCCACTACTGGCGTCAAAAGCGAAATTGTCCCATATGACTCGCCTTTGCTGGCATCCTTACCTGGATTCAGTAGCGGGACCACCCGGTCAATTTTCGATTCCGTGCTGGCTGACTTTGCTTTTTGGATGACATTTGCAACATCACCCATCGTAAACTGAGGTGGTTCCTAGTTGGCGGGAAGATATCCGATACGACACATTACTCTTCGCCCTATCGATACTCAGCAAATTTTCTGCCAAAATATGCATTGCACCTATTCGTATCAGTCACCGTTATGTCCCAGGGTTCGAGAGCGATTTAATCGTTACCCACAGCTTACTCCTATCGGTTTCATTGTTGCAACACCTCAGATGATCTAGTTACTTTTTCCTCTTATGCTGCAGAACAGTACGGTTAACCTTCTTCGACTCTGGGATCATTTGCCTCGGTCTGGCTCCAAAGAGAGTTGGACAGTGGCAGAATAAGTGCTCAACCGTCTTTGTATCTTCCTTATCCTGACAAAGCCTACAGTATTCAGTGTTGTCATCCCCCTCCACTTTGAAGTCATGGCCCTTATGTTACAGTGACCCGTAATTGGATCCACCATAAGCTTTATGTCAGATTTCATCAAGGAGATGACTGACATTCATCTCCGTTCGGAGATTACTGGCCATATTATTATTTATTTATTTATTTTTTTTTTTTTTAGACTTTACGTGCCCTTCCAATCAGTCAGTTCGGATTGAATCTCCCAAGGTTGTGCTTGTTTAATACTTGGAAGAAGTGACTTAATGGTGGTTGTACTGAGCTTCACTGCCAATTCATCTGCTGATTCAGATATGTTACAATGCCCTGGGCCCAACAAAGTTTGACTTAAACTTTTCCAGAGCATTTCTGCATTCGAGAACAAACATAGATTTGATTGTAAAATATATATAGTGACCGGTCCATTCTTTTTTCCAGCAGCTCCGTGGCTTTCCTGATAGCAAAGAATTTTTCCTGAAAAACTCTGCTGTCGTTGTTTTATTTAAAGAATCTCCGTATACAAATATTCACAGAATACCCCAGCTCCCGTTCCACCTTCCATCTTTGAACCATCGGTATAGACAGCTATACCGTTTAAAGGTGGAGTGTTCCGGGTCCAGGTGTCCCTGTTGTGTATATAGATTTCCAGTGATTCGAAACTTTGCCTTCTATGTTCTCCACATACTTAAGAATGACAGAGCGTCCAAAGGACTGACTTCGCCATTGACCTAGTTCATCTCTTACTATTAACTCCCATAAAAACAAAAAACCTATATAATTCACTATCGATTTTAACATTTCCTTTTATCTTCCATTTTTTCCAGATCCCTCCCTTAGCTCCGATCAATGTATAGCAATATTATTAAAACAAATACAAGATTTGCGCAAAACCTATAACATTATTAAAACAGATTTGGCCAGTATTGATCGACGGCGGAAGAAGTTGCGTCGACGAGAACGTGAAAAGAAACAGCTGATGCAGAGTCAACAGCAAATGAAGGTGGGCACATAAAAGGCGTTGCCGTTACTGTTGCTGTGATGTAAAGGGTAATGGCTGCCGACACACTCGGCCTTTAAATCTTGTTCGCTCGCTCGCCCACTCATCCTTTCCAGCCACATCTTTTTTTTTTAACGGACAGAACAACGTTGCAATTTGTTTATTATGTATTAATATTAAACACAAAGTAGTATATAAGAGCATTTTCGAAGCAAAAAATATTCGAATACGAATTTCATACAAGGTTTTTGTTTTTTTTTTGTACGTACATTGCAATGTTCAAAACATAAACAAATGTATCTACGATCGATCCCAGCAATCTATTTGGGGCAGAATGAAATTCAGATATTTTTTCAAAAGTAGATTTTAGTAGAGTTGAAAAAAGCTATATACTCCAAAAAAAAAAATCGCAAAATTTTATGAAGAATTGTAAAAAACACACACACATGCAAATTTTTGTAACATTTTTGGTAAAAAAGTAATTAAGACTCTACCAATAATTTCTTTTAATTAGAATTTGTTTTAATTTACACTTTAGATTGTTAGCTATGTAATAAAAAGAAATTGAAAAAAAAAACACACAAAAATGAAATTAAATACCCCTAAAGAAAATTACATCATTGAAATGTATAAAAATAAAAAAAACGTCATTGATTTATGATTTTATTATACTTTTGATTTGATTTTTTGATTATTTACAATATGTGAATATATTACATTATTAATATTTAAAATAAAACAACAAAAGAAAATATGCAAAAAAAGATGTCGTTTTTTTATGAAACCGAATAACCTCCCTCCAAATTCAAATGGTGGCCATTGACAAAACTAGATTTGTCACTCAGCAAATAGACAATACCATCTACGACTTCTTGAACTTCACAGAATCTATTCTGGGGTATGTGAGCCAATAGAGGGCCAGATTTGGCTGGATCACTCCAGTTGTCTCGACCCATTTTGGTTAATACCACAGTGGGATTTACTGAATTTACACGTATCTTGCGCGGTCCCAACTCCAGGGCCAGGGAACGTGTCAGCGAATCAACTGCAGCCTTTGTTGCACTATAAACCGTATGTCCATCGAAAGATCGAGATGCAGCCAAAGAGGAAACATTTACAATGCACGAGTTCGGCTTCAATTTGGGCAAAACCGTCTGGGTGACATTGAATACCGCCTTAATGTTGACATCAAAGGTGCTGGAAGAAAAATGGGTTGGCATTTAAATAAATTAATAACATGCAAAACAAGAAAAAAAGCTGTAAGTTCGGCCGGGCCGAACTTTAAATACACTCCACCATTCGGAAAGAATTTGGAAATTTTCAAAAAAAAAAACCGTTAAAAATTTTGTTAAAATCTTACAAATACCGAATGTAGCCTTTATATTAGGGACCAGCGTGGACCTACATATGCAGCTTTTGCTATAAGCCATTACAATATTTAAATGCGAAACTTGAAAAAAAAAAATCTGTGAAAAATGTTGCTAAAATCATCAAAATACCGTGGTACCATTTTATGAGGGCTATACCACAACGTGGACCTATATGGCCCATTTTCAATACCAAAAGTCCTGCAGACATAATATATATTTGAGTAAAATTGTGTCAACCCTTTTCATTCGGAAGGTTAGGTGTTTTCACAGACGGACGGACATCGCGAAATCGACATAGAATTATATGCTGATCAAAAACTTATTACTAAAAATAAGGAAGCGCATAAAGCATTTTATTATCCCAAGCAGGCAAGGAGTTCGTTGAGAATCCTGGACATACCAATAAGTCCAAATATCTTGGGTGAAGGTTATCGAATTAGTGATTACATGACCAAATTGAAGCATACCTGATAGGGACGCTTGGGCTGTTGCTGAATTTTCTGTGGCTGTCTAGACAGGTGGTTCCAAGATTGACGAAGGTACTGGTTCTGTTCTATTTAAATTATTTGAAGCTGATATAAACTTATTTAAAAATGTAGCATCTTTCATTTGGAGATTCTTGCAGTCAAGAGGGTAGAAGTAATAGACAGATAAATATCTAAAAGCTAAACAGGGCCAGTGATAGTAAGGCGGCCGTTAAAGCTACTAAATAAAGTGCATTAAGGTCGACAGCCGTTCTTGATTACAAGAAAGCTCTCTTGGGGCAAGAAATCCCTCTTCATTACGCTTTGTTGGGTCCCAGGACATGGCAACATGGCGGAGAATTAAATGGCCGATGAATTAGCTCGGTCTGATGAGATTGTCAAACTACCGATATTGCAGGGTGTGATAAAAAACTGCAACCAACTTCAGACTGCTGTCATTTCTAAGTATTTTGGTGAGAAAAAAGTTATTCGTGATGGAATTCAAGCGTTATTCAAAGTTATTCGAGGCTGGAAAACCGCAAGTGGGTATCGTCAGAGTTCTCCAGCATTTAAATGTGATAAATTTTTTGCGTCTCGTACCATCGCTCGTTACCGTGATACTGGTAGCGTAGCCCGACATCAAGGAAGTGGACGGAAGAAAACAGCAACGTCAGCAGAAATGGTTCGAGAAGTAAAGAAGCGACTTGATCGAAACCCGCTTCGTAGTGGCCGAAAAATGGCTTGTGAGCTGAAGATATTGCAATATTCCATTCGGCAAATATTGAAAAATGAACTCGGGGTATAGCCATTGAAATTCCAAAAAGTGCAAAGACTTACACCGCAACAAAAAGAAAATAGACTCTTAAGGGCCGAAAGTGGTGAACTGTCGAATTTGGTTTTCTTCGATGTGGAAACATTCGTAGTCCAAACAAAATCATCGTGTTTACTTGCCAAAGAGGTCAGCTGAAAATGTGCACCTTCGGTTGGCCACCAAAACTCAAGCGCCGGTCATGTTGATGTTGATGGCCCGCCACAACAGCCGATGGTCGCTCTCTGGTCGTATTAATCGACGTTGTATCAGAATAAATGCCGAATATTGTCACGAAAATATTCTGGAGAGTGTATTAAAGTCTTGGGCACCCAACCACTTTGGCCGCAGACCTTGGACATTCCAAAAGGACTCAGCACGCGCCACCCAAGAATGGTTACAAAATGAGGTTCCTCGTTTCATTTCCAACACACAATGGCCACCAAAATCTCCGGATATCAATCCGTTGGACTATTGTGTCTGGAGTATTTTGGAAAGCAAGGTTGGCACTAAAAAATACCAAAGTGTCGATCACCTCAAGCAAGCACTTCGCCGCAGAGCAACATTCGGGTAGCGTATGACGGTTTCATTGGCCGTTTGAAGGTCATAATTCGTGCCAAAGGTCATCAAATCGAACAAATCTAAAATTTTTATGATATTTCCGACATTTTTTATTTTTATTCAATAAAAAATGAAAAAAAAATGTTAAAAATTTTGGCGTTTGAGTTTGTTGCATTTTTTTATCTCACCTTGTATATGGGAGCTATAGCTATATCTGAACCGATTTTCACCAATTCTGATGTACTTGTTTCTAGACTGAATTCGGTTGGATGTGCCATTTGGACTTATATTGGCCATTTGGTGCACAATTAACGCTAAATCGGTTTGAGGATATATATGGGAGCTATATCGAAATATGAACCGATCTTGATAAAATTTGGCAGAGGTATTTCTGGGCTGTATCTTATACCAAATATCATTCTTGATGATGATCAGATGAAATATATATATATGGGAGCTATAGCTATATCTGAACCGATTTTCTCCAAATGTGATGTACTTTTTTCTAGGCTAAATTCGGTTGGATGTTCCAAAATTCAGGTTATTTGGATATATATGGTCATTTGGTGCACAACTAAAAAGAAATTGGTTGAAGATATATGGGAGCTATATCTAAATCTGACCCGATTATCACCAATTTTAGTAGGGTTCGTCCTTGGGCCAAACAAATATTGTTTGGAAAATTTCATCTTAATCGGACAAGAATACATGGATAGACTGACATGCTTAATTATTTATCTCGTTTCCTTCTCCATATTACAAACAAATACCCAAAGACATAATACTCTTACCACCTATGTGGTGTAGGGTATAAATACTAATTAATACACATTTGCAGGTTCTGGAACACAACTATAGTCTTTGACCTTGAAATTAATTCAAAATCATGCAAATATCCATATTTCTCGATTCTTCAAAGGTATGATGTACTCACATCAAAATGATGGCAATAAAAATAGTTTAATCTCTTGTCAAACATTGATTTTCTAAAAATAACACTTACTTATCAAAATCTTGCTCCGTCAATTCCGTAAATGGCCTGATAATTGCCACCGCCGCATTGTTAACCAAACCATCAAGATCGGGAACGGTGGCCAGTGTCTGACGTACTTGTTGCCAATCTTTCAAATCGACCTGTAACGTTTTGATGGACGGACTAAATGACCGCAATTCCTTGAGTTGTTCCGTTGAACGGGCAACGGCGATAACATTTGCTCCCGCCTGCGCTAGTTGTCGACACAATTCATTGCCAATACCTGTTTGAAGATGAAAAACGACAACAACAACACGAATAATAACGATACGAAATAGAGCAGATTAGAATAGTAATTAGGTTGATAAGCTGAAGGTTAAATCGAACATCGCAAAAAAGAGAATTGATAGTTTAAGGAATTTAGTTAAAAATTTTCCATTTCCTTCCATGCCCTTCTTGAGTTAAATAATGCAATGCTAGGCAAACAATTGCAGTTTATTGTTATTTTGTATTTACCTGCTCCGGCGCCGGTTACCAATATTGTTTTGTTCTTCATATTCTCGTACATAATGTTTATGTTTCTTCCCGCCGGGTCGTGTAGTTTCTTCTAATCACCACAGTTTATGAATGAACTGGCAAAGCGAAAGTAAAGAACTAAAACATCTAGTCGCCAAAACCCCCACAAATGCAATGTGGAATGTATTGAGAAAAAGCTGAAAGCTTTCAAATATTTCAGCATAGCTTTCCAAAGTTTTTCGAAAATTAAACTGTTGGTTTAATTTAAAACAGAAGAACTGAGAAGATATTATTCAATTTAGGTGATTGAAGTCGAAAAATTAATCACCAATCGGTTCCGAAGCTGTTTTGAATCAAACCGCTATTGTTATACACTCCACCATTCTATGTAGGGTATATTAGCTTTGTCATTCCGTTTGTAACTCCTCGAAATATTCATGATAGACTCTATAAAGTATATACATCGTAAAATAATAAAAAAAAAACTGCAACAAAGTCAAACGCCATAATTTTTTAATTTTTTTAATTTTATTGAATGAAAGCAAAAACATGTCGGAAATAACATCAAATTTTAGAATAAGTTTAGATTTGTTCGAATTGGTCACCTTTGACACGAATTATGGCCTTCAAACGGCCAATGAAACAGTCACATGCTGCCCGAATGTTGCTTGTGGTATTTTGGCCCATTCCTGGCGAAGCGCTTGCTTGAGGTGATCGACACTTTGGTATTTTTTAGTGCCAAACCTGCAAGTCCAACGGATTGGTATCCGGAGATTGTGGTGGTCGTTGTGCGTTGGAAATGAAGCGAGAAACCTCATTTTGTAACCATTCTTGGGTGGCGCGTGCTGAGTGCGATGGTTCTGAGTCCTGTTGGAATGTCCAAGGTCTACGGCCAAAATGCTTGCGTGTCCAAGGCTTTAATACATCCTCCAGAATATTTTCGCGATAATATTCGGCATTTATTCTGATGCCACGGTCGATTAATACGAGCCCACACCATCACCATGACCGCCGCTTGAGTTCAGGTGGCCAACCGAAGGTGTACATTTCCAGCTGACCTCTTTGGCAAGTTAACTCGATCATTTTTGTTTGTTTACAAACTGCTGCACGACGAATGTTTTCCCATCGGAGAAAACCAAATTCGGCAGTTTACCACTTTCGGCGAAGCAAAGCAATTCTTTAGCTCTTTTGAGTCTATTTTTCTTTCTGTGGCGGTGTAAGTTCTTGCAATTTTTTTGGAATTTCAATGGCTTTATCCCGAGCTCATTTTTCAATATTTGCCGAATGGAATATTGCGATATGTTCAGCTCACGAGCCATTTTTCGGCTACTGCGACGCGGTTTTCGATCAAGTTGTTTCTTTACATTTCAAAACATTTCTGCTGATGTTTCTATTTTCTTTTGTCCACTACGCTGCCAGTATCCCGGTAACGAGCGATTTATTCACATTTAAACGCTGGAGTGCTCTGACGATAGCCACTTGTGGTTTTCCAGTCAAATATAAAGAAATCACACTATCACGCTTGAATTCCATCACGAATTATTTTTTTTTTTTTGGAAAATTCTCACCAAAATGTTTTTTTACGCTTGTAAACAATTTAATGAGCTGTCACTGGAATAACTTTAATAGCTGTCGGACGAGTTGCTTAGAAATGACAGCAGTATTAAATTGTATGCAGTTTTTTCATCTCACCCTGTCCCAACCAGGCACGTCGCCATATTTATAACATATTTATTTAAGTCCCATATGAAATGGACAATATTGGCCCATTTCTTCGGAACCTACTCCATAGAGAGTCGACAATTTGAATAATCACACCAGAAGTCAAAATATATTTAAAAATTCGAACATTGGCTGAGGGTATACATCTGTCAGCAAAACCGATTGATAATTTTTAAAAGGTTTAATATCAACTAAATGCATTTACTTGTAAGTTTTACTGACTATTTCAATTTCTTTGCAAATATGATTCATTTACGAAAATATAATGAATTAATTGAATTAAAATATTGCACTTGGAAAAAAATATTTTTTTGCGTTAGCATACTGAACCTATGGAACATGGCGGACGTGTCATCTGTATTGCCTTGACTGTGTTTCATATCTCTCTTTATATTGCCTTTAAAACTACTTCTCTGAAAAACCCCCAAAAAGAATCACCCCGATTCTTAATGACAATTCCCTGGGAATTTTTTCCCTATTCCCTGTTCCCCTATTCTAAATAAAATCTCCCGGGGAATTTTTTCCCTTTTCCCTTCTCCCTTATTCTAAATGAACTTCGAAAATGGGAAACTCTTCCCCGGGAAAAAAGTAGGTATTATGAATGTCAATAAAAGGGCGAATGTGATAACGAATTTTGGGAATAATTCCGCCAAAAAATTGCAAGCGAGTTGTGCCAAAAAATGTAAGTATTTAAAATTTTTCATGAAAAATGAAAAAAAAAACATTTATTTTTACTTTCAGGTCAAAAACAACAAACAAAAAGCAGTTAGACATTCTGCTTACCTCTATGCAATTACATAGCGATATTGCGCGAGGTTGGTTTAAGGGAGGAAAAGAGGAGCTAAACCGGGTATGGCGCAATTTGGAGGCGGAATTAAATGCTGCCGGGCCACCATCAAAAAGTGTTGCCGAGTGGAAGAAGGTATGTACCACAAAATTTGATTTGTACAATGCACAAATGACAAAAATGCAAAACCTTTTTCAGGTATGGGCCGATCAAAAAAAGTATGTACGGCAGAAGGCGGCACAAAACCTCAAATACTCCAGAGGAACTGGTGGAGGCCCCAACATGGAGCAGAAGTTTTCTGCAAACGAAGAGGCCATATACGATTTGGTTGGCATGAAGGAGTCAGTGGAAGGTGTGGCCATCAAGTATGGGTTAGGATCTTCCACTTCTACAATACAGAACCCAGAACGCCTTCCAAATGAAATTCTGGAGTTGCTAGAGCCAGACGGAGAGGAGGCTGAATGTCCTGCGGTGCACAGCAATGAAGACACTCCGCAAAAGCCGCCGGCGAAAAAAATTAAAATAAGTGGCCAGCATTTCAATACACAGGCATCCGCTCGCGACGTTCTATCAGAAGAGATAGACATTCAGAAACGTATGTTGGATGCAATGATTGAGCAGCAACAAATTTCAAAAAAGGTGTATCGTTCTATTGACCGCCTTTATGAAGTCAAAAAGGAAGAACTAAAAGAGCAGAAAAGGCACAATTTAATTATGGAAAAATTGCGGCTAAGAGAAGTGGAGGATAAAATTGAAAAGAACCGCCGACTCTTAGAACTGGAAGAACTGAAAAATAATCTAGAAAGTACCTGAATATATATATACACATACACACAGACTGAAAACGTGCATATGAACGTACCTGTAAATAGTATTAGTTTTGTTTTTAGTTTTAGAATATGAATTTATGTGTTTTCTTTTTGTTTGTTTTTGAACATGAATTTTATTGAGTTTTTTTTTGGTTGTTTTTGAATTGTTTTTTAGTTTGTTTAAAATAAAATGTGATGCTATTCCTATGTGATAACTAATCCTATGTTTTATTATTTTAATTTACAAATATACATTAGGCTGTCGCAATATATATAAGTGATTGATTGCCGTTTATTAGTGTCTGAGTCTAAATTTAGGGGAATATCTACTACAGATTATGTCCAATATTATTTCTAATATTTTGGGCAACCGACAAATACTGCTGCGTGGCCAAGGATACTACATCACTATCACTATATTGTATGCTAATACTATCAACATGTTCAACATCGTTGACGTCAGTATTGCATTTGAAATGAATGCATATATTATGCAAGGCACAGCAAACATTTGTGATTTTTGCGGCTTTTTCAGGAGAATAGTGCAACTCCCTAGCACCAAGAATGCACCTCCATCTATTTTTCAAAACGCCATTGGTGCGTTCAACTACATTGCGGCACTTTGAATGGATTTCATTGAATTTAATTTCAACTGATTCATCCTGTGGACATCTATGAGGGGTCAAAAGCCACGGTTCTAGAGAATACCCTGCATCTCCTAGTAAAAAATAAAATATTAATTTGTGAATACTTTCTGTTGTCATTCAAAACCTTACCAAGGAGCCAATATTTACTACCGCCTGTTCGATAGACTTCCTCAAGGTGGGCTCGCAACTCGCTGGTATTCCAAATGAATGAATCGTGGCACGCCCCAGGATGCGATGCATCCACGTACTGAATCCTCAACTCATGATCACACACCTGTAATTTTTGTTGTTGTTAAAAATCAATTATTGATCATTCCGATGAATATCTTGAACACAAACAATCAGCGAAACTACTTACCAGCATAACATTCAAACTATAGTAGCCCTTCCTGTTGTAATATAAGTGCTTATTGGCGGAGGGAGCAATAATGCGGACATGTGTTCCGTCAACGCATCCTATAACGCTCGGAATGCCATGCTTTATATAAAGCGCTAAAGCAATTTTACGTTTCTCCTCTTCCGTTCTGCAGAACCTTATCCATTTTGGGCAGAGATGTTTCTCAAATATATTTATGACTTCCGTGAGAACTTTGCTAAGACTACACTGGGCCACAGACACGTCGCAATCTTTTCCAATGCCTGTTTGGTACCCGCCTTCCGCAAAGAAGCGTAGAGCCGCACTTAGTTTCACAACAGGAGAAACTGCAAATGACTTACGTTTAGGTTGAATGTTGGAAGTTAACACGCCCAACAGATACTTGAATGCCGGTTTGTTTACCCTATAATATTTTTCAAATCTTTGAAAAGTAAGATTCTTGTTAATAAATAAAATTTAATAATAGTTTATTCATGTATGTACTTACAAAGATTGAGGCAACTCAAGTGGGTTGATGGCATCGCGTAACCTTCTCCTTTCTATCCTTTGCATATTTTTCTCCTGCTGCTGCACTTCAGCGTTTTCTGCATCAGCTAGCATCACAAACGCAACACTAAACATTTTTAAATTGTTTTTTTATAGTTCTTTTTTTATTTTTAATCACTTTATGCTTTTGAAGTCATAAAAATATTTGCAAATTGTTAGCCAAACAAAACAGCTGACGCAAAACAGCTGACTTCGAATAATCGAAATTCTCTCTCCCTTATTACCATTCTCCCCGTTTGTTTAGAATAGGAGGATTTTATTCCCGGGAAAAATAATCTCCCCGGGAATAATCTCCCGGGGAGTATTCAGAATCGGGCTGATTAAAACCAAATCGATTTGTTTGTTCGACCGGATCTGAAGATCCAGGATTTTATTTTTTTTTTTGCTTCGCTGTTGCTTTAATCATTTTCCATTTTTTTAATTTTTGTTGTGATTTTTTTTTTGTTTGCATTTGATATTTTATAAATTTGTATGTTGTTTTTACTTTTGTTCTATTGGAACAACAACATATAGAATTGTGTGTGTGTTTTTTGTCTATAAGAAATGTAAATTCTTTTTTTAAGAACAATGAAAATTATATATGTATGTTGGTTATTTTATAATTTAAAAAGAAAAAAGAAAATATATATATTTGAAAAACAAAATGTAATAAAAATGAATAAAAAAAATTGCTTAAAATTATGGTATAATTCGTATAACTGTTGATATACATATATATAAAATGTTTAGATAATTGTATTGTGTTAGTAATAATAATAATAAAAATGTTATATAAAAAAAATCAAATTGTTAGTAATAATATAAGAAAAAAATGAAATAAAATTGTTAATAAAAAAATCAGTGAACTCGGTGTGTTTTTTTGTTGTTATAAAATATTCAAATGTTTTTTTCAGTTTTGTTGTCAATTATTGAATAAAAAATCTCAGCGGTTTAGCAATTGGTGAAAGTGAAACCACCCACCACCGCTATGTCCAGACAGATGTTAAAAATCAAAAACAACTGAAATGGTTTGAATGGAGATTTTCACACCAAAAACAAGGAGTGCGATTACAACATAACAACAACAATATGCTGCCCCCATGAGTTTGAAAGTGTTTGGCGGTTTTTGTTAAAGCTTCCAACTCATTTGGGCCAAAACTTCCCAGATGTTGTGTGGCAAAGAAGTTTTGTGTGTGTGTGCGGATTGATTAGTTGCATATGTCACCCTTTGTCTTGGCATACGAATCTCATCATCTATCCCATATGCCAGCTATTTAAGATGCTGGACAGAGGCAGGCAGGTAGGTTGGCTTCAACTTCTATTCCAATGTAAACCACTTCTGTGGTTGTTGTCTCGTCGTTTCATTTCATTTACTTAGATCGTATTCAGAATCTTATACTAATACAGCGCTACTTAAAATGTATGTTTTTGTGAATTCTCTAGATTCATAATTCATTGAAACTAACATTGATACATATATGTATATATTGTTTGCTAATATTTATATATTTTTTAATGTGCTGTTGTAGCTTTGTTGTTGCAATGTATATAATAATTCAACTTCCGTTTACGATAAAATTCATTCTATTTATTTTTTTTATGGTAGAATATATTTATAAAAAAAATCTAAGTTTTGTAAGCCCTCTTAAAAGTTTGTATGGGTGTTGTTTTTATGAATCCTTTTTTTAAAAGAGATTTATTTCCCTCCTTTGATTGGGAGAGGAGGGGTGACTTACATAGATGAGATGTTGTCTTGCTTTTATGGGGATAAACTAATTTGCAGATAATCAAAGCATTGTTATGGAAATCATTCTTCCTTATTTTCTAGAGAGACAATCAAAAAAAGAGGTGTCTAAATCGAAATCGAGGATTGATTCGAATTTCTTTCTGTCTTCCTCCCGGGGCATGCATAAAAATCTGTTGAAATTTTATGCCATTCTCAATTAATTGCCTAAAAAGCCACTCAACTCCTTGAGCCTGATACGGTTTCCAACAAAACCACCTCCCTTTTTGCCTTGTCATCTTCATAGAGAACATGTATATATATATGGATGGATATGAAGAATGATGTTCGTTCATTTATTGTAATGATGTTGTTTGTTTATTATGGTTCTTCTACTTCTGTTGGGGATTTTATTTATTTGAATATTTTATTTTTTTGTTTGCAATATGACAATATGAAATGGAGATTATGATCCAACGCTAGACACAGAGATTGTATCATCACAAATCTCACAATCACAATCAGTATAAAAAAAGTTTTTGTAATAATCATCAAATCTTACATGGCTAGTATTTATATATATATCTGTATTTATATATTGGATATTTATATATGTTGTTGTAAATCAATCAATTGGCGATTTTGTTTTCTTTTATATAAGTGTTGTGGTTGTTGTTTCTTTTTTTTTTCATACATATATAATTTTTATTAAATGTTCTTTTGTTTTTTTTTTTATTTATAATGTTAGTAGATATTTATTTTTGTCATATATAGAGAATATATATATTGGATTAATAATAATTGTAATTGTTTGTTTTTTTCTTGTTGTCCTTACTATAAGTAAAATTGTTTTTTTATTAATAATTAAATCTTATATATTTGCATAGAGTCGTGTATGCCGTTGTATATATTACTTTGAACTTTTCTTAAAACTAGGGTTTCCGCACAGAGCCCGTTGAGATGTTGTTTTCGAGCTCACGTTTGGACTAAAAACTATGTTTAAAAGAAAAAAATTGTATTTTTGTGTTGTTTTTTGTTTTCTTGTATATTATTTTAATTGTAATTTTATAGTAATTTTTGTTTTTGCATATATTTATTATTTTATATAATTAATATAAATGATAAGATATAAGAGAGATAATAATTAAAATGTATAAAAGAAATGTAATTTTTGTTTTGTTGTTGTTGTTTTTGCTGCTGTTGCTGCTGATGTTGATGCGGCTGGCAGCATTGATATTTTGTTATTAAAATAATGTTGACATTTTTGCTGTTGTTGTTGCTGTCATTGTTATTATTAGCTGCTGCTATTACTACAAAAGATGCTTAAGCACGTTCACCACGAATACGGCGAGCCAATTGGATGTCCTTAGGCATAATGGTTACACGCTTGGCATGGATAGCGCACAAGTTGGTGTCTTCAAACAAACCGACCAAATAGGCTTCAGAAGCTTCCTGCAAAATTGTGGAAATAAAAAAAAAGAAAATGATTAGAATTTTGAGATCACAAAAAAATAAAAACAAATAAGAAAGTGAATTGAAAACAAGTAAAAATAGTATCAGTCGGTTTTGTCGACAGATGTGTACCCCCAGCCTTGAGTTATGATTATTCAAACTTTTGACCCTTTAATGGGGGTTGTAAAGAACCGCCGAATTTTTTCGCAAGTTATCGCTGATAAAAGTACTGAAAGGTTTCGCAGAAATGAAAAAAACTGCAATAAACTTTAGACTGCTGTCATTTCTAAGCAACTCGTCCGACAGCTGTTAAAATTATTCCAGTGACAGCTCATTATGTTGTTTACAAGCGTACAAAAGCATTTTGGTGAGAATTTTCCAGAAAAAAAGTTATTCGTGATAGTGTGATTTCTTTAAATTTGGCTGGAAAACCAGAAGAGGCTATCGTTAGAGTACTCTAGCATTTAAATGTGAATAAATCTTTTGTGTCTTGTACCATCGCTCGTTACCGTGATAATGGTAGCGTAGTGGACGAAAGAAAACATCAGCAGAAGTGGTTCGAAAAGTAAATAAGCGACTTCATCGAAGGCCGAAAAATGTCTCGTGAGCTGACCTTATCGCAAAATACCATTCGGCAAATATTGAAAAATGCCCGAGCGCATTTAAAGCCATTGAAATTTCAAAAAGTGCAAAACTTACACCGCAATAAAAAAATAGATTCAAAATAGCTAGAGTTGCTTCGCTTGGCCACCGACGAAAGTTGTAAACTGCCGAATTTGGTTTTCTCCGTTGAGAAAATATTCGTTGTCCAGCAGTTTGTAAACAAAAAAATATGATCGTGTTTACTTGCCAAAGAGGTCAGCTGAAAATGTGCACCTTCTATTGGCTACCAGAACTCAAATGCCGGCCATGGTGATGGTGTGGGTCGCCATAACAGCCGATGGCCGCTCTTTGCTCGTATTAATCGACCGTGGCTTCAGAATAAATGCTGAATATTATCACGAACATATTCTGGAGGGTGTATTATAGCCTTGGGCACGCAAACATAGACCTTGGGCATTCCAACAGGACTCAGCACTATCGCACTCAGCACGCGCCACCCAAGAATGGTTACAATATGAGGTTCTGCCACCAAAATCTCCGGATACCAATCCGTTAGACTATTGTGTCTGGAGTATTTTGAAAAGCAAGGTTGGCATTAAAAAATACCAAAGTGTGAGTTTTGATCAACTAAAAATGAAAGTAGTCGCCTTCGACAGTTGCATCGGACCTAATGAAAAATGCACTGGTGCAGCGGTCTGGTTGGACCGATGACAATGGTCTGAAAGTAAACCCTGCAAAGACTGTACTAGTACTAAATACAGTAAGCGCCAAATGGATGAGTTTTTTTACTGCCAATACGGGATGGGGTGACACTGTATTGACTTGAGCGTGCGTAAGAGTACTCCTCTATTCAGCCATTTGTATATTTTTTGTATCAGATTCAACCAGCAAGTAGTGCGCTGAGACTATAAAGAAGCAGTATTTCATATAAAAATAGGCCCTTTTAGAATGTTTCCCACATTTCCTGCTTCTTTCTCTCCAACACATCTCAGCGCCTTTACAGAACTTATGTTATAAAATAATGATTTTCAAGTTTCCGTTTTGATTGTAGTAAATACGACTCGGACAAAGATGAAAATGTTATCAGGATAATTTAAGTTCCGAAAAAATGACTGATTCTTCCTCTGAAAATTTTGCACAAAAAACCACCCCTCATTGTACATGCAGATGCGACTCCACATGCTTTCAACCATACAAGATAAAACTTATATTCTCACGTCAAAAATGTCTCTCTCCCCTAAAAATTGCTAAAATCTTTGAATTAGAAATACAACAACAAATGTATTTTCTACTAACCTGGAGGGCACCAATGGCAGCCGACTGGAAACGCAAATCGGTCTTGAAATCCTGGGCAATTTCACGTACCAAACGCTGGAATGGCAACTTGCGGATAAGCAATTCAGTGGATTTCTGGTAGCGACGAATTTCACGCAAGGCTACGGTACCGGGACGATAACGATGGGGCTTCTTGACACCACCGGTAGATGGGGCCGATTTACGGGCGGCCTTGGTGGCCAATTGTTTACGGGGAGCTTTACCACCGGTAGATTTACGGGCTGTCTGCTTGGTACGGGCCATCTTTAAAGATTATTACTGCAAGAAAAAGATAATAAAAGGAAAATTAATATATTGCTGGGAAAAAATGCAAACAATTTCGTCTTACTTTATTGTAAAATTAAATTATAAAATTTAATAACAAATAGCTTAAAAAATTTATTTTACAAAATGAAAAAAACTGTGTAACGTTCTCTTAGAATGCTTGTAGCTAACTGATGTTGAGTTAAAATAGTTGCAATGGTTACTTGGATTTTTACCAATTTCAAATGGGTAAACCTCTATTTAACCAACAGGTTAGAAAGAGAGGGTGCTATAACAACTGTCTACAACACCAACGTCTGTCTGCCTGCCTGCCTGACTGCACACATAATGAAATGAATAGATGATAAAACATCTGATGCCACCTTGCTTTTGTTTAGCTTTGCAGCTGTACCTTTTCTCTGCCGCCTGTTGGGCTTGCCTAAGATTATACAACCCAAAAATGGGCTATTGTTTTGAGTTTTCCAAAATTACAAACTACCTAAGAAAGAAAGACGGAAATGTGCTTAGCTACCCCTGTCACCTTATTGTGCCCTCGAAAATGTAAGTTAAGTATTCTTCTCTCCGATGACAGATGTGTTTTCTTTGAGAGAGGAAAGAAAAAACATCTTTCTTCTGTTTCGGTTGAATGGCACATGTCTACCTACTCACCAAATCTGTCATTAAGTGATATCAATTTTGGCGGGAAAATTGTGGTCGCTTTACGCGTTCCCTAATATTTTGACATTTTTCACAGAAAAAAGTGGAAGAAGCCGACACGTTGCAGAATTTTCAGAATCTTAGGAAAAAGGCGTAGAAAAGTAAATATCTTCGAAGTTTTGAATTAATTCTTATTTTAATTTAGGAATTAATCTTGGATTCCTAATTACGTTTCCAACAATTTTTAATGCCCAAAAAGGAGTGTAGTCATGAGTTCAGTTCAAGTAACTCTGGACTACTTCTTTTGGGAAGAAAGACAGTAGGGTGGTAGTGCGAATAGAAAACAGCATATTTCAAATCTTGATTTTGTCCTTTGCACAACCTAAAATAACTTTACATTTTCTTGAAGCTATAGAAAAACCCCCCTTAAATTACAATTCCTTTTTCGTGTTTTTATCTTGCGATTTTAAGATATATTTAAAAAACAAATTGTAATTTTATCAATGATCCAAGTCATCAATGATCCGACGTTGTTGAAACAGGAAGAACAGAGTGACTCTCGTGGCTCTAAGGGGGATATATAAAAGTACGCTCCCATATTGCAAAACGTCTCTCCCACTGAACCCAAATTTCAAATTAAAGTTAATTCTATTAAATAATATAATATTTTAATATGTCATAGTTTCCAGTGACTAGTAATTTCGTGAAGATACTGTACTTAGGTTAGACAAGTTTGAGGTCACGAGACCAATTTCACTGACAGATGTTTTCGCTTTTGGTATGGGTTATGGTATGATAATGATAGCATTTTGAGTTAGAATATCTCCTCTAACCGTTATAGGGGTTGGTTGTCGAATTAAAACCCTATAATCCTTTACTTTGTACTTTCAATAGCAGACCATGACCGCATTGGAACGTCTAGCAAACAAGTTCAAGGATGTTTTATTCTCTATGAGAAATTTCTGAAATCCCTTTAAATTCGTTGGTGTCACATAAAAGCGTGGTCTCCCAATTTTTATATTTTTCTATGGATGACAATATTGGGCCAGCCATCAATTTATCGAGAGGAATAATTGACATACAGCCAATGACAATGTATTTTTGATCTAGGTTAATTTTCCCTCGGAGTCCTTTGGTACACTGTGTTCATCCTAGTACAAAGAAGTGGTGATAGAAAAAAGAGTATTACAGAAGCGAAAAATATGGGAGGGTTTTGTAGGAATGTATGTGTCCAGCCAGGACATGATTTTAGGCAAACCTATCGATAATGATGGGATCTACGTCCAACATATGAACGTTCGACTTTGTCTTAAGTTGAGATACATAAAACGCTTATTTGACTGTCTTAAGTCATCGCCTGGCTTCTTCGGAAAGGAACAAAGGAGCGTAGAGCCAAAATCAAACTAAGTCTACCTAAAACTCCTTTGTTTCTCTACGAAGAAGCCAGCGATAACTTAAGCCAATAAAAAAGCATTTTATGCCTGCCACCAAATAGCCTACATCTTATGTCTGGTAACATTGACCGACATTTCTATAGTAGATCTTTAATCGTCTCTACTTCTTCTTCTCATCCTCACATAGACTACAGTTGGATCATGTTCTTTTTCTCGAGCTTATGGAACAGATGCGCTTAGACACCTAGCAATTGGTTTCCAAGTGCCATCTCTTGCAAAATCCTCGATTAGGGTGGAACTCTTGAAACAGCTGAGATAATAACTTATCAGTGTTTTGACAGTGTCATTTATCGTTTGATCTGTCGACTGCTTATTGTAAGTGTATTTCCAGGTTTAATAACCTTTCTAAGGTTTTCTTCCGAATAATGCACTCAATGTAGATGTACAATAAACTTCGAATCTATGGATTACTAATGATTTTAATCCATGGATTTGGATTGTAAGATAATTTTTAGGTTCAGTAACCTTTCTAATGTGTTCTTCGAAAGAATACACTTAATGTAGACGAACAAAAAGTTCCGAATCTAAAGATTGCAAGGGCAAAAAGCCAAGGACAACCAAAGCGTGCCGCATGATTTTAACTACTGTGACAGATACTTGGATTTGGATTCCATCTAGATTACCGACTCTTTGTTTTTGTAATTTTATTTGCCAAGCTGCTCAAGTTGTCCAGAACAAAACGAAAATCTCACATTCCGTATTTGGAATAGCTGCACCTCTAAAAATGTGACTGTTCAAAATTCGCATCGAAAGATTTGCCGCATCCGGAACAAGGGCAATATTAGTCAGCCAAGTCTTTGAAAAAGATGAAGGCTGTGGAAGATTTCAATAGGGTAATCAGGCAGGCAGGGAGAGAAACTTTCAACAGAGAAAGTGAAACCGACTGAACCCGCCGTGGCTAACCTTCTGATCTATGCAACTTCAATAGAACAATAAAGCATTTAAAACTACATTTTGGACAACTAGAACATATTTTAAATTGAAGGCGATGCTGATCAGATTTTATAGGTATTCCATAGGCACATGTCTCAATTTTTTCACGGATATTTCCAACAACGGAAACAAAATTAAATGCCATAAAAAGATAATCCTAAAAAATTTACAACTTTTAAACTTTGAAAGGATGACTGTCTAGCCTTTGTTACAACAGGAAATGCAAATGTCAACAATAACCCTCCCCTCGTTTCAATTCTATGTCTAAGGATATAAAATTTGCCAAATTTATAATGGCCTTGTTCATGAAATATATTTGAACATTTAATTACAATTGTTTTAAATTAAACATTCCCTTTAATCATTGTGATACAGAGCGAAGCAATCGGAAATAGTTTTGACAATTAAAATACGTATATAATTCCCTCTCTTAATGACTCAAAAAAGGTCAACGACACAGCAGCAAAATTGCCATGAAAAGAAAAAATGTTTCTTTCTTAAAGATTTAAAAATTTGGGTTTCCAGCATTAGTAATTGTTTTTGTAGAAGTAACAGCAGCACAACAAACCCCGAAATACTCGGAAACAGCATGAACTAATAAAATACACCGCATGCTGTTTGCAATTGAAATTAAATCAACCCTCTACTTTCAATTGTTGTCGGCGAGACGAAATTTCCGCTAAAAACGACGAAAGGACATCATGCTTAAATAATAAAACAAAAATGTCCGGTTCCCACAGCGCGAGTATAGGTAGAGTAAGGACAAATCATCCTGAAGCACTTTATATTCGGTAGGTAGGTAGGATTGAAAAATCAGATAGGTAATTGATGGCATAGTTGAATCATTAGAAATATTTTACGCTTGTTTGGCATAAGAAAACAATTATGGGACAAAAAATAAACAGATGGAGGGCAAGTAGTGAAGAAGTACATTGAGTAATAAGTACAACCAATACATTTTTATATTTGTATATCAATTTTATTTAAATATATTTTAAAGACTAGAGTTTGCTTAAGCGAAAATTTATAAATTGCAAAGCAACATTTTAAAGGGTGACATTATCGCAACAAAATTCCTGGAATTCCCAATGTGTGATGCACAAGCGGCGTCACCGGAAATATTCAAAATAAAATAATATAATAATATTAGATTATTTTATCAAGAGAACCAATAATGTAACGCAATTTGACCTATCAACATGGCTAAAATTAACATGAAGCTATTCTAAGCATATGTTTTTGGATTTTGCGTACAGTTGGCACCATGGCAGAAGAATACAGGTAGATGCATCAACGATTGGGAGCATTGATATGTCAATAAAATTCAAAAGTTTTTTTTCAAATATAAGTAGATTTTTATATGATTTCTTATACTACGTCATTCGAAGGCTATTATAATTCGCGTTTTTCAAAAATTTTTACAAATTTAAATAATTTTTCATTCAACATTTTCAATTCCAAAATTGGTTTGACAGTTCATTGTCCCAGCAGCTGTGTCGACGCGTCTACCTATATTCTTCTACCATGGTTGGCACAAAATACAATTGTAAAGAAAGTGTGGAAGAAATTGTCTAAACATTGTAATATAGTACTGTACTTTTTGGTATAGTACTAACGACTTTGCAATCTTGTCCTAAACCTGGGCGATAGATGGCGTTTGTCATAAGTTCCATTTCAAATGTGGTAAGTCATGCAATTTACACATCATCTGATACGGTTAAAAAAATTGAAATAACTGTTAAAGAACTCAGATCCTTTTTAAAAATATCCGTGTCAGAACAATTGCAATTGACATAGCCATGCCCGTCCATCTGTATCTACACATATCGGGCCCATACTTCTTCTGGTACCTCCACTACAAAAATCAAAAATTCTGCGAAAAAAAAAACAAATCTCATATGGAAGTGCCCGATATAAGAAAACAATTAGAGACAAGTTGTAGGGTAAGCATTCTGACATACCACTGCAGTA